GCAGGGGGGGGGGGAGGGGGGGCGTAATGGAAACGCCAGATGTCAGAACTACATTTCGCTGCGCTCGGAGCAAAGCAACGTCCTGCGGCGATATCAATTTAGCTCCTTTTAGAGACGATAAAGTGCGCTCGTAAATGCGGGGCGAGAGCGCAGATGTGCTAAACGCGCCGCGCCACAGCAGTCATGGGAGTTGGATGGGAACTGAAGAAAAAAAAAAAAAAACGACGTCAAGGCTACGAATGTCTGCCGGGTTTTTTTTTCGGAGACGGAACACATGTGGTCTGAAGATCGTTGTCAGACTCCATCAAGAAAGACTCACAAGCAGCTTTTCAGCCGAGAACACAAAACCTGAACTGACTTAGCTTGAAAATACTTTCCTTAGGGTGGAGCATCAGAGCGAGATGTCTCATGCTTCTGGCAAAAATCTGAAGAAACCACGTAGGTTTGATTCCGTAGGTAGATGGTCCATTGCTGACCGACCCGGGTGCGTCTTTACTTTACACGCACTGACACCACACCAGGGGCCACAGTACCAAAGGGAGGGCCTGGAGGCCCTGGACCAGGACTTCCCGCCTGCCCGACCGTGCTGCGGTGACATTACAGGACTTACAGATCCATTACAGAAACTATTGCCCGGCACTCGTTTTACCACACGGGTTGGTCTTCTTCATTTCATCACCCTGCCTATAGACACTCTTCACACCTCACACAGCCCGGCCCCAGACACCGCTCTGAGCCCCAAAGGGGGAGGGCGGGATCACACTCTGCCCCCAGTCCTTCCTTTTTCTTCATCTCACTGTTCTCCTCCTGCTACCGACTGAAGCTGGATGGCAGCAGGTCATTAGAAAAAAGAGAAAAGGGAAGAAAACAGACGTCCTGACGCAGGGTTTTCCCCACCTCATTTTGTCACAGCCACAAACCCGTCTGCTGAGGTAGTTTCCATTTGGCGGGCTAATTAAAAAGAAGAAAGAGGGAAGAAAGATGTGGTGGGAACGCAGAAAGAGTAACGCTTCAAGGTCTGCTGTTTCTAAAATGTCTCTTATTGCGTCCGATAGCCTGCTGTAGCCAAGGTGGTGGTGACCCGTTTTGCTGCAACCACATCTCCCTGATGGGTTTTCCCTATATGCCTTGTGGCTGGATCACAGTGTACTTTAAACACGTTGCTTAAAACGTTTGTGCACACGCACACATGACCAGTAGGGACACAAAAAGGACTGGTGAAAGGAGCACCAGCGCACACGCATGGACAGTCGACAGGGTTTCGACTATTTGAGGAATCTTTACAAGTATGAAGAAGACCCCGCCAAAGTAAGAGCCTCATCCAACTAGTTGGTAGGAAAGAGGAGAAGAAAGTTGAGTAGCTGCTCTCAAAACACACAGACGACTAGCAGATGTTAGCGAACCCAAAGCGAGCACTCCCGTCCTAACGGAAGGGAAAGGGTAAAAAAAAAAGTGGGGGATTTGGGGAGGAGGGGGGGTTATCTTGTGTGGAAAAAAGAAAAGGAAGGAAAATATACCCTTTCTCTTCATTCACGCCAGAGGGGGGAATATAAGGCCAGCGATCCTAGTCTAATCCAAGACCTGTGGTATTGACTGGCAGGCATTTTGACCATGCTTGCAGGGAGGAACAGAGGAAAAACAACATGAGGGAGAGAGAGAGAATGTGTGCCAATGTGTGTATTTGTGTGAGTGCGTGTGTGTGTGTGTGTGTGCAGGGAAAAACCAGGAGTTCATGCGTGGACCCAGATGGATTCAGTGGGGGAAGGAGGGGAGAAAAGGGGTTAGCGGTGGTTGCTGTTGTGCTTTCAGTGGCCCAGTAGCCACTAGAGTCCATTAGATTGCATAATGCTTGGCAGACAGCGACCCCCCCCCCCCCCCTCAAGGTCTGACACCAGCTAGGATGCATATAGGTTGCACTGCAGAGCAACAAAAAAAAAATCTGTGTTCCTGTTTGTGTCAGTGGTGGATTCACGTGCAAAAAAGACAAAAAGAAAGCCTTTTCAGAGTTGGACAAAGAACGAGCAGCTGCATACGGGGGGGTGGACGACTGCGTAGTCGAGGAATTCTAGGTTAATGAAAAATAAAAGAGCATCGTTAAAAATACAGCAGGCGAAGCAGCATCTGGCCTCTTCTATGTGGCACCACGTGCTTTCATCGCTCTGCTCCGTCCTCGCACTCTTAAACCTCCACCTGCGTTACCTGCGTTATCGTTTGCATCCTCCAGCTCAACGGTGAATATCTTTTGTCAAGCGCACTGCAGACAGGTGCTTTCACTAACTCATCGCAAAGCACAGCAGAGGAGATTCACAACGCTGGCGCCTCGTTCAGGGACGGGAGCCTTTGTGGCGTGAAACAAACAGCGGTGGGTTGCATTCAGCACAGCAGCCTTAAAGTGGGCCGGGAAGGATTAGAAAGAAGACAGCAACGCGCTGTGGGGATTCAACTGCCTCCAGGTCGTCACTGTGCGAGGAAAGCAACAGCAGCGTGGGTTCCGTGTTCTTGGCGAGTCTAGGAGTGAATGATGGGCGTAGATGTGCCTGTAGAGGGAAATTAAGTTGAGAGGGAGGTCAGCCTGTCTGTGCTGTTCACTGCATTACCACCAAATCAGGAGAAAACTATCATTCAAGCAAGAAAACTGGAATACTGCTGTGGGGCCGAGATGAAACATCCCTCACAACACAAGGCCTCGTGCTGCTCCCCCCTCAAAGGCATCAACTTGAAGTCTTGTAGTTGAATCCGTGGCCTTTTCACCCTTGAAATACTGTGAGGGATTTCTCAGGCTTGGTGTGTCTGTGCTTTTTGGACTATTTGAGGTTGGTGTACCGGAGCGGTCCGACCTCACTTGCCCTTTTGCGAAAAGACGGAGACAGCTTTCCCCGTGCATCATCCTCACACCACAACAAGCGATCCAGGACAGAAATTGGAAATCTTCCCTTCAATTTTAGTGTGTTTCCAGGTCTGTTTTTGCCTTCATCCTCCTCTCCCCCCTCTCCCCCCAGCACTTTCCCAAACAACCAGGTCCTCCCCTTGAAGTGATCCCTTTTAGAGTCCGCCGCCACCGCGCGACACGGCACTCAGAACCCTGCTTGCAAATCGCTGATGTAAAAAAAAAAGGAGGTGACCGACACCCACCCTTTTATCACCGAAACAAGGCGCAAATTACAGTCCGTAACATCTGGTGAAGCCGGGCACGAGCTGCCTGGCTCGACTCGGGCAAAAAAAGTAAACGGCCCCCTCACTCACAGAAGTTGGAAGAAAAGAAGTGCAAAAAAATTAAAAAACAGTGGGAGAGAAGTGTCGAGCTTTCATTGCGTCCTGCACCACAGTATTTGCCTTCAACGCGAGCAGGGACCTCACATGTTGCAATGCTGTCAAAGCATTCCGCGCTAAGTGAGCGGTCAATCGGGCCAGCTAACAACAACAACAACAACAAAAAGCCGCACATGTATTGTTTTCTAGACAAAGGCCCAACTGTTTCATTTGACCACGTGGGGGACAATATAAAATTGTTTTTGTCGATAATGAAATCATTACGGGGTGTTTTAAAGCCAGCAGCGGTCGGTTTAATTTGAGGGCTGTTCTGCACCGCTGGGCATTTCACGGGGTAATTAACACATAACCACATGTGCCTAAAGCAGATTATCAACCACTTGTCAACACTGGTGCCAATATTGAGAATCAATGCCCCGTGTCAACTTCCAGGGAGGCCTTCAGGGGACACTGGTAAATGAGAGGTAGACATTGATCAGGGTTAAAGTGTGTGTGTGTGTGTGTGTGATTTCTTTGTGTGTAGATAATTCAGATGATGATGCTCAATTGTGCTGTATTGTTGTGATGGATGATTCCATATTTTGCCAAAATTCATGTGGGGAAAGGCTACTGTACTCCACGTGTTTAGGAAAACATCCCCCTGTACGCTGTGCTGCAATCCAATGTTTCCCCACCTCTTGTTGTAGTTTTGGACCCTGTGACTTACGCAGTGCTCTTTCATGGTCGCCCGCTTTATACTTGGGCCAATGCATGGACACGCTCGATAAAAGAGCCGCACTGTTGTGCACGAAATGAAAGAAAACACGTCAAAAATGTACTCCTGGTGACCTCGTGCAAGACCATGAGTCATTAAAAAACAACAGTGTCTGAATCGGCTAATCAGCAGCTTGAACAGAGGAGGAGGCACCGCGCCGAGCGACAAGTCGCAACCCACGGAGGAACAACAGGAGGCGGCCATAATGACAGGGGCCGCACTCCAAAGGGCCAAAAATGTGTCATTCCAACATTTGCAGCCAGGAGCCTCAACGCCGAGCAGGACCCGACACCGAATCAAGGAAACAGCAATGATCATTTGGTTTAAACAATGGCTGATGATAAAACAATGGGCAGTAAATAGCGTTTTTAATACAAAATTATTTATTAAAACGTTACAAGCATCAATGGTTTTCTTTTTGAAAAGAAGCTGTGTGGCTCCAGTGACGTTGACATCTCCTAAATGATGCGCTCATTTCAGTGAGCACGGACCCGTCCACAGCGGTCACGGGAATCAGCATCACGGCAGCGAATCACCGCAGCACCGCTGCGACGCGCGCAACTCACACGGCAGGTAAAAGTTACACTGCTGCGCCGCTGCTTCCGAGGGGGACGTTCAACCGGGAGAGACGCCGCGGCTCTTTGGATGCACTGCGTCCGCGGAAAAAGGTCCCTTAAAAATTTCTCGCGGGGGGGGGGGGGGGGGGGGAGCGCGCGCGCGGAGCCGGAGCTCTATTTCGGTCCCCGGCGCTGATCCCCGAGGAGTCGCTGCAAAGCCCGCGGAGACTCCGCGCGAGCGACACCGAAACAAAACGGGAAATCTTTTATTCTTCCAGCAAACAGACAATGCAATAAAGCAGCAGTGGTCCGTGCGCGGACCCAAGTACCCCCCCTCACACACACATACACACACACACACACACACACACACACACACACACACCGCTATTTGTGAAGTTTGCTTTCCAACAACTCACCCTTTCTCCGGAGAGGAAGGCGGCCAGCCCGAGGGTCAAAATTATCCAAACGCTCCTCATTATTCCTCTTTGCGAATTATAAACGCGCTGTTACGAGCGAAATGCCAAAATGTCCCCCTCCTCTTCCTCTTCCTCTTCGTCTCTCTCTCCCGCTCGCTCTCCTTGAACCCTTTGCTCCAACTCCTGCCGCTTGTGTCTCTCTCAGGAGCGGAATCCCACCGGATACGTGTTGCGTTCTGCTTATCCCCCCCCCCCCCCCTCTCTCTCTCTCTCTCTCTCTCTCTCTCTCTCTCTCGCTCTCTCTCTCCCACGCAACAAAGTAGCGAAACACAAAAAAGGGGGAGTCAATAATTGAACAGCCATCATAACCGACCAATTATGTTGCGTATTGGCGTGCTGTAAATACGTGTATTCACAGGTTGATTATTGAAGTTTTCTGTATACTTAGAGGTTAATTGCCCCCCCCCCCTCATCGGAGATTCTTGCACTAAATGACAAGGACGTTCGTCTTTATTATGTTGCTGCTGTTTTGGGCCATACCATAAAATCCATTTATATATGCTATGAATAAACAACATGCAGAGATGGAGTTAGTTACATCATTTAATGACTAGGACCCCCCCCCCATCCTCCCCCCTACTGACTTTAGCCATTAGTGGGCGAAGTCTCCCCCTGCTGGTGTGAATGAATTCCTCCCTCTCATAATCTACAAAATATCACGTTTTTTGTTTAAATCGGTTTTATTGAATTGGTTGTACAAAAACGAGCATAGAGGGTTAGATTTACCCTGATCTGAACGTTGACCTTCGGCCCACCTCAGTTCGGGGGCTTGTACACAGTCACGGGCTTGAGTGGGAGTACTTGGTGTTTTAAGTGAAAGATTAAACAGTTCTAGAACGCCTTCGTCAAAGCTGTAGCTTCATCACTGTTACCGGACGTAGCAGCTTCACAGAAACCGGCGCGTCAGATGTAAATGTCTTCCTCTCTGAGAGATTCTCTGTTTGCTTTACGAACCTCCGTCTCACACATTCTCCTTTTTGCTTAACACTCTACAACCTGTGCAACTGCTGCCTGATTACAGGGGTAGTGTAGATATATTGTTCCACTCATTTAAAGAAAGTGTGACCCTTTTCCAACGCAACGCGGTAGCCGGTAATTCATCTTCCACTTCCATTCACGTCGCTAAAATCCATTCAGAACAGCGCAAACAACGTTTTCCCAGAACCACTAATCCCGCTCAATAACAGGCTGCCCTTTGTGCACGGTGAACCCTACAACTCCCCTGATCACAAGTACTGCCAAACTAAATGCTTTAGCCACACACATACGGCACGTAGAAGGTGACCTTCAGGTACATGTGCCAGAGACCCGCACGCACGCCAGTAATACGGAACGCACTGGACATTCGTGCATTGGTGGTGCTACCGCAAAATCGTACTCGTGTCCTTAAGTTTTTGCAGAGATGTGATTAGTCATGCTCAGCTGAACTGCCGAGTGACCCCAATATCAACGTCATTGACCCGGTTCCGCTCATTCACCTTTAACGCTGAGGCGGAGAGACAAACAGAAAGCGTTACCAGTGACAGGCGCTGCTGGAAAAAGGAACGCATTTGGAATTTTTAAAGGCACTTAAATCTGACTGATTAGCAGGAGTATTATGCATGCAATGAATTACTGCAATGGTGAAGCGAGAGTTTACTGGCATTTGTTCGGTAGACGTGTAGTCATCAGTTCATGTAGCGGTTAGTTAAACTCACTAAAGACTGAAAACGGGGAGAGAGAGCCTATGTGGGTCAGTTCAAAGGTCACTGAATTCAATGACCAGCATTACGGTATTTGTAAAGCTCACTAGACAACTTATATCTTCGTTGAAAGTAGAAACAACTGTACAAAAACTGCAGAGGTAAAAATATAAGCAATCCACTGTTTAATGAGGGACTGTTTGCAGGACCTCTTCTTTGGAGACCCTGCTGGTTGCTTGCCAAGTGGTCCTGGCCAACAGCTGGTTCTGCAAAAAGTCCCAACATTGTCGGTTTCAAACATGGGTTTTTAAATGAATTAAACTAATGAGATATAATGTGATAATTATTGAGCGTTAGAAGTGCTGGTATGCAGATTTTGATCAACAGGCTGCAAAGACATTTTCCCTACAAACCTGTGTGTGTGTGTACATCTTCTTAACCTAGTTTCCGTCAAGGAAAGCAAAACTATTTCCTTAAGGTAGTAACTTTGTGCTACCAGAAAGACTGGAGAGCAAAACGTTTTGGGTGTACACTTAGAATTATTAAAGCCAATTGAATATATGTTGTGACCCATCCCCCACTCTGCTCCACAAGACTCCCGGGCCTCCTCTTCCTCAGAAGAGCTTAACTCCACTCCCAGATTACGCAGCCAATTAGGGCGAAGGCAAAGCCCCTTCTGCTACCAAGCCTCGCCAGAGAGTGGTGTGTGTGTGTGTGTGTGTGTGTGTATCATGTTACGGTCAGCCTATAGTCAAGCAGCTAAAGGACGCAGAATGACTTAGTGGTCCAAAGGGACACCTTCAACAATCTAAATCTTGAAAAAAAAAGAAGGTGCCCACTGATTGGGACAACAAACGGGAATACTGTAGAACTTGATTTACCACCTACATCATATACAATGTGAATTATTCACGCAACGTGCTGGACTTAGTTTTCTTTTGTGAATATAATATATATTTTGTATGTACATGCATATTCAGACTCCATAGAAAGTGCAGACCTTGAAAGTTGTTGTGAATTTCATTACATTTTATTCAACAGCCACACCAGCCGGCAAATAATAAGAAACAGATCCTATGGCAACTATGGTGTGTTTGTGTGTGCGATGACGCATCGCATCGTCTGAAAATGAGCCAGATGTGCGGCAACCGGAAAGAAAACTCTGACTCCCTGAGTCTTTCTATCGGTCTGTCCCCCTGTGGGCCGTGTTGGGGAAGGCATTGGGAAGACTACTGAGCCCATGCGACGTCCAGGTCGTTCCAATGAAAAAACAGTTGCAGACTCTCACACGTACTGGCTGTGTCTCAGTCGCTAGGCTGCATCCTTGTGGCCTGCAGCCTTCAGGCCCTGTGGTTTGTGTGTGTGTGTCGTATCTCCACTTGGGGTCCCACGAAGGCCCGGTCACCTCAGACGTGGATGCCGGCATGATCGCTGTGCTTAATGTCGCCGTCTGGTTCGTGGTTGTCACCGTCCACCCGCTTGTCCTGCTCTCCAGAGGGTATCAGGGTGCTGCGGCTGAACGGTCCAAAAGGTTTACCGAGAATCCCAACGCTGATTTTAAAGAGAAGGACAGACAACACAAGTCAGTTTTTCTATGTCATCTTGGCAAGAAAACAATAACATTGAATCATCCTTCTCAGATTTAAAATCTGATTGCATGCACCGTCACATGTGAAATCTGAGATTTCCCAAAGACACATAGTAGAGAGGAGGGGAGATTATTACGGCTCTCATCAACTCCCGACTGTATGTATGTATATGATAAAAAAGTCAGGCGCCTCGTGATGTGAGAACCCACTTGAGAACAATAGCTTATCAGTAGTGTGCTTGTGTGAGGTTTTCTAGACCCATAGTGGTCACAAATCCCTTTATATCTCTGACCTCATTGCACATGTAGCAGTAACTGGTATTTGGGGTATAGGAGTGGCAAAGCAATTACGTTATATGCTGGATCAAAACAAAAAGGCATCTTTCTGAGTTTTACACGTGACGTGTTCTGCAGTGTTTTACACCACCTGACACTGGCAAGCAGCTGGTGGAGCTCCTCCGTCAGTGCCTTGGTGTCGCGGCGCTCGGGCTGCAGCGGGTTCCGCTTCCCGGCCCGGCCGCCGTCGAACAGATGGGGCGACCTTTCTTTGGGCGACGGCAGCAGAGATACCATCAGTGGGGATCGCTGATTGACTGTCCCGCTGAGGGCTGGACGCCTCTGGGACGTTCTGGGGGGAAAAGTCACATTAAGGAGCAGGAGCCAAAAGTCAGCCAGTCCTCTTCTATACCGCCTATCCTCAGAGGGCAGCCTCATCTGGCTATGAGGCGACAGCGCTAACCAGCACACCACGTGCCGCCCACGAGGGACGAGATGAAGAGGAAGAGATTGAAACAACGTTCAAATATATACTGTAGGGAACACACAGGGCAACAAGTGTAGAGCCTTAATAACCTGATAAACTTTGATTGTACGTCTTTCACACCATTCCTTAAATCCAAATGCAACTATACAGATCAAATCTAAAATAGTATATTGTCTCGTGGGTTTTTTATATTATTTGTTCGGCGTGTGCAGGACAGCTGGAGGCGGCGCTGGCGCTTCTCCGATGATAATGCCTCAGGAGGAGAGAAAGTTTCCTGCCTCGTTTGGTCCTGACAGCAGGAAACGAGCACTGGGCCTCTGACAGACCCACACGACTGCCAATCATATGTCGGACACAGAAATGGAACGTGAAACTGGCTGACAGGCAGTTCCTCCTATCGGACAAAGCTAGGAATCCGTCTACAGCCATCATCGTGTTCCAGTTAGAGGAGTAATATGACGTCCGTCAAACGACTTTACTGCCAGACCAAATGTTTAACTAGGTTCAGAGTGGTTATTGGTGGTTAGCCAATAGATGATAATCATGTATTATTATTATAATATAATATATTTCTATAATATTTCTATTCTAAATTTGGATGCGTTGATTGCTGAGAAGAGTAAAATTGCCGGCCTGAAAACCAAAACGAACTGAACGAGTTCCCAGAGTTGAATTAAAAAGTCTAAGTTTCTCTTTGCAGAATAAAATCCTATTCTGCTTATTGTTTACAAATGTGTCCAAAGCTCCGTTGGTGAGCTTTCGCTTTGCCATGATAAGCTGAATAACAACTGGTGCAACAGATGTGCATTGTTGGTGACATGGGATTCATCTGTGAGGTAAACCCCTCTACAAAATGTTAGATACTATCGGAGTTGAGCATTTGCTTCCATCTGTAAGGTCAAAAACCCTGTTGAGGACGCCTAAGGCAGCAATTTCATTAGATGGTTTCAGATAGTCTGTGTGGAAATGATCTGGTTGTGTTGCATCGTCTGTGCAGGTGGCTGTTCTCGGTAGATCTTGCGTGGTGAAGTAGCCGGACGTGGAGATCCTTGGCTGGCACATTTATGGGGGCTGTTGGATGTACTGCCAAAATCTCAGAAAGGACACTAGAGCCTGATTATGGCAGTGAGAATAGCCTTCAGCAGGCCCTTTTCACAGCAGCCATTTTTACATGTCATAGTCGGGCGAGCACGGGTGCGATAGATCAACTGAATAAATAGTCCCAGTGTGTCACAGGCATTCTAGTGAGCCGCTATGCACAATACCAAGCGCCTGCCCCCTAAATGGAACAGAGCCATAATTGATGTAATCAATTAAACCTATGTTTACCGTGTAATGACATGTCAAAAGAACTGCTGTGAAAAGGCCCGGGTCGGGGGCAAAAGCTCTTGTGGACATCTCTGCAGTGAGCATTCCAATGGCTAGAACCTTCAAAACCTGAGACATCTGTGGCTTTGTGTTCTGTGATAACGTGCACGTCTCAGAGTGGCCCGTTATTGGGACCAGACCAGTGTTACAATCACACGGTTTAATCAACATCTTTTTAAAATAACAGCTCAGTTGGATGGATTTTCTTGGCAAGGAGAGATACTCATTAACATGGATTAGAACAGATATGGGAAAACAATGAGAGGAACAAGCCTTTTGTGAGCTGAGAAAGTCTTGGACCTTACATCTCAACTCCTTTCAAACTATAGAGAAGGAGAGAGCAAAGAGGGGATTGCTCCGTTCCTTTTATATATGTGAGATAGGAGAGTTGCTGCTGGCAGAGAGATTATTACCTGACTCCACAGTTACTCCCAGCTCTCCATAGCTTGGCTCAGTTTATTTTGTTTTGCAGGTCTGGTTCTTTGCTCTAATCAGAAATGTTTTCGGAAGCAGCAGGCTGCTGTTATCAATAGGACAAAAAAGAATCCAAACACACTGTATTTGTATTCTCTCGTCTTTGACACACCTGTGGTTGAATGTGCTTTTACATCCCGCTTCCTTGGGCTCAGCTACACCGGCTGTCACGGTACCATTGACAGCAGTGAAGGTCGTTCTCGATTCCCCATCACTCCCCGTCCTCGCCGCTATGTTGATGGTGTCAGAGTACAAAAGACGCCCAACCTCCTCTTGGATGTCCTTCAGGTCTCTCCTGCCAAACGTCACCCAGGCCACGTAACAGAAGAAGCTGTACAAGCACTAGGAACACAGGGTGAGGGGACAAAAAGAGTGAAGAGTGTCACCTGGGGTAAATCACTCATTTCCTTTGTTAGACATTGATCCTTCTTGTTTAAGGATCCATTGAATGAACACAAACAACGTGCTTTCTTTCTCGCGGACACTTATTCTTCACTGTTTGCAAAACGGCTTTTTTGGTCCTCCAAATAAAGTCATTCAGAGCAGGCAATAACTTGCTGCGGTGAGAAGGACATTCATCTCCCTCCCCACACACCTGGCTAAATACTGCAGAGAGCCTGTCAAAGCAAAGCACCTGTGTTGAGTCAACATCTCCTCCCACTAAACATTTCATTAAGGCCACCAGGCGTAAGCGGCGCTCAATGTCGTTCTGTTCTGCTCGCTGCCGTCTGCATTCAGATGGTGAACCGCCGTTCACTCGGCCAGCTGGAGGTTTAGGATTATTTCTGTGCAGATGAAGCAACAGTTTCAGATGTCTAAACATGCTGATTTTGCAAAGTAAGTAAGTAAGTAAGTCACTTTAGGTGAGCTACGAGTCCGATTTGTCCAATTATTTAAATATGAGGGGATTGGTCAGGGGACTAGTTGAAGCATCCCTTTTGCATTTGAAGAGATTGGTACCCTTGTAGCACATTGTAGGATTCTTATTGCACCTACCGCATGCAGAAGCCATTCTGTGCTGTGTGACGACATCCGGCCCCTAGGAAAACCCACCAGAGTTTAGTATGTTGGGACAAACTGTGATTGGTTGACAGCATGATCATTTGAGCAGATTTTTGCCTGTTCTTTGCTTGACTGTATTCATATATATATTTCAACAGGACATTTTTATTTACAACTAAATGTTTTTATTTTTTTAATAAAACATGCCAACGCTTCTAAGATGTCTCATAACATAATGAACATATGAAGAAATCATAAAAACAATTACATGTCATAAAAACATCCAATAAACCTGTAAACGAATTAAATAATGCAGGTTTAGACCGTGTTTGCTCTTTATTTCAAAATGTGCAGAGGATGTCATATGTACGGACATCAAAGGTTACTTTATTTTCTGATATTCAGAGAATTAGTACAGAAGCAAACAACTTTTTGTTACGTAACAATATAGTCGTTATTTCTACCTGAGCAAAGAATGAAGTAACTATGTCTGTTTGTAATTCAAGCTTCTGCTTGCTTTGTTGGCATAGTGTGGCCTTGTTGTGCAAGGTAGTGGTCCCCAATGGTTAGCTCACTGCGCTCAGTATAGTTTGTAGTTTATGGTGTGTTTGTGATGGCATTCAGAAGATCCTCAAGGACCACACTACAAAACATATTGGTCATAAAGACTCATAAACCTAATCCAGGTAATATGAATCCTCATCGTATTTGTGACTCTTCCAGCATGAATGCAATCTCCATCCTGGTGAATATACAGTCACAATAGTACAGAAGGAGTAGTACCTTCTGTCCACCTCCTGTTGAAACTAAACAAATACTCACTGGTGATATGTGTGTTGATGCTGCTCTATCTCTAGGTCCATGATGAGGCTGAAGTAGCAGACAGCCAGCTTCTTTTGTGCTATCTCCTTTTTGGCCAACGCCTGTGCAATCATCTTCTGATCTGGGATGATGTCTACAATACTAGTTCAGTTAGGAAGGGGGACATGGTGTAGAAATACAGGACAGGAAAAGAAAAAATATAAAAGAAAAAGGACACAGGCATTGGTGGACAAAGAAAGGGGAAGAAAACGTATATAGTAACTGTGACAACAATAACACCACTACATTATGATGGCAATACATACGACAATAGACAAGGCTCTCCATTCTTTGCATACTTACGCCATGAAATAATTGGGTACGTTCTCCAGGGACTTGTGTTCAAAAAAACAACACAGGTAAAGAAGGAGGGCAGTCAAGACCTCGTCAAGCCCTTTACTCCTGGACACATACAAGTCATTAGTGTGAGATGCGTTGCTTAAGTATCATATTATACCATGTACAGCATTTGAAACTGCGTGCTTGTATAAAATCCTGTTTTTGTGTTCCCTACTTCAATACAGCCAAGAAGCGGACTGGAATGGGAAGCGTGTGATTCTCCTGTAGCAAACCGACAGCCGCCTCTATAACACAGAGAGCTTTGTCAGGACAGGGTCAAAGGTCATCTAGCGCGCACACACAGGGTCAGGGCTCAACACAAACCTTTAAGAGTGGTAGACAGCCTAGATGCCAGGCATTAGTTTTTGGTTACCCAAACTAAAAATATGGTTGCAATATGGTTATATTTTCAGAAATTAAGATTTCATGCAGAAGATCTGCTTAATAATTGAAATGTGACATGTATAAATCTCATGTGCATGAGGAACATTCTGTGCGGTATAATTTTCTCAGCTCTTCCTCAAGTCTTGACAAATTGCCTTTTTGTCCATGCTCATCTGATTCTTTGTCAGTTAAATTGCTTTGCACACTTGTTTGTGGTGTCGACGGGTTTGTTGAACTTTTCACCCCAGAGTCAAACAACACCTTCCACACGCCTAGTAGTGCACACGCAAGTAACCGCGTCAACACACGCCACGCTGTTTGTCTGGTTCCAGTTTCTTAACATCTCTAATTTTTTTTAAATATATGTATTTTAGGAGCATGTTTGCTGTGTGTGTTCCCTATTTTAAAAAAGTGGTTGCCATCCAATTTCTGAATGGTCGCCAGTGGCAACCGGTCGTGCCCTGTAGCACATAGAAATGTGAATCTTTAGCGAAAGGCTAGTTGTGATTTGATTGTATTTGTATTTATTTTGGAAAAGCAATCACTACTTTTTAGCATATTTTTATCATTTGCTTTTCCAAAAAACCTTGATCTTTCTGGGGGGGGCCAACACTCTAACGGGAGACCGAGTAGAGTAGCCGATTCTTATGAGTTAAAGAGTTTGACACTTGCGTTTAACATCATCCGTAGTGATGCGGTCCCCTTGCCTCCTCATCACCGAGGACCTGTAAGCATGAAGATGAGCGTGGCTCAGGCCCTTTGTAATGTTTTGGCGCCCTCTGTGGTTCAACGTGTAGATCTCAGCCAACCTGTGGAGCAAGCACACACTGCATAAAAGAAGCATGTTTCAGTGTGCAGGTCAGTGAATGAGAGGCGCAAAACATTGTGCGTAATTATTCTGACTTTTAGGTCATAAACACAAGAATAATGAGATATTTAAAGAGTTGCAAAAGCTTTCCTACCATTCTGATCGCAGCTGAAGAGCTTTGATATCAACATTGGTTTGGCTCCTTTTTACCAGAACTCCCTCCCTTGTTGGATTAAAACTAAAACAGAGGGAATATGCAAGATATTCCCCGCAAAACAGTTCATCATGCACTGATCATTGGTAATTAACCTTTTCACATGTTGTATCCTCAAAATGTATATATCATTTTATGATACAAATCTATAAGGTTATTCTCTCATAAGTATTTCATCATACTGGACTGAAGCAGCTCCAGACTTACTTTGTCTTTTACAGAAGGGTGTGAAACATTTCATGGCTAAAACAATGTGTGCGTGTATATTTTCTGATTTAAGGAGTAATACAAGCCGTTGACTTGCATTTGTTAGCTAAATTTAAATGTAGTTTTCAACCATGCATTACCGATGTTCACATCTCTATGCTGGACACGTATGCAGATCAACACATGTGATGTCACCTGTTGATTTAAACATAACTATAACTAAAGAAAACTACCCTTAAGGAATCCACTGGTGGAGGTTTCACGGTGGTGTCTCCCCACTGAAACTTGAACGAGCTATATATTATGTTATGACTGGGGTTGCAAAGGGGCGGAAAGTTTCCGGAAAGTTTCCACGGGAATTTTAGCTCGGGAATTTTGAAAAAAATAATGTGCCTAAGTTTTTTTGCAAAAGCATATAACAGGGAACTTAAATGTAGTTGAGAACAAGACTATGCACGCCGATCTTAGCTGGACCCTGAATGCAGCTGGTTGGGAACATGTCTGCCAGAAACATACACGTAAACCAGTGGCGATTTTAGGCTGAAAGTTCTGGTGGGGCAATTTTGTATGACGTCATGTCACCGTCAAAAATAGAAGATGACTACGTACATTGATGAGGTCCAGGAAGAAAGCATTTAGACCTGAAAGGATTCAGGGAAAAACACTAAAAAAAAAATTGGGTTGGGGTGGTGATTTTTTTATTCAACGTCCATGTTTTTGTTGTTTGATGAAATAATAAACTTCTACTACAAAATATCTACTACAAAATATCATTTTTTAAAGTTGTATTATAAATGTTTGCATGCATGTCTGCTTATGACAAGGTAAATACAGTTACATTACCCCAAAATGTCCAGTTTATTCCCGTGGAAAGTTTCCAACTTTGAATATTCACGGAATTTTGCAACCCTGGTTATGACCCCCGGGAGGGGGTGTGTCCTCTTGGCGAGGTGTCATGGATGCTAACAGGTGCGTCGTGCTAGCAGGTGATTCGACGCGGCTGCGCTCACCGGACGAACTGCAGAGTTCCGGTGTCCTCCGCCCACAGCCAGCGGCCGGAAGGCGCGGCGCTCACCTACGAGTTAAAGTCAGACCTCTTACGATACATGTGCCACTTACACTTCCATTATTAGACCGGCCAGCTACAGCGGAATTGCTACACAAACACCGGTAGTCGGTTGCCATTTGGGCGACTGACGTCAGGCAACAGCTGGGGGTAGTTACTCGGTAAACTGGTTAAGAACATTTTGGGGGGGTTCTGTCGGACGTCAAGTCCGTTCTTGCAACTTACGTGTGTGGGCTCCTCGGGGTTCTCTGCCATGTCAAGAGACTGACGTTAGCTTACCGGTTAGCTGATGCTCCTTAAAGGTTGCTAATGTTGGGTCTCGTATCTAGGCAACAGTCAATGGGGACGCGGCTGCAAACCATGACATGGAGGGGGGGGGGGGGGTTGTACGGAAACCACAATATATCCTTATCGTATCGTATGTTTTCGGTTTTGGACCTTCCAGCAGTCAGTCTCACAGGCAGCAGTTCTAGTCTATATAAAATATATACAGGAATAAGAAGGCAATGTCCGCAGCATCCACAACGTATTAACAGATCTTAGCGATCTGATGACAAGACATGAGCTTAAAACAGTTTTTGGAAGTTCTCTGGTTATTTTATTTCCATGCACCTTGTATAAAGGGCACCGTGTAAAAAGGGCCAGTGTTTGCAATAACACTGCCCATGATCTGCTTTTCTAAACTGCCCAAGTTGGTTTTTAAATGCTCTTGGGAGTGATGAGGTGTAGATTTTCAGTCAGGGAGTCCAGGCCCCAGGCTCGATATCTTTCGGTCATGGCATCAGCCGACTGCAGCAGTTCCAAATCACAGCTCTTCCCTAAGGAAAGGAAACAAGTTCATTTCAGCCTCCGCATGCAACCACCTGCAACTTTCTAGTCCCGTTTACATGGTTGGTTTATATAGGCTGCGTATGAATTGTCCTTTCTGATGAAAAAAAGGTTTCTAACCGAGTGAAATGACCTGGTAGGTTGTCTTAATGCATGGGAAACAATGGCCCTTCCTTTAACAAAAGGAAATAAGACAATTGCAATCAAAATTATTCAACCCCCATTGCACATTAGGTTTATTGGCAGAATATACAATTTCTCAGCTGTTTGCAATAAACAAATTACACAAGAATTTTTAAAGTAGTTTAATGAAACTAATATTACAAAGGTTTTATCCAAATTCAAAACGGTACTTTTAATGACTTTAATGAATTTACTGCAGTCTCAAAATGATTCAACCCCTTCATGACAAGCATCTTCAGTACTTAGCACCCTTTTGCTGTTATGACCTGCTGCAAACGTGATGCATAGCCAGACACCAGCTTCTGACAGCGTTCCTGAGGAGTCTGAGCCCGTTCCTCACGGGCAATGGCCTCCAGTTCAGTAATATTCTTTGGTGTGCGTTTTGCAACCGCCTTCTTCAAATCCCCCCAGAGATTTTTGATGGGGTTCAAGTCAGGCGACTGTGACGGCCACTCTAGAATCTTCCATTGCTTCTTCTGAAACCAAGCCTTGGTGGACTTTGAGGTATGCTTGGGATCATTGTCCTGTTGGAAGGTCCAATGACTCCCAAGTTGCAGCTTCATCACAGACGGCATGCCGTTTTTTCCCAAGATTTCCTGATATTTGACTGAATCCATCGTGCCCTCCACACGCTGCAGGTTTCCAGTGCCGGCGGCACCAAAGCATCACTGAGCCACCGCCATGCTTCACTGTAGGCATGGTGTTCTTCTTCCTCCAGACATAGCGCTGATCCATAGGCCCGAATAGTTCGTTTTGTCTCATCGCTCCACAGAACAGAATTCCAAAACTTCGGTGGCTTATTCATATGGTTTTCAGCATATTGGAGCAGACTTTTCTTGTGCTTTTGGGTCAGTAGTGGTGTGCGTCTTGGAGTCCGGGCATGGAACCCGTCAGTGTTTAGTATGCGCCTTACTGTGCAAACTGAAACCTCAGTGCCAGCTGCCACCAAGTCTTGCTGCAGGTGTTTTGCAGCCACTCGAGGGTTTTTGACCACTTGCCTCCTCAGGAATATGGTGGCAGCCGCTGATAGCTTCCTCTTTCTGCCACGTCCAGGTAGTGTAGCCACTGTTCCTTCATCTTTGAACTTGCAAACTATGCTTCCAACTGTATTTCTAGGGACATATTTATGTGTTCTATCTCAAGCACACCTGAACTAATTAGTAACCTTGATTAGTTGCACCAGGTGTAGTTGCACCAGGTGTGCTTGATACAGGAAGTTGAATCATTTCAAAGGGTGCTCTAAGTACTGAAGATGCTGGTCACGAAGGGGTTGAATCATTTTGAGACTGCAGTAAATTCTATAGTCATTAAAAGTAGCATTTTGTGTTGAATTTGGATAAAACCTGTAATATTAGTTTCATTAAACTACTTAAACAATTCTTGTGTAATTTGTTTATTGCAAACAGCTGAGAAATTGTGTATTTTGCCAATAAACCTAATGTGCAATGGGGGGGTTGAATAATTTTGATTGCAACTGTATTCGCCACAATACCTTGCGGCAGCAACATTTGAAATAAAGCACCATTCGGCCGTTCACGAGAACAAACGATAATGATCGACAAACGCAGATCCAACTGGAAACCGTCACCATGACTTGGAAATGCTTAGAAGTTGACAGCACAGTTGCTTTGTACGGTGTGACACTTTAACTTAAATTCTACTGTAACTCCAACCATTTGAAAGTCAATCGTTTAACGTTGTTGTCTACAAAACCGAAGACCGTAAGAAAACACAGATGAAGTATGAGGATCTTTTTCTGTAGTCCCGCTTTGTTAACATCATCTTACGGTCCTTTTTGGACTATTTGACCACAGCTCCAGTTTCATGGTGGCACAGAAACACTCAGCCATGAATGTTCTTAGAGACACTCACCAAACAGGCTGGCCAGCTGCTCGTCAGGCACGAAAAAGGGCGGCCCTGAAAGGCAAATACGGTCACAAAAAGGTATTTAACTAAAGGTTTTTTCCTTCGTTTTAAATAATGACAGTCACCTGAATACAACGCAGCGTTGTACAGCAAAGTGTCCAGAAGGTATCTGCAATCTTTAGCCATAAGAGAAATGATGAGATCAGCATACCTGTGGTGTTGTGAGAGGATGGAGAATATGTACGTTTTTTTCAGAGGTTTTAACTTTAGAAATATGACGCCACATCAACATCACATCTCCATAGAGGGTTACTCAAAGTCGTCTTACGTTTCTCGGTCTCTTGGGTTGATGGCCACTAGAGATCCTCTGTCCCAAATTGCCCCAAACTGTCCGCCAATGGAGCTGTGAGAAGGAAAGAGCTTGTGTAAAACGCTTACCTTTGCAAAGCAATATTTTTCCCCACATGGTCATTGCGGGGTAAACACAGGAGCAATGGATTACATTCATCATGGCCCGGTTTCATTTAGATGGGTCAGGGTACTTGGATTGTGGAAGCTGGCTGACTAAATACAATGGGATCATGAATATCATCTCGTCGGTGTTCTTCCTGCTATGGCATGCTGGCAAAGGGGCCTACTCAACATCCTTCAAAAAGACGATGAAGACGAATTGTTTACCGACCTGGAGAATTTGAAGAGGTCACATTGATACAAGGAGATATTTCTTTCGGAGCTCTGTGGAAGAAAGACAATGTGGATTAACATTTGGGTCCTGAATACAACATGTCTTTCAAGGTATTGTTGCAGATGTGGATCCCACACTACCATTTTACACTTTGTCACAGCATTCCATAGTTTGAATTATTTAAATAATTTGCTTTATCTTGTGTGCTTTCAGTCTTGTCAGTGTTCCTTTACTAATGAGTGGTTATACGGCTTTACAAACTTATTTCCCATAACATAGTCAGTTCGACAAAATAATAAATAAAGACCTGTTGTGCCGGATTAGGTCGTACAGACAAAGGACCGGTGTCCTCACCTTTACAGAGCTGTGTGAGCTCGTACCTTGTAAACCTTTGCTGCAGGTATGGCAGGGACAGGCTCCTCGCTGTAGGTCAAGTTGTTCTCTGCAAAGAACTGTTTTATTGCCTTTTCAGAAATCTCCACTCCAACCACCGAGTGGCCCATGTCTGCTAGCCTGGGATTCACGAGTAGAAGGAATTATGAATAGCAGAAATGCTCACAGACAATACGAACAGCAAATGTGATTTTCCTTATTGGATACAGTATGCGTCTTCATACCACTTCATATCGACAGCTTTCCCACAGAGAGGAAAGAAGAAGCGAACTCCTGTCCGCCCCGAAACAACTTTATCGATGTTCTTCTCCAGCATCCTGTCAAAACAAAACACAACGGCTATTCACAACAAAACACCAACAATGTGTTTTCACTAGTTACGGCCACTTCTGAACTTCTTTACTTGTGTACGTGAGGCTGGTGGAAACCTATTCGGTCCTCCTGCCAGCGTTCCTCCCAGTCGCCGAGGGCCATGACCTGATCTGCCTGCGGCGCCAGCATGCTGGTTGTGTTCGGCTGACCCCAACTACAGGAGGACAGCGGAGAGGCGTCAAGCAACGGAGAGCTCAGCATTCACAGGTGTGAAGACAGTCACGTGTTCCTGCACGTAGACACATACGAACCAGCTGCAGGTGAAATGCATGACGGGGAAGAAGCTTTTAACATGCTCCCAGGGTTACAAAAACAGTTTTGGGATCAGAGCAGATGAGTGTGAGGTTAAAGCTCAGAGAGTAATCAGCGCCCTGTAGTGTGCAAACACTTTGCGGAGGATCCAGATGCATACAGATGCGTCTAGTCAGGATAACTGCTACAAGAGAAACCGGTGCATTGGTCACGCAAGTTAAACTCGGACCACAATAAGAAATACCTAATCATTTTGCGTGAAACAAATACACACTAACGTGAACTAAATAAAGGAGTTCACTGCTATGATCTGATGAAATGACTCGCGTGTGTCACGAGCAGAATTCACCACGTCAGTTACACGCAACAATGTCACGCTTACCCGACGGAGCGGCCAGAATACTTTTAAAAGAAGACCTGAATTCAGCATGGTTGTCGGTTCAAACTAAGAGTTTAACATTACCTTTGACCAAAATGAAGACGGGTAATGTTTGACGAGCAACACACCGCGACAGCGTCCTTTATGCAACACACGGTTTATGTGATGAGTGTGCATTTTGTGCCCTGGGTGAGGTCTGTCAGGTGGTTTGCGGCGCATTGCTGATGAGGTTTGATAACTGTGGAGAAAGTAGCTGCACGAGCAGGAAGGTTGTGCCTTACAGACTAAACCCGGGGAAGAACACACGTGTATTTCTGGGTTTACTTCTGGTTTGGGAGGAGCCTGATGCTGAACTAGTATCTCATATTTCTTATGAACAATATCATCAGACTTAAGAACATCAACACTCTTAAATGTTTTACCCCCAACGGTTATTGTGCATCAAACATCCCAGTATGATTTAATGAAAAACATTAAAGTTATATTTAACATTTACACATTTTACATCTTATTTCTTCACCCTCAAATGAAGTCAAGAAGTAGGTGTACATCAACATCATGTGCAGGTGTCTTGACTTCTTGACTTCATTGACGAAGGTGAAATCAGCCACAAAGGCGAATGTCACCATCAACTGAGCAGTAAACAGCAAAAACAACTCAAGGGAAGAGGTGTATATGTTTGTGTTGAAACAGAAATCAGAAAAACGGAATCAGGAAACATTTATTGTCATAATATGTCCGACATACAAGGAATTAGACTTGGCGATTGGACAACAGTGCAAGAGGGATTAAATAAAATATAATGCTATTGGTTAGTAATATAAGGATATGGGTTAGTTTAAAAATAAAGGAATAAAAGTTAAAAGTTAAAAATATAAAAAAATGTAAAATAAACTCCACCAGGGAACAGAAAGTGATGTGTGCAGTATGGAAGAAAGTGACCGGTGGGACGTCAGAGTCAATCAGTGGGGGGCCGGGCTCTGTTCATGAGCCCGACTGCGGATGGGAAGAAACTGTTGGTGTGGCAGGAGGTCTTAGTCCTGATGGACCTCAGGCTCCTGCCAGATGGAAGGGGCTCAAACAGGTTTTGTCCGGGTTGAGAGGGGTCGGCTACAATCCTTTTAGCTCGCTTCAGAGACCTGGAAGCGAACAAGTCCTGGAGAGACGGCAGATTGCAGCCGATCACCCTCTCTGCAGAGCGGATGGTACGCTACGCGTACCAGACGGTGATGGAGGAGCAGAGGATGGACTCCATGATGCCCGTGTAGAAGTGGACCATCATCGTCTTTGGCAGGTTGAATTTCTTCAGCTTCCTCAGGAAGAACAACCTCTGCTGAGGCTTCTTGGTGATGGAGCTGATTTTCAGCTCCCACTTGAGGTCCTGGGTGATGATGGAACCCACGAAAACGGAAGGAATCCACAGTGGTGACGGGGGGAGTCACCTAGGGTGATGGAGGAGGGTGGGACTGGGGCAGGCGTGAGCCCCTGGGCTGAGGGAGGGCACCTTAAGGCTCGACTGAAGTTTGCTGCTGATCACATGGACAAAGATAAGACCTGGAGCAAAGTTCTGTGGTCCGACGAAACAAAAATCGACCTGTTTGGCCACAACGCGCAAGAATATGTTTGGAGGAGAAAAGGTGAGGCCTTTAACCCTGTCACACCTGTATGTCAAGTTGGGTTTTCGTCCTGTTTCCATGTTTGTTTTGTGACTTCCTGTTTTATTTTGGAAATTAAATCTCCTCTCGTTTCAGGTTCAATGCCCTTCCTCATGCGTCACCAGTCTGGTTGTCTTCCCTGATTGTGTCCACCTGTTCCCACACTTCCCTCATGTGTACTTATAGTCTGCGTCTCCCCTTGTCCTGTGCCAGTGTGTCATGTCCTTTTGCCTTGCACACCGGCCTCAGGAAAAGAATCAAGCCCAGGTCACAGTTTCTGTTTGTACGTAGCCACCTTGTGGTCTCCTCAGTTGGCCTCGTGCCGTTTATAGTTCCACAGCTTCTCAATTTAGTTTAGAGCCCTTTTTGATTGATTGTTTTGTTAATTTTGTTTTTTCTTTTAACTATTTAGCTCTCTTAGTTTTGCCGGAGTGTTTCCCCCTTCATCTCTCTTCGGAGAAGTTTTTTGTTTCCAGGGACTTCCCTGTGTTTTTTTGTTGGACAATAAAAACGTCAGCTGAACCTCTACTCTGCGTCCTTCGTGAGAAACCCCAAGAACACCATGCCTACCATCAAGCACGGTGGTGGCAGTATTATGCTGTGGGGCTGTTTTGCTGCCAATGGAACTGGTGCTTTACAGAGAGTAAATGGAATAATAAAGGAGGAGGATTACCTTCAAATTCTTCAGGATGACCTAAAATCATCAGCCTGAAGGTTGGGTATTGGGCACAGTTGGGTGTTCCAACAGGACAATGACCCCAAACACACATCAAAAGTGGTAATAGAATGGCTAAATCAGGCTAGAATCAGGGTTTTAGAATGGCCTTCCCAAAGTTCTGACCTAAATCCCATTGAGAACATGTGGACAATGCTGAAGAAACAAGTCCATGTCACAAAGCCATTGAATTTAACTGAACTGCACCAATTCAGTCAATTGAAGTGAAAATGGCCAAGGGACAAATATTAGCACAGCTAAAAAAAATTGAGGTGGGTAAACTATACATTTTGTGATCATACAGACCTCAACGCGATGCAACGGAACACAAAGGCTGTCCAGGCTATATTGCATTATGTTATCAGTTAAAGTCACATACAATCAATGACACTGAATAAATGTGTTTGCAGTTTGTAGTTTATTACATTTCAAGAAAACAGTAAATAAAAGTATGTCTAGGCCTCAAAAAATGAAGGGGGTTGAGTAGACAAAAGAAAGGACCTTTATAGTACCTTAAAAAATGAAGGCCTCTGGAAACAGGCCCGGGGTGTTACAGCTGAACCGTGTAATATGAAAAAAGCCACTTCCCCTGCTCCTTAACCATTAAGAGAAAGCTCCAAAAGTCCACGTAACCAATGAATCCATTTCGAACAGGCGGCTGATCCGCAACATGTGTGTTTACATCCTGAATGGTGGAGCAGCCGCAAGGCGCCGATTGGAGGGTCACAGACCAGACAGCGCAGATGAAAATTATTCTACCGCGTTTATATGTTCATTTCTTAATTTCTTGATATAGTTTACCGTTTGTTTTTTCACCTGTCCCACAACACAGGCAAGGACTGCTGACTTCAAAATCAGCTTACGTTCTGCACTATTAACGTGATATTACATCGCTATGATAAATGTTAAATCTTTTCTTTTGAATGAACTTAAAAACTTGCAAATTCAACTGAATTCCCAAATAATTTGTTTCCAGACCACTGTAGCTTCTATTTACTGTTTTACTTTTTTTTCAAAGTGACTGGGGGAAAAAAACTAAGATTTTGTCTTCAAATGAGGTTTACCTCACCAGCATAGCACTCTGCATGGTAATTTTTCTCAAATGATACCACCCGAATAGACTCTGTAGAACCCTGAAAAGAATAAAACAAATGGAAGGGGAATTGTCACCATAACTTCTCAGAAACTACAGTAAAAATTGCTGCAATTAGTCATTAATTAAACAATGAATTGAGCTCACTTCAGTTGGCAGTATCGGCACTCTACATGCAGCACACAGAGGGGCTCGGACCCTGAAACCACAGAGAAGGTCACAGAAACTCAGATGTGAAGCACCCAGAGGGGCCGTCTCATGTTGGGCCCGTCGGCCTGGGTTTGGTTTCTTCCTTTGTCTAGAGTGTGAATTAAAAGACCCGGCCCATTGTTGTTGTACCTATTCGCGGCCTGCATGAGAAACTCACCTGTGGTAGTCGTCGACACAGTAAACCCGGTTGTCTGTGTCTGCGGTGAAGGGCTCCGCCTCCAGACTCCGTCGGCAGAGCACACAGCGAAAGCAGGACGGGTGGTAGGACTTCCCCCGAGCCTGCAAAATCTGACAATGCAAAAGCAGCTCTTCCTTACATAATGTGAGAGTGAGTTGTTCAAAGTAACAGGTACATTTACTAAAGCAACCAAGTAACGTTTAGAGGTACCTTGGATGTTTCTTATTTCATAATGCATTATTCTGCAAGGTGCCATTCCGCACAATACTTCTTTTGCTATTTGTGTATATTTTTGTGCCATTACATGAAAAAAGAAAATTTGCATGACTGTAGTATTTCTACGTATACCCAAGTAAAAGATGTGAATAATACTTCCACCCCCCGCAGAGCGCATGCTTCACATAATATGAAGTCATAGCGTGCACAAGCAGTAAATGAATACATTCTCACCATGTCCTTAATTAAATACCCACAGTTGTTACACACTTCTTGGGCTGGATGAGCTCCTGAGTGCTGCAGTAAATAACAAAACAATTGACTCATTACATTTCTGGTTGATAGCAGTAAATCTTCAAGCTGGATATGAATCACGCATTTATTAGACTGTATGCACTATATTCTTACCAAGAAATCCTCTTCACAGTAGATTCTTCCTGATACTGTATAGAACGGTTTCCCACTGAGCTTTTCACCTAAGAAGACAAGACAGAGTTGAATATAAAGGTGAATAAATTATTTGGTTTTCTTCAAGATATTAATTTAACCTTAAATTGTGATCGGGCCCTTAAATAGTTCTTGAGATGCAATTCTTGCTATAAAGAAATACATGACATTTGTTGTCCGTCAGTTGTGGTCTTTTGGGCTTCACCCGCACATCAGGAGGACTCACTGCAAACGCTGCAGGTGAAGCAAGTGTCGTGGAATAAACGTCCCATCGCCCGGCAGGCTCTCCCTTCCCCGTACACCGCTTCGCTGCAGGATGTGCAGCTTCCTGAACACACAACAAGGAGGAAACACAGAGAGCTGGACACCTTGAACACCGACTGAAAACACACACACACACACACAGAATAATAACGATCTCAACCCACAGCCTGATGGAAGAGATGCCCACTGGAAATCCATTTTACCGAGGAAAACATTCAGCGTGCTCTCTCCTTACCAAAGTAAAGACTGGAAACACACCCTGGGTCCATCTCCTGCTGGATTGCCCACAGTTGTCTCTGTGCCTGCTGGATTCTACAGAAGGACTGCGGGTCTAATTTTATGTGCGTTGCAGACAGCTGTGAGGCGAGCTGCTGTCTTGGCGTTGCATTTGGTGCGTTTGGTCTCCCCTCAGACGCCCTGACTCCTCCGAGCTGGCTGTCTGAACGGCACCAGACGAGGCCAACTGGTTTCTTTAGTGTAAGTTATCAAAACAATGCAGTGGAGGCATAAAAGTACAGTCTTTCGCTGTTTTATCTGAAGCAGAGAATAGCAAAATGCAATGTAAACCCTGTTGAGGGAACCACATGATTGTACTGACGGTAGTGACTTTCCAGTTTTGGGAAGAAGCATTCAGATCAGTCAAGACCAAAACAAAACTGTGAGAGTACTGCATTCAAAATATTGCTTACTTATGTAATAGTAAGTAAGTAAAGGTTTTTCCGCTAAATTGACAGTGTGAAAACTAAAAGTACTTGTTTTGGCAATCAGCTATTCATGTGGACTCATTAAGTATATTTTGATTGATATTGTGGATGAATTTACATAAAAGATGCTTTGCACTGTTATAGAAAAATGTCTGCTTTTCAACCAAAAGTGTCTAAAATCCATCAACCCCCCCTTTTTGTGTTAATGTTAGTTTGTCTGTGAATCAACAAAACTTTGAACAGCAGAGCGGAAACCTTCAGCCTTTAGTAATAAACACTTGCAGGGATTAGACGGGCTGCTGCTCATTTATATATTTTACCGCCCTCATGTGGAATATTCAGGCAGCCTTGAGTTATAACCGATGACCTGGAAATAAAGTTCAAACCAAACACTGATCCGTGCCAAATGAGCAGCAATGTGGTTTTCTGTATTTTGTTTCCATGCCTGATTTGAATGACTCTACATGTACACAAATAACTAAAATTATTGAAAAGCAAGACCATAAAGGCGACATCAAACATGATCAAAAATTTAAATAATTTACCTGGATACTTTTGTTACAATTTGATATTTTGTTGTTTAAACTGAAACCCTGTGCAGCACATGTTAGGCTGCGGGTCTCCAGCGGCATTGGAGGGGAAGCGTGTGACAGCTGCTGCTTCTTCACTGAGCTCTCTTATTGAAACACACTGAAGCTGTTCAAACTCACCACAACGCCCACTCTGCAGGCTGCCAGACTGGTTCAGCACAAAACCACTCAGGAGATCACTGCTGTTGACTGTACCAGTGTGTGTGTGTGTGTGTGTGTGTGTGTGTGTGTGTGTGTGTGTGTGTGTGTGTTTTGGGAGAGGGGGGTCAAAATGTCTTCACAAAGACAGAAAGATAAGATACAGACAAGTTAGACGTTTTGTCTCTATAGAGACAAAAGTGAATATATATATATATTCACTTTTTCAAGCATATTTTGAATCCTCCCGCTGTATTGTTACGTGTGTGTATTTAAGTGCTTGGTTTAAAGGATGCATGATAACGTTCAGGCCACATTGGTTGAAACAGAGGGTTAATATGGGGCATTTTCCATTAACAGCGGGGTGACTTTAACTAGGCTTCCGAGACAAATGAGATGTTTGGCCCCAGTTAAGTTTTTGTGCAGGAATGTCTGCGTCATGAGACATGTGCAGGCAGGAGGAGCGCCTGTGCAACTTGGGAGTGCTATCCACAGTGTGATCCGACATCAACAGTCAATATTTTCATCATCATCATCAAAACAAAACGCAAACGACCGGGACAACCTGCTTTAAATGCGAATACATTCCCCCGTTTAAACTGTCGCCTGAAACATGTACCAATAAGGACTGAATTTAACCCGATAATACTTGCGTTTGTATCGATTCGAGGGCTTTGGTGCCTCATTCTAATACTCTATTAGTGGGCACTGTGGACTCCGCCTCCGCAACGACGCACGGTGCCAACAATCTGTGGCATGTTTGGCCGCGCATAAATAGGACACACATTGTGCCACACGGCAGTAACGTAAGGACTCGTCGCCGGGCTGAACTTCGAGGATCACTTCTGTAGTATTTCTGCTCAAAGGCCCCCGATCACACCCTCACCCATCAAGTTTGGACAGGTAACGGCCGCGGGCCACGCCCTCCGCCGCGCGCAGGTAGCGCGCAGCAGGAAGTAGCTGTCAACGCCGTCGAGTGAAAGTTAACGAAAAATGCGTCTGTGTATTTGAAAGAGCAACAGCGACTTGTGCCGTGTGTCAGATTTCCTAAATCCTTGTTTCGTTTCCAGCGAACATGCGGCTGTCCGCGAGCCGCGCGCTGCTGGCGCTCGCGCTTCTGGCGGCCTTCGACTCGCCAGGTGAGACAATCATCCCCGAACAGCATAAGCTCGTGCTTGCGGGAGCCTCGTTCCCTCGGTTGACGTCGGACGTTATCAATTTGTGTGTAATGTACCGCTTTACTCGGAACCGCGTGGCTTCGTTTAGGCTTTAATTGGGTCGAACTCACACCTGGGAGGAAAGTGCAGAGTGTCTATTGTGATTAAACGAGAAAACCAATGGGGTTCGCTGCGGCGGCCTGCGTCGACGTGAGCTGTTCTTTAAAGCTCCGCGTCCAACACATTCAAAGATAATCGAGACTTTTAAAAAGACTTTTAAGACGCCAGTGTTTGTGATTCATTGAGTCTACAGTGGAAACGAGAGGCTGAGGCACATATTCAGTCTAGTGTGTGACTAGACCTCCATTTTCAAATGGTTTATGAGCCTTTTATGGCGCTTCCTCGAGGCATGAATTCATCATGGTTTCATTAATGATTGACTTCTGCAATCTGCCGCTGAGCTGTGAGTCACGCGGCTGTTTTATCCGACATCTTTTTTTGGTTTTGGGGTAGATGTAAACTCATTTGCTTTATTCATGGGGAAGTCATCAGCGTCATCTGGAAAGTATCGTCTTAAATTGAAATAACCATATATACATTTATTTTTAGATGACGTTTGTTTTCTTAAGACGCACTAGTTGTTTAGTGTGACACGAAACCCTCCGGCCGACAGATAAATGCTGCACTGTTGCTCTGCAGCCTTCAAGTCCTTGCAGGTTCAAGTCGTGGATTCCAGGTTTCTTCTTATGTGCGAACCTGTACAGTTTACCTCCCACGTGCTTGAACCAAACACCTGTTTACATCATTGCAGTGAGAAAGCTGCTATCATGAGTTGTGCTTTAGGGTGCAAGCCCTTTATCCCAGACTCATCGGTGGACCGTTCAATGAATGTATTTTGGATCCTTCAAATTATGATTATTTTACTCCCTTTTTAAGTGTATTCCTCCTATATAAATTGCATGAAATGACTAAATACAGTTTTTCTTTCAATATTGGGGAGTTAAAGAACAAAATATAATCGGCCTGTTGGAGCGTTTTGTTTATACAATAAATGCCATATGCCAAAAATCTTGCTGAACATCTAATAAACTCGTTTTGATTCATAAAATAAATGTAAAAAGTACAGAACACTGGAGCCAAAGTTGGGACCTAAACTGTCAATTTAAAGCTGCGATGAAAGTATATGTAAAAGGTGTTTCCCTTAAAGGGAGCCGTTGGCTTTTTCCACAGAAGACTCTTATATTACAGGAACAGCAGTTAGTGGTTCACGTCTCTTTACTCAGCGCTCAAGTGACTCACCGTCATTTCAAGTAAATTAATTTGGCGTGTGTGCGCCACTACACAACATGTGAATAGGTGTATCTGACACCAGTGTTTGCTCAAGAGTCAACAGAAAACTTTACAAAACCCAAAGATGTGCAGTTTACAATTGAATTGGACATAAAAAAAACATTCTTATGTTAAAAGGCATTTAACAAAAAACTCAGCGGTCAAATCAACCAAAAAAACGGCATGCTGTCAGAGAGCCCCGTGAAGGAGAGTACTTTAGTGTTCAGGAGGACACATCCACTGTGTACAATTTTTAAAACCGTCTCAAATGGTTTCTCCTCATAGTCAGCGGACAGATCTTCATGTCACTGATCAGTTCCAACATCTTGCAGCTCACTGCCTGTCATCCGTTCACACAGAAAGCTTGCAGACGGCGGTCCGACCGGATAAAGGCTCGACAGTGACGGTGTCCACCGCGCTGCCGCCGGATCAATGCGCTGTTTGTGCGCTCGGCGGGGTGAACGACACGCTGAAATCCTGCCGGTCCTCTTTGTCTCTGGTACCTGAGGAGGAAGTCAAATTGCTGTTCAACTGCTCCCAACCGATCGAACAGGCTTTCACTGTGACGATCGCTCAGACTGTTGGTGAGTTTACGTGGCGTCATTTCACAACTCGTATGGGAAGCAGTCAGGACCACGTAGTTGGTTTGCTATGAAAATGCCTTTAAAGGCTTTAGTGTAATTGTAATGAGAAAGCAGACAACCTTCTGACATGCGTCATTCGGATCCAACCTTGGATGGTTTAAAAATGACCTCAGGGAAATCTTATTAATTCCCATCAAAACAATAACGGACCAGCACATGCACCTTCTGCAAGTGCTGGAATTTTTCTTCTGAGCAACTTCTTATGCCTTTTTTTAAAAAACTCCAGAGTGCACAAAGGACATCTGCAGCCCGACAACGGTAGAAACGCAACCCTCCCTCCTCTCAGAGTTCAGCAGAACCTACACATGGGAGCTGAAGGCACCGGAGAAGACCCTCGTGGGTTTGAACATCCTTGGAGATGGGCTGAGGGAGACGTCACAACCGTGCCCTGATGGATTTCAGTATTCGGTCACCACGCCCAAGACAAACCCCAAGGGTCTGACTCAGTATTGTCGAGGTGGTTCTGCGACTCGTTTAGATGAGCCCAATGGAGCTGTTGTGTCTCTGCAAGTTAAACCAAGGGCTCTGGTTGAGTCGGTGTTGTTCTACGCCTCGGCTGGACCTCTGAGTAAGAATGAATACACAAACTCTTATTATCTGGATATTTTAACTGAAAATCTCTAAATGGAATTGCTTTGCCTCACACAAGCTCATTTTTGAAAACTACATATTTACACCCAGTAACTACAAAGTGGGATTGTAAGAAATATTCCTAATGTGAACTTGGAAGATTCTGAAGAACAGTTGACAAAACTAATAATGTGGCTAAATGATCAAATTAATGTTTGATTAGCATAATTTGATATTTCCCTCTGATTCTGAACTGCATGAATAAACCTAAAAATGAAATGACCTTGGTGATCAATTTAAGAATAGCTGGTGTAACCCAAGCCTGGCCTTTGACCTCTCTCTCTCCTTTTGCACCACTTTAGAGGGCCGAACAGTGGTTTTATCAGTGAATTCAAGCACGACTGTGGTCATCCGCCGGGATCCTGAGGCGCCAGAGTGTGACGTTTGCTCGCTTGATGGCTCAACTCCTCAATGTGCTACCAACGAAAAGACACTGACGAACGTTAACAACCTCTCGCTGGAGTTCAGCTGCCTGAAACCTCAGGATGTGTACAGCGTGGAGATTAAGAAGAAAATCGGTGAGAACTTCAGATGCTGATCAGTATTTGCTTTAGTCGCCAGTAGACTTTGGGATTGGTTATCTTGGATTCACTTCATACCAAATTCTCACCTTTCAAAATGACTTAATCGTCACTTATTTGTTTACATATGAATACTTGAATACATGCTGAAATAGATAAAGAAATGAGATTAACAGTGTTTGCTAATGGATAACATCCTAAATAAAAGGGGGGGAAATGACACATAAATCGCTAAAAAAAGAGGAAAAAGGAAAAAAGGACAAGGAAAAAAAAGACCGTTTTAAACATTTTAATGTTTGTCTTGCAGAATGCACCCAGAGCACCTGCACTCCTGCTGCAGGAGAAATTGAGCCAGATGTCTTCAAGGACTTCAGAAGATCCATAACGTGGGACATTGGTGTACCACAGAGGACCGTATTAACACTGGACTTCCCTGGTGGCTTAAAGGAGATGTCTGAAGCAGAAACGTGCCCAGACGGTCACCAGTACTCCGTGAGCACAATTAAAAGTCAGGGAGAGATAACCACGAGCTACTGTAAGGGTGGGACGGCGTCTCCTCTGGGTCTGCTCGCAGCAACGAGTGTGACCACACAGGTTCTCAAGGGAAGTGAAGTGGACTCGTTCACTGTCAAAGTAGCACCAAGAGGCAAGTGTCCGTCCTTCATTTGGTTTACGTGAGCGCAAAAAAAAAGGCTATTTACAGAACAATCATTTAAAACACTGCTATTTTTAAGTTAAATTACAAAGCTGCTATGCTAAAACGTATTTTTCTAAATATTCCACTTGCCTTCAACTGCATGATAATATTTTGCTGTTATGTTTACCATCTATATTTTCATGATTTTTAGCAGGTGTTTAATCATAAATACCAAAAAATTTAAATTTGACCCGCTGTGAGGGACGAGATAAAAGGTCCTAGACCTGCAGTTTCATTATAATACATCATAAGGAGGACATTACATTACATGTCATTTAGCGGACGCTTTTATCCAAAGCGACGTACAATAAGTGCATTCAACCATAGGGTACCAACTCAGGAGAACAAGAAAGTGCAATTTCCTCAAATAAGCCAATTTACAATTTGCTATAGATGAGTGACGTTACAAGTACAATTTAAGTGCTACAATTTGTTAGTCTTTAGTCGAGGGAAACGACAAGAACTAAAGCAAATCAGCAATCAAATTAACTTAAGACACTAGAATCAACAACAAATTTAGCAGACTAGCTTGGTTTAAAGAAAGATACTTAGTCCGATTTCAGGTCGCCTGGATGTCTGGTGGCCTTGTAGAAGAGATGCACATGGTGTGTGGGCCACATTTTCGTGGGGAAACTTTGATCAACGTTTTATTTGACCACTTTTGTTTTTTCTGTAGGTAGTAGAATGATGTCTGTGATGCCCGATCCGGACACCATCATTACCATCCGCAGGTTGAGCAACGAGCCAGACTGCAGTGTTTGTATGAACAAGGAGCCCAACCAGATATGCAATAGGAAATATCTCACCCTGAAAGATCCTTATAACACCACTGTAGAGTTCACCTGTCCTCGACCTCAGGATGTTTTCACTGTGGAGATCAACAGAGAAATTGGTATGAAGACTTTTAAAAATAGCATGTGGTACATTTTTCAGAAGTCTAACTCCTGTTAACTCTTATCATTGATATTTGTATCAAAATCCCATTACCGCATAGTTCTTTTACAGCATTTCCTGCTTCAGATGACTAATTTGAATTGACAGTTTTTTTACAATGCAGTCGTATCACAAGTCTTTGTAAACATTTAATGGCTTACATACTCTTCCATACCCAGACTGCACAGAGACCTCCTGCTCTGGTAACATCGTTCAGGCCGAGTCCTCACTGTTCCCAGACTTCAACCGGACCTTCACCTGGGATCTAAAAGTTGTCCCCACTCGGGCCTTCCAACTGGACTTCCCGGAAATGGGAATGCGACAGATTCCCAACGGGGAGATCTGTCCAGACGAGCACACGTACTCCATTGTTACGTATCTCCGCACTGGGCCAGCCACCATTGCTACTTTTTGCAAAGGAGGAACTGTGACCACCATCCTGGCTCGCTACAAGGGCCGAGTATCTCTGCAGGTGCCCGGCGACCGGAAGCTGGACCCTGTTGACCTCAAACTCAACGTTGGACCTGAGACCAGCAGTGAGTTGGATACGTTTGTTGTTGTTTTTCTGTATCATGATTGGAAGACATCTTCTGCTTAATGATACACTCCCCGTGCCCCCCCCCCCCCCCAGTGGTTGCCATAGTGAAAGTCAACCTACCACGCGGCGTGTCCAGCACAGACTTCATCACGGCCAACTATCCCGGCCGGTTTCCTGACAACCAGCAGATGCAGTGGGACTTTGCGGTGCCCGGCATGCACAACTACACAATGCACTTTCAAAATCACACCGCTCCGGAGTGCCTCGCCGAGGAGGTGGAGGTGGAGTACCAGAAAGACAACGAGAAGGTGACCAAGCTGACTCTGATGGATCCTCAGCCGAAGCATGCGCAGGGCGACTTCAGCATGGTGCTGAGGAATTGTGAAACCAACACAACGCTGCAGGGCCTCACCTTGAACTACAGAGTGTCTGTGATGAGGAGTGGGCATCCAGGTACAGTTTTAAAACTTAACATCAGAGAGTCCAACGCTTTGGAAGTTATGTAGTGAATGCACTCAAGTTACTCATAGAAACTAATTTACTTGTTTTGTTTTTTCGAAAATTGCAAGATTAGTACAACGCTAATTTTACAGAAATTACGCTTATTTTTATTTTACTGCAGAATACATATGCTTTCATCCTGATGATGAAAAGAGTCTGGTCCCTGATTCAGTATTACCTCTGGGGTTTTCAAAGCATGTATATATTTTTAGAATAACTCAAACGTTATCTGTGCGACTTGAATGTAAAACATGAGGGGATCAAGCCGGGGGTCCAAACATGCACGACTTTACCCATAATAAGTCCTGTAAAGTATTTTTGCTCATCCAGCAGCTGGTGATTTTCTTATTTGAAATGATGTCTTAATAATGTGAGAAAAAAATGCACAATTGGACTAAAAGAAGTACCACATCTCTGATTTAACATTTCTGATCAAATATTGTCACGATGAAAGCCGAGATAAAGGCTTCCTGATCACCAAAATCTATGTTGTGTATCTGTCATAGTCCTGTGTGCCGTGGACCTGACCGAACACCAAGGAGTTTCCCTGCAGATCGAGAAAGTGGGTTCTGATCCCTACTGTGAGATGAGCATCAACTCTCAGGTCAAAGAGAAGATCAGCGTGGCCGCGGGCACGAAGGCCAACCTGTCCTTCCTCGACTGCCCGAATGAAGATGTGCGCCTGACTGCCAGTAAAGTTATTGGTAAAATGAATTCATTTTTTGCAATAAAATGTTCTGTCACGGTTTCCCGCGAGAAAGAAATATAAACGTCTATTTAAATCAAAGGACCAATTTAGTGTTTTTGGAAATACTTTTTTAGCCTTCTAGCAGAGTTAGAGGAGAAGATGCCACTGTGATGTCTGCACTGTAAATATAAAGCAAGACTTAGTAGAGATGAGAGACGGGAAATGCCTGCCTCTGTCTGCATGTTTACATTTTCTATTTGTTTCTTGTTAATCCATGAGTTAGATACTTATTTTTCTCATTGCCCTTTTCTTTTAAATAACAGGGTGTCTGGATATGACGACGTGCTCTGCGACTCAGCTCACCGTTCCCAAACTGGACTCCTGTCTACCGATGTCCCTACACAGCTTCACCTGGCACCTCAAAATCCCCGAGGACCGCACCGTGGACCTGATGTCGCCCACGGGGAGTCTCCGACAGTCCCTGCCCGGCCAGGACTGCGCTCAGTCCGTCTCCCTGCACGTGGCAGAGGGCGACGGGTTTTCTGTGGGAGATTTCTGCTTCACCGGGATGATCCAGAAAATTCAGGTGCACGCAAACGTGTCTGTCACAGTCTCGGACTTCAGCCAGACGAAGGAGCCTTTCCTCAACGTGAGCTTCAGTCAGGAGATCCCAGGTAAAACATGGATATGTTGCGTACTGCACCTTTTCGATTTATTGGTTTTGTCAGAACATTTTTCAAAAAGTGGCCATTTGTCACGCTGCGGTTCTCCGCTCTAAGCAAAGTCAAAATAGAGAATATTCATTTTACTTCTAAATTCCACACAGGGGCACTATTGTACCGCAAATGTTGAAAGCTACAGTACTGCCGCTCTGCATTATCGCCGTCCCTTTTTCTGTTTTTAGAGACCATCATTTACAGGATCAGCCCCGAGGCGTCGTCCCCGACCCTGCTGGCGACCCCCAACTGGCCTCTGGGTATGAGGCCCTCGTCCACCGTGTCCTGGCTCGTCACCGTACCGAGCCAGTACGAGGCGCTCGTGCAGCTTCCCAACGTCAGCCAACCTCGATGCAGGGACAGGCACACCGACATCACGGTGAAGATGCTCGGGGACGAGGAGGAGCTGATCAGCCGCAGGGAGGACGAGGCGCCAGTGGACATGTTGACGGTGCCACGTAGTTTTTATCTCAACATGTCCAACTGCATACCAGAGCGGGGAGTCTTCGCTGCAATGACCAAAATTGTTTTGCAGAAGAAGAGCAGTAAGAGAGCACGACCAATCTAACAAAAGTCCCCTGACTAACACAAAGCGCTTCATCCTAACGTGTCTCTTTCCTCTCCAGACCTCCTGGCCATCCTCCTCGGGGTAGCGGGAGCTGTTTTGCTGTTGCTCATTCTGCTGGCTGTTGCGTGCTTCGTCATACGGTGAGTTCACCTTTAGCAACATCTGGCTGGAGATTTATCAAACTGTTGCACTGAAATATAAAGGTCATAATCCTTCACTTTAATTCCCACTGATTTGTAGATTCCGCTATCTTGATGGGAGTTTACACTAATATTACAACCAACAACAATAAAGGTGGCCCGGATTTAGTCTGCAATAATTTTCTGTCCATCTTGTTATGTGATATTAATTTCTCGTTTTATTTTTTCTCTGACGCAGCGGCAGAATTTTCTTACAGCTCCATGTTTGATTTTCTTTCATTTCCAATAAATTTATCCTGTACAAATATTTATATTGAATTGTTAATTTCCCATGGAGTTCCCCACTGGCGATATTAAACTAATATAGTAACTTAAGAGAATTAACGATTCAAGAGGTCTTTGCGGAACGATAATTTGTTTTGAAAGCATATATTGTATAGTAACTTGACTGACTTTGACTATTCTTTTTAAGGAAATTACTTGTTTTAAGTAAAAAACTTTGCTCTTGAGCATCAGTCTTAATTGATAAAATGTTTTCCAATCACATTTGAATCAATTGATTAAATAATATTTTTAGCTTCATAAGAGATGAATTGTACAGTATTTGTCAAGACAAAAAATTTAAGGAAAACTTTATTAAACTAACTAAATTTAAAAACTGAAGTCAATTAGACTATTGTTTCCACCAAGAGATTTAAGCTTAAAGGAAAAGTATAAAGGTGTATGTAAATGAGTATATACACTTGAATTATTATTCTAACAGTGTTTGTATTTTTAGCTCATGAAGATGTTTGACTATGCAGTGTTTAGGCTCCATATGTTGTGTATTTGATGAGTATGGCGCTGGGGTCGATGCTCGTAGACCAGGCAGTGTTCAGCTTTTAAACTGGCAAAGTGCTCTTCCATTTGTCTTATTTTCTAAGATATGTCTCCAACGGGCAGCTTTTCTTAACTCATTGCTTGTGGTTTCATCTTCTCGAACAGGAAAAATAAAAAAGACAAACTAGCCAAGGATTCGTCCATCTACATCGGCAAGGGGAACATCTTCCGCCCAAATGACGGACACTTCAGCAAAACTCGGTCTGATAACGAGTCCCACGTCTACGCCTCCATAGATGAGGCGATGACGTACGGCCACCTGCTGGGAGACTCCAGCTACGCGGACAGTATGCCGAACCGCTTCAACGGCGGGCAGGTGGACACTTACAACACATTTACAGGGCCCACTAGTTCAGGGCTGCCTGAAATCCAAGAACCGGACAATGAGCCCGAGTTGGAGGTGTTCAAGACCTTCCTGGACCCGTCCGAGTCTTTCCACCCGCCCCGCCCGCGCACTCCCATCGACCGGCAGGACAGCCTCGGCTTCCAGGACCGCAGGATGTTGGACAATCAACTGTTCACGTTCAAGAGCACCGGGGATATAAACACGATCCGGCTCTCCGGCGTCGACGTGGAGCTGCAGACGCCTGAGGAGGACTCCTTGTAGTGTGTCAAGAATGTAGCTGCACGATGGGCCGATGTTACGCTGTTGTGAAGAGGATTTAGTATCTCAGGACGATGCCGATATGAACTTCCCTCAATCACACTCCGGTTAATCTCCTCTGTGCGACGTGTGCGTCGTCTTTGTCAGAACTGGAGCTTCAAGAGACCGTGCTGTGATCCTTTTTTCTATGAAGCATTCAAAGGACTCTATTGTTAGACATTCAATATTAATGGGTATGATTTCTTTAGTCTGCTGAAAATAAGACTATCTTGCATGCTTTGCACACAAGAGGAGGTTTCAGTGGGTTGCAGTCACTGCCAGGTTGTGTACACTGCCCCGTTTTTAAAGGAGGTTTGTTCATTTAGGAAATACCTCTTCACTTTCTTTCCCAAAGATGAGAGATGGCACCTTGTTAGCGCCGCATGAAGACTAGAAACAAGTGGAAACTGCTACTCTGGCTCAGTGCGAAGAAATCTCATACATCTTTAAAAACAGGATTTTACGTATTAATTAGTGAGTGTGAGTGATATTCCTTATTCTATGTTGAACGAGACGACGGCAACAAAGTGCCAAACTATTCCTATAATTTTCTACTTGTTTGTGCTTTTATTTCATCTTTACCAATGTGACAAGCATTCAGGAGCGAGCACTATGGAAACGTGGTCCATGGTTTTTATATTGCTTACTTGTTTTTAAAAGATTTGTGTTTTCTTTTACCTGTAAATACTTTTTTTGCAATAAATTCTAGGAAAATGGTGTCCTGGGAAAAATGTTTACTACACGTATTAACTGCCAATATTCCCTCTTGTGCAGGAAGAACCAGTGACCTTTTGCAGTCTGGAGAGTGAAAATTGTTTCAACCACAGAAACTCTCGCGATGAGCCGCTCAGCTTCTGGGAATAGTGTTTGACTAACTGCAAAACGCACACACACACACACACACACACGCTAAGAGTCAGACGGTGTCACAATCTAAAACTAAAAGGCTTATTTCCTCAAACCTTTCCTTGAAGAAAAGAGAAATGGTTTTTCATAGTTTATTCATGGATTTTCAGGCTATACATTGAAGGAGACTAGCAAACTAAAATAATTTCCATAATGTGGCTGAAGATGTTACTCCATTTATGTCGATATACTTCTTGGCTTATAGTTTTCACGCCATTGGTTTTTGACGTTAAAATACAGTACTGGGAAAAGGATGTCGGGGTTTGAACCAGTGATTCTCAACCAGTGAGTTATAAGAAAACTAAAGGTACACCTAGTTTTTAAATTTGTGTAAGGTGCCAGCTACACGCACCATTTTACTTCAAAAATAGGATTAGCTGTACAACAATCTAATTTAATCTGCGTTTAACTGTGTTCATCCTAGTTTTATGGAGACGCGGCCAGTGAATCCTCACCAGATCCCTAACAGTTGAAAACGATGTGTGTCATGTTGGAAAAACGTACATGACCCGGGAAAGCATCTGTTTAGGTGCATGTGGTCAAACGATGTTGAACTGGCAGACGGACGGCTTCTCCTCGCGGCAGTTCTCGTCGTACCACTTCCCGCCAGCGGCCCCGGACAGGACGGCGCAGTTTTGGGCCTTGCCTCCATCTGGCTGTGGGGACCGGTAGTTGGAGGTGTCCCAGTTTTTGAATGTGACGCTGGAGCCCGTCTGGTCCGCCCAGGTGCCCTCCGTCACCATGTCTTGGACGCCCAGCCAGACCTGCTCATCCGGGCCGACGCTCTGGCGGACGTAGTCTCTGAGCTGGTCGTTCTCATCGCCGGACGTGGGCGCGCCGAGGACACCACCCATGGCGTGACAGTCCTCGGTGGCGGCGTGATAGCGTTTTCTCACCGTGTCGGCGAGGAAACACTTGTTATTGACCTTTTTGCCTTTCAGGCAGACTGAGGAGGAACATTTTAAAAAAGGGAGCAGATGTGGTTAGTTTACATGTATCACGTTCTTTGGTAGCAATACGAGATGTCCTGTGGTATTTTTTGAAGACATGAGCAACATGAAGGAACAACTGGATTTTATTTTAGCATTTGCCGAATGCTCTCCAGATTCAAACTTGCAATTCCAAAGACTACACATCCCATCTGAATTTGTTTTTAATCGAAGCATAGCTCAGGCTATTGTTTTGAACCTGAGCACACGATTGGCATGCTGAGCAAAGTATTTTATGCATAAATAAATCAAAGCAGCGACCCTTTAAAGTGCTCGTCCATCATAGAGGTCAACAGTGGTCATGAAGAAGAGATGCAGGTCTGAAGTGTAATTTTGCTCACAGGGACACTTCAGCTAGTAAAGGTTTGCTGGTGTAAACTGGTCTGATCTGTTGCCTGGAAACAGGCGATCTATATGTGTTGGTGATTTGATTCAAGCATCTATATTCATGCACCACTAGAGAACAATAAACAGAAAATAACGTAAATATTACAATGGTTCTCTAAAATCATGCCTTGTGACGTTCCCTGAGGGTCCCCTCAGTTATGAGAATCCAAACTTATACACTCTTAAATCTGTTTGAATCCTTTTTTGTTATGACTTTTTCTTATCTAATGCAGTTTTTTGCACTATTTTTTATGATAATGTTAAAAAAATATTTTTTCTTTTAGACTTTGGGAAACTTTATAGTTATTGTTTAACTGTAAAGCCTTTCATGACTTTCTATTTAAACGGTACTATTCATAAAAAAGTAATTCTTATTCAGACTAGATTTTGGCAAAAGGCTCCTCGACAAGACAGGGACATAATATTACAAAATGAGAACCCGCCACGGTTGATCCTCTAATGTACCGCTGCAAAGTCCGATAACTAATGCCTGTCGAAGTATGCACATGAACTATAAACACCCACACACCCTCTGGCCTGGTTTAGTAATTCAAGTCCTGGTATTAGCTGACTTTTTGGAGATATTAGGGGAATTATTTGTATCCCTCCGTTAATGCAAACTAGATCGGCGCTATGAAGTCACCTGTCTGCAGGGCTTGATGTTCCTTCAGCAAGTTGAGCTCCTGGACGATGTCGTTGATCTGTTTCCGTAGCTCCTCGATGGCAGCGTCCTTTGCTGTGTCCGATTCCAACAATGTAAAAAAATCTAAATCAGGAGTTTGTATTGTAAAATCTCTTTTCAAGGAGATTTGTGAATTTTGTTACGGTAAATTTGAAAATTTGATCTCATAACACAAGCTGAACTGAACCAAATAATCCTCTTCGCAGATTGTGGTCTACCTTTTTTTACGGGCTTCTTCTCTGCTGGAGTCTGCTGAAATGAACAGTTGAGCAGCAGTAGTACTCCCACAAGCATACACACTCCTCTGACCTCCATGCTGAGACCTGTTGAATGACGCTACTCCAACATCTACACTCGCAATTTATCCCCCACCTCTCTCTCCCTCTCTCTCTCTCTCTCCCTTTCTCTCAGGAAAAACACCAAAGTCCAAAACTGCCATTTGAAGGAATAAACAATCTGACCTCAGGAGCCTTAAAGAATGGTGTGTGTGTGTGTGTGTGTGTGTCTGTGTCTCATCTGGCACAAGATGCCTCACATGCCAGTACAAACCAGGACCAGGTGCAGAATGGCAGATAATATGAAGCGGTTATGACATCAGTGCAACTCTCCCTAAAGTATATGAAAAAATAAATTAACATCTGACTCACATGTTACATAAGAACTTCTTCCCTATTGCTTGTCTCAAAAGACTAGTTTAAATCTGGATGGGGAAATAAGTAATGAAAAAACATGTTTTTTGGCCCAAACGTGATTTGGAAGTTTCTTTAGGAAAAAATCTTGCAAGAGCTCAATCCATAAAATAGGACTTTGTTTGGAATTAGTCGGCTGAGCCTCAGGGAGAAGTGGACGTGATCCAGAATCACATCTGGTCTTTTTGTAACACTGACACGTGGCAGAAAGAAAGGGACGCCTGTGCACTTACCTCATTTTGTATTGAATGTCAGCTTTGTTTAAAACTACAGTTTACCTCTCATGTTGTGGTTCACATCCACATCCGCTAAAGTTCATCAGTTCATCTTCTTAGCTAATTTCACAATTAGCATTTCAATTCTTCTGTTGTGGACAGAAATGTATTTTGTGAGGTCACAATGACTTTATAAAGATATTTGTTAAAACAGCAACAATAGTGTTTTTAAATGTATATAGAAAGACAAGCAGGCCGTACAAATTTGAAGTTTAATTAGAAAGTTCTGCATAGACGTACATACAAACTGTGGCTACAATAGCCGATATTAACCAAGAAAGCCAACTTTCTCTCTCTTCTTTCCCAAACTCTCCTCCTGTTTCAGCAGCTTCATGAGTGGAGCATGAAGGGCCTTCCCGACGCGTTTACCTGCCTGGAAACAGCAAAACCCGTAAGTATCTTTCTACCACAAAGTCACATTCAGGCATAATGACATTCAAAAACATGGGGGGAGCCAGACGGAAGCGCTGGACTCACCTGTGTCATTTCGAAGATACTCTCTGGCTCCAGGCTGCCCATGCCCACCTTCCTCGTACAGGTGACCGTTCCCTTGTGTGTCACAGCGATGATCAGGCTCGCCACGGAGCAGGCCTTCTCCTGCAGATTCGCATCCACCACGTGCCGGTGGCCCACCTGCAGACAAAACCAACGTCACGGCCGTAGTTTGCGTGTAGAAAAGGGCTTTTTACTTTGGAGTTTGAGCGTGTGAGCTTACCTTGCACAACGTCACTATACAGGGAACGTTTTCCACATCTAGCCTCACGCAATCGTACGGGTCATCTGACAGCTCAATTTCCTTCCCTCCTTCCTCGTCAGCGGACAGGTGCACTTTGGGAATTCTGTGAGCAAGGAAATGAGAAGATTGCTTATAAGCGGTCATTTTACAGGAATAAGATTCATAACAGCTGGAAGAGAATAAAGAAGGATTTATCGATCAGATCTTGAAGAGCAGGATAACGTCTCACTTACTTTGTGTTAAACAGAGCCGCTTTAATAGCTACTGAGATGGCGTCGTACAGGTTTCCATCACACTGCAAGAGCTGTGGAAAAAACGTCAGCGGGTCATTCGACCAATGGCCATTAGTTTCATTGCCCTTCTCCAAAGGGAAAGACATCATCGGAAACAAGCGCTCACCAGCACATCCACATAAAGGACCCAGCAGTGCTCTCCTGCACTGATGCAGAGGCTCTTCAGGTCCACGCTGTGTTTGTTGTTAAAGACTTTGTAGAGGGTGTTACTCAACTCTGTCCCCAGCTCGTCGCCTCCTCTGCCCTCAAACTCGGGAGTTGCATTGGCCGAACTGGTGGTTAGAAGGAGGAAACGAAACAATAAATACATAGAGTAACATCGGTCAGTCAGAGAGGTTTTGTTCTTATTCCACACGTTTACGGATGTACTAGTAATCAGGCAACATTCTCCTTCCTGGGCCTATAACCACTGGGACGTGTTGGGAGATTTGTTTCACAGGGAACTAATGATACAACACTACCTCCTTGTGGCAATCTATCTAAACACTAACTAAATCTGGTTACAGGAGAAAATGTATACAGAAAAAATCTGAACATCAGGACAGGTAGTGAAATCATTATTTCTGGATATAGAATATTTGGAATCCAGTTTGCTTCCTGAGATGGTGGTAAGTACACGTCTTCAATGCTTTGGTGGCCTTAGTTTATACACTTGCAAACAGTCCTAATAGCAAGATGCCCGGCTCGTACCAGTCTACAAAGAATTCCAAGTAGCCTTCATTCGGCACCGCGGGCCTCGGTTTTCCAATGTCAGCTTTGACCCCAACTAGAACCGCTGTGTCGCCCTGGAAGACAGTAGACACAGTAAAGATAGTTATAGATAGATAGTAGACGGACTGGTACAGCTCGGGGGAGAAGTATTAATTCAGTCATGTGCAATGGGAAGTTTGCACAGGTGGGACATTTTTGAACACATTCAGAAAATGAGCAAACGTGGAGGTGTATTTATCACGTTACGTTACCAGTGTGACTTTAGCTGAGCCGTCTGTGTTGGACACCACGTCGGTCTCTATCTCCATGTGTCTGTAGTCCTCGCAGCTTCTTCCGTCCACTCGTAGGTCATCCTGAGTCAAACCAACACGTCAACACCACGGACCGTTAGCTAAGTTTCGCTTTGCGGCGTTTTAGAGCCCAAATCAAAGTCGTGGGATTTTTTGAGATGTTCTTCATTAAAAGGGGTTGAGAGCTGAATCATTCCTGTGAAAAACTTACCCGTATGCCGTGTAAGATGTACACTTTTTCAGCCTCGCTAACATGAACTGTTGCCATAGTGTAAAAAGCCTGATAGCACGCGAGTGTGGCGCTTCTTCCTTACGTCATCAAAAGACGACGCTGTAGCCGGTGAGTCCCGCATCTTTTGCTCACCCGGATGTCCCGATGGTTTGTTCCAAAATGATCCTGCAGAAGATACATGACCCCGCCAACCATTTATTTAGATTGGGTTATTAATGTGTGAGAAGGATCGCCTGATCAAAGATAACAACTTTGATGTTTTACGATAACTTGTTGCATGGTTTAGTAAAACACAACGTATTCTGTTTAATAATGTAAGCAGACTTGTTGTCTTTAAAATACGTCTGTGTTGTTTATATATGAGTTAACTGAAGCTGTAAGTGTTTTTTAGGGCCTTTTGGGAATTGGAAGTGGAATTCCATCTTTTCCATGATGAATAACTGCTTGGTTAGAGATAATACAGCAGAAATGGTATACATATAAACACCACGTTTAGTATTTGGCAATAGATTTATGGCAATTTGACTATTTGTGAGGCTGGCCGACTACAGGCAAAGCGGACACTGGTCACACCCGCCCCCCCCCCCCCCCCCCCCCCCAGGACTACAAACTATTGACAACTGATGTTTCAACTATTCAGTGTAAATTTATTTTGGGATCATAACATTACACGACTAACACACTAGCATCTTGGGTGTGTCTCTCATCATCGGGGGCCCTCTGTGGAAAAGAGGCACCCTAGGGCCTCATCATCAGGAATCATTCAACATTTATTTTCCAAATATGTTAGACAGACGAGGAATTTGAGATGGCGGTAGGTGTATGGTACCATAATCTATTATTTCGGTACACTTTCTTGATGCATATATTTGTATTATCTGTGTTTAAGAAAACCAATGTGACTTAAATATAAAAATTGCGAAGACCGCGGGGAAAAAACAAGGAGCCAACCAACTCCCTTTTTCGCCAACGTGTCTCCTACCAGCTCCATTTTCAGTTTTGTCAAAGAGCTTAAAACATAAACATAAAATACCCGCAGTATACCAGTTATAATAAAGATAAATAAATACATGAACGGAATGCCCCACTGCCGTGTTTTAAATGAACGAAGGCTGCGCATTGCGCGGGCGCAGTGGGAGAAAGCGCCGCCTGACAGACCGCGCCGAGGGCAACGCCGCCCCCGCGGGGAGTACCGGACTTCCTGCTCAGCTCCGCGTTGGGTTTCCCTGCGAAGCTCCCAGGACCGCGCGGTGGCAGAAGCAGTAGGTAGGCGGCGACGCCCTGTCCTCCTGCCGCGGCAATTAGCGCCTGATTAGGCGAATCAACGCGGGGTCGAAACCGAGGCGGCGGAGGAAGGGAACGCCGGGCTCGCGGACAGCGTCGCGCCGCAGATCGGGCGGGTTAGCCGGCATCGCGCTAGCTGAGCGCGGCGGCGCAGGAGACGCTTCGGGGTGTTTTAACTTCTCAAGGCTCCGAAAATACGCCCGATAAGACTTCAGGCAACTTTTCTCGACGAACCCGGAGAGCGCGAGGTATGTGTGTAAACAAAGAAACAAGCGGCGGGTGTGTAACGTCGGGTAGGCTTTAGTTCAGGGTGGATGGTGGTTATCAGCTGTGGATGGAGGTCCCGATCTGCTGCTCCACCAGGTACTTCCTGGTCGGGTTATTAGCCTTCTGGAGGTTGATGGATTATGGCCCTACGATCCCGTAATCACTGCACAGCAGCACAAGATCATTTCCCCTTTTGCGCGTCCATGTTTCAGGGAGGTCAGAGGTCACCGTCGCTTGGTTACTTTGGAAATTACGACTTATGACTTCTTCGGCATTGCCAATTATGTTTTTTGGTTCGTCTTATTTATCCTCCACTGTATCAAAGTAACCAAGCTGTAAACGAGGGTTAATGTTATGTTATCTTATCTGGTTACATGCTAGTTTCAACTGTACTTCCCAGTGTTTCTGCACTATTTGGTGCTAACTGTACTTTAGAGATGCAACTATTACAAAGTCAAGCATCAAGATAACGGACCCAGATATTCATTTCTCCGAGGTGGTTGGAGATGCGATTTGTCTCTGAAGTCAATTTGTTACTAAATGTGTTCTATAGTTGTCATTGCTGCTGATCATCTTAAATCACAACCTCACTTACACTGAAACAACAGTTTTTGCCAAATACTTTTTATGTTATTTTATTATTCATGGTTAAAAAACATTCATTCAATATTGAAATATTTGCAGATGAATTTGGTGATTCATTATCTGATCTTTTCCGTCCAGTAAAGTGTAAATTCTATGATGCTGTCGGATGATGTACTTTCACTGGATTTTGGAATATTGCTCCATCTAGAATAAGAATACATTTTGGAGCAAACATTACTTTCCTGCCCATCGCCGATTCCTTTCAAGTGGCCAAGTTGAACGTCCACACACACACACACACACGTGTTGCTCCTTTTACTTCCTGGTGTTCCACCAAAGTCCTGTGACTCATCAGATTGTGTGTCTACGAGTTTCACTTTGGTTTGCTGCAGCTCGTCAATGATGCCTTCCCGCAGTGTTCCAGCAGAAACCGGTCTGTGCACCAAAGCCGAGCTCTCAAAATGTGTCACTAAAACTAATCCGAGTGAGATTAGAAGTCGTTTGCTCTCTAGGTTCTCTAGATCGAGGAGGTCACTGCCAAAGTAAAATCACATTAAGAGGAGGTCGAGTCCAGCTGTCTCTCTCCTCTACATCACATCTGTCCTCACGCCTCCTCCCCTGTCTGTCCACATCAGCGGCCTCCACCCGCGAGTGCTGTCAGTTACTTTGACATGCGTCCCAGCCGCCCGGCATCAAACGCACCCGTGAATCATTAATTCACTGCATACTTGTTAATTCCCAGGGAGTCTCTGTCACAGTGTGAATCACATTCTGCATCTAATCTGTCTAAGAAACAGAAAGTGTTAACGGTCGTTTCTCGAGAGAAGAAGGAGGCTTTTCTCTGTAACAATGGAGCCATTCAGCTCTTATAATAAAAGAGCAATCTATAGACTCGTTCTCCACTCCACACAGAAAAGACACGACCGCCTGCGTTGACGTTAATGAACTCCGGGTTTTGCAGTTAGTTTCACTTGAGCTCGTTGGTTACTTCATTGTGGGAAGTCTCGTAGTATCGTCCTGTGCATTTTCAGTAAAGCGCGTTATTTAGATCCAGCTAAGTGTCTTTGTTTCCAATGGAGGGAAAGCAGTCCACATTTACTCCACAGTTTCTGTGCGAGTCGTTATCAAGCGCCCTGTGACCCCAAACGCCGGAACAAGGCTTTCTGGGAACGGGCCGCTCCCACCCGATGAATCAGATCTGAACCGGTAACCGGTCACGTGAATCATGAATCATCGGTAGTGAGCTTTGACTGGGGAAACGGAACCTGTTTAACCAGCAATTTCCACGATGTTAAGTTAAAAATAACTTCTATAACCAACATTTATTTTGAGGTCTGTGGCCACGTTTCCAAATTGTTTTCAGAGAAGAATTGCAGGAATTGTTGCAGTCGGAGGACTACCGCACCCCGGCTGCTTTGATTCATTCCCATGTGTGGCGTAGCAACTCCGTGTTGTTTTCATTCTGATTAAATTCCTCCTTAACTGTTATTGCTCAGTTAAGCCTAGAGGATAAATGGAACTACCAATTTCACTGCAATGTTACCGCATATAATAGGAAGAACCTTTTTGGATTCCCTCCGAGGGCTCATAATCTTCTCATAACCGTCACACTGTAAAATCTATAATGGCAGCAAATGAGTGTTCCAGGTACCTCGTGACTGTGTGTGAAGAAAGTGTCCCTGGTAGTTTCATTGCATAAAACAATTGTCAGCCGATAACTTCCCACGTCCAGATCCTGTCCAGTAAATTCCTTTCTTCTACCCCCTCTGCTCCCCCCTCTTCCTCGCCATCTGCCCCCTCGCCACAGTATGCGGCCGCAGCCCCGGGCCTTGTAGGATGAAGAGTCCGGCGCATCGCACCCGGGACATCGAGAGGCAGGCCGACTACCTGAGGCCCGAGCACTGCGCCCCTCCCCCGCCGCGCAACTCCTCCGGCACCATGTGGTTCATCCGCGACGGCTGCGGCATCGTGTGCGGCGTCATCACCTGGTTCCTGGTCTTCTACGCCGAGTTCGTGGTGGTGTTCGTCATGCTGCTGCCCGGCAAGAACGTGATCTACACCCTCTGCAACGGCGTGATCTTCAACGGCCTCGCGTTCCTCGCGCTCGCCTCTCACGCCAAGGCCATGTGCACGGACCCGGTCAGTGAGGCTCTGGTTGGGTTGCGGGGGGGGTGTTGGTTGATTGCGTCCTGCTGTGGTCTATATCCTTTAGGGAATTTGTGTTTAATCAAACTGAGATTGACATGCAGTAAACCTGCCATTCCAGCTTGGAAATGTTTGGTTCCAGTCTAAATTAGCACCCTATGCTTATTTTTCACTGGGGCTGGTTTCTTTGTTATGCTTTGTTCTTTTGTAACGTTGGCGAGTTGAGTGACGAAACCAAACCCCCGTTTCTTCTCTTCAAGGGGCGAGCAGCTAAACGAGTTACCGGGAAACACAGTAAATGCAAATGTTATTCCTTGTCGACTCATTTCTTTTTGTCTGTCTCTCCCCCTCAGGGCGCCGTGCCTAAAGGGAACGCTACCAAAGAATTTATCGAAAGCCTGCAGCTCAAACCGGGACAGGTGGTGTACAAGTGTCCCAAGTGCTGCAGCATAAAGCCGGACAGGGCGCACCACTGCAGGTACGACCCTCCCGGGGATTGTGGGGAAGATCCCAAACCGACCATTAGAGCGCTCTGCTCCCTCCTCCTCCGTGTTTGCTCGTGCTCCCGCGGGTCTCCAGCCCCCCCCTCCCGTCCCGTGTGTTTCATCTGGAGTTGCTGTGTAGCATTTCCCCTGCAGCTGGATGAGAAGGAGTTCCCTGTGTGGCTGCTCGGCGGTGTCCCCGGGGATCCCGAGGCATTAAAAACACCAAAACACTGCAGCGTGATTGAATTGTAGAGGCAGTGAGTCATTCTGCCTCGGCATGATAATCTCAGTTTGAAGGAAAAAAGCGCTGTTGTTTTATGAGTCATCGATGTTGGTTGTCGGTTGACAGACGACGACACCGAGACGATGACCTCGCATCAAATGACCCGTAGGAATAATGCACCAAACGCCAGAGACAGTAGCTCTTTAAATATGGATTTCACTCAGAAAGCTCGTAAACAAAATGCACAAATAGATGGAGTGTGACTTCTCTCCTTGTCAGATGATTGTAACACACAGACAGACGCACAAAGACACGATGATTAGTCTCAACACGCTGCTTTGGGTGTTTTTTTTTCCCCCAGTCCTCAGGTTGGTCTTTTGGCTCAAACGTCATAGTTTGCCTGCTCTATTTCTCTTCATCTTTATCCTAATATTAATGTTCCCACAGTGTGTGCAAACGCTGCATCAAGAAGATGGACCACCACTGTCCCTGGGTGAACAACTGCGTCGGGGAGAACAACCAGAAGTACTTTGTGCTCTTCACGGTGAGTGACACCTGATGTTATCACTATATGTATCATTAGATTTAGGTTTTTCATGAAAGCTCTCTTGTTGTTTCACACAGTACAAGAGAACACTTAAAAAAAAAAAACTACATAAATGATTAAAAAACATTCAAGTCTACAGGCTCTCTGGCTAAAGAATCTTATTACTCCAGGTCTCATACTTTGTTTTGCTCCTTCCCCTGCAGATGTATATTTCACTAATATCCTTCCATGCGCTAATCCTGGTGGCCCTGCATTTTGTGTTCTGCTTTGAAGATGACTGGACAAGTAAGTGACATACCGACGAAGTTTCCACTTTCATTCTGGGACTCTAGTGTTCTGCAGATGTGTGCAGATGTGGCGGACTGTTGTGGCTTAGAATTTGACATTCAAGTGTCACTGTGTCCTCCAAGAAATCCCATTTCTGGCTTTGAGAAGTCCGGTGGTAATTATAAAAAAAAAAAAAAACTCCCCACAAATGTCTAAAGAATGAGATGACGTGAGGATGACGTTTTGGACAGAAATGGAGGCACACGGCAATGAGGCAGTAATTCTCAGTAACAGGACCCATCTCCCTCTATCTCTCTCCAGAGTGCAGTAACTTCTCCCCCCCGGCTACGGTCGTCCTCCTCATCCTCCTCTGCTTCGAGGCTCTCCTCTTTCTGCTCTTCACCGCGGTCATGTTCGGCACCCAGGTCCACTCCATCTGCAGCGACGAGACGGTGAGTGAAAACGTCGGCGCAGCAGTGGCTGACGGCTGGGTTTAGGTCACCCAGGCATTGATGGCGGCCTTTCTTCAGTCCGTACGGCAGCTCCGACTCCCTAAAGTAAATCCTGAATTAATTCCGTCACTAAACCAGAGCACAGGTGAAAGCAGGTCGGCCATCCGCCGTACAGCCTCTAGGTCAGACATGTCAAGCTCACTCTGTCCTGTGCACGTTGACCCCGTTTGGCCCTCAAGAGTATTTCCCAGCATTTCATCTCAAAATCTTCCGCTCAACCCGCCCACGCCGATGACTCAGGGTTTTAATTTTCCCTAATCATCTATTCTCCGCCGTGTTAGTGCATCTTCATCCGTGTGTGTGTGGAGGCGCCCAGAGTGAGTCACCCTGACCCTCGAGTACGAAAAAAACCCGCTTCATTTTTAATTGTTCCCCCTGTTTTTTTTTTTCTTCTGCTGGTACATTTAAGATTTTAAATATGCAGCTACATGTTCAGCTCTGAGCACGAGTCACCTTCTCCCATCCTTTAACCGCAGGGCATCGAGCAGCTCAAGAAGGAGGAGCGACGATGGGCCAAACGGTCCAAATGGATGAATTTGAAGGTGGTGTTCGGCCATCCGTTCTCGATAGCCTGGCTGAGTCCCTTCGCTACACCCGATCACGGCAAGGCAGACTTGTACCAGTACGTCGTGTGAGGGCCGGACGTCCGACTGGGCGCTGCCGTGGACAGAGATGGAACTCCTCTTAACCACCTCTACGTTTTCCTTTCGTTTGTGGATATTATCTATATTTCAGAAACCTGCGGTGGTTATTTAAAGAAAGAAAAAAACAAACATGACAACCTTCCGTTCTTTTCTATTGCATTGTTTCCCTCTTGCTGATGACTGAGATTATCACGGTTCCGCTCTGCGAAGACCAGAAGGAGACGTTCTAAGAAAGACACTGAGGTCCTCGTGCAGCATGTCGGATCCTTGCCTGCTACCAAGTGTTTGCCGTCTGGGCGCCGAGATGGACTCGTGGTTCTGTGCGAGTTGTCAGGATCCTCTTCATTGACTGTATTCCTGTACGGATGATTTGCCTTAGAACAGCGCATCAGTATTTTTAAAACACATTCTATCATTTTTGCCTTAACGAGATGGTCAGTGTGAGACAGGATCGTGGTGGTTTATTGCAATCTTTCATTTTTACTTGTTGTGTCTTTCCTTAGTGCTGGATAGGTAGAATCTTAAAGTCCGGGTTGATTTGGCATCACCTGTGGTTACAAGGGGTGACAACAAGTGCCCTTTAATACTACAGTTACACACACACACGGACAAGCAGCCGATGTTGAATCTAATTACATGCTCAAGATTGAAAAATGTGAAAGGAAACCCACATAGCCAAACCAAAGAGGGGGAAGCTTAAACTTCATTGACTTTATTATGCGCGTGGAGGTCGTCTTAATGAGGCGCGAGAATGACGGACTCCTCCACTAACCAAGAAAAACACTACGCAGGTAAAAAGTGGATTTATCTACATTGAAAGCCCTCTTGCTAAAAAAGGCCTGAACATAAATAGAATCAGAACGGTTTCATTCCATAAAAGTCTGATAGGATTATGAATGATACTTACTTGTAATGGTGTACGGCTTGTAATGGTGGATGGTTTTACAATCCAGCAACTAGTTTGCACAGTGTCCTTCTCTTGACTATTTGGACTCTTTGTTTTCCAACCATGTAAATCACAGGCGAGTAGGAGGTCGGGGACTAAAAACGGTTCACGTTGCTCTCTGAATGCACCGACCCCGAGTGGAATTCACTGGGTCTGTAATTGATGGAATTTGCTTGTGGATAATCCAGTTTGTCATAGGTTGCAGTCGTGAGCCTGACTGGAGGGATAAAAAGCCTTACAGGATAAAATGCTGAAATTTAGGCCATTGGAAATTGTTCACCGAGGCCTGACGGCCCACATTTGAAATGCACATGTTAACTGTTGCGGCTGTGAAAGGATGCCGGACCAGTGCGAGGAGAATATTTTACCTTTGGTGAGGAAATGACCCAGTGACCAACACTATAAATGCCTTTGCTCTAATGTGTTTGAAAGCCTTACTGTATTTTTAAAATTGGCGTTTTGAAGATTATTAAAGGACATATGTTGCCAAATTTACTGCTGATTAAAGGCAATAAATCTACCATTTCAGGAGTTAACCACAATCAAGTGCAACGTTTTCTTAAGGTTCTTTTAACATTACTGGAGTTTTTTGTGACGATCTGAAGATGCAATGGTTACTATCCAGTTTACACATACAGTTCACCAGCTTTCTTAATTTCTTTTTCTTGAATTGTTTAATATATATTTTGCTGTCCGGTATGAATACTATTTGTAGTACTTACACTTTTTTTTCTCACTCTGGTGTTTGTTTAAAGGGGAATTAAATAAAACTATGTATGTGACTTTCTATAAGCTTTGGGGTGTTTGATTGACCTTTTTTATATTTTAGCAAAAAAGGTAAAAGAGATTTGGATCCTTTTAAAATCAGGGACAGTTTACTGTGGGGGGGTTAGTGGCCATCCAATCCCCGTACGCCCAAAGCGAGAGCTGGCCGGGACAGAAGACCCTGGACCATCTGGAGAGCTTAGATCTCCTTTGGGTCCTCCAGTCAGAGCTGGTAGATGTGGCCACAAAAAAGGGAAGTTTGGGGTTTTCTGCTGGAACTGCTGCCACCGCGATGAGGGGGAAAATAACAAGAATGTACTGTCTTTGATGTAAATAAAAATCATTTTGAAATTTGTAATGAAGTAATTCAAATGACTAACAGAAATTTGTAAATGACATACAAAAAGTATATAAAGATTGTATAAATAAATTTCATAATTCTAATGGTTGCTGTTTTTCACCCATTCCTGTCGATGGATTAAAGAAATAAGGTTGCCCTTTTGAGAATTTGGATACTTTTTAATAAATGTAGAAATTTCAGAAACCTACTCTTCTCTGCCATGTAACTGGAGTGCACGGCATTTAAACCAATTCTATTTTTATTACAAGTATTAAAAGGAAGGGAGGAAGACGGGACTAATGCTCTTCTACTGTTTGAATGCTCAGAGGAGACTTGAGCTAAACAAGTACAATTTGATGCAGGAAAAGAAACAAGCTTCACATCTTTACACAGTAGTTCTGAGGAACAAAGCGGTCATGAAGCTCAACTTAACAAATCACAAGTCACAAATCTTGTCAGATGAGATGTTTATTTAATAATTCTCTAATTTACACATTGGTTAAAGTGTTTCTTATTAACAGAATATATTTACACTTTTACAAATGTTAGTTTCACATAATCTGTAAGACACGTGAACAGTTTGTATCGGAGAAAAAAGTTAGTTTCTCATCAAATTTGATTTGATTTGTTGGTGCAGCAGCCATCAGATCGAGGCGATGACTGATGTGCTCTTATTTTAGGGTTACCGACCAACTACTGCAAAACCAGTCAATGCAACCAAGTGATAAGTCAAAACTTTGCTGACTGAAAAGTGCTGAAAAATGTACCGTTGCTTTTAGTGCGGCACGTGAACAAGCCAATGTGACATGCGCTTTATTGCATCAGCCTTGTATTCTAGTGTTTTTTTTCAATCTCTCTGTACGATCACATCTACAGTTTATGTGCTCACAGATATAAATAAATCAAACTAAGGGCCACGTGGCTTTCACAGAACTCTGAAAAGATCCAACCAGTTCGATTACAGTGAGAGTGGGTTCACAGGGAGATGGTTTGGCCCTCATGTCGTGCCCTAAGAGGGAGGAAAAGCCAGGCACCCAAAAATCCCTTCAGAATCAAACGCACACGATACAGACCTTAAAAGGTAGCTTAAAAAATGTTTAACATTTTGGGAAATACACTTCACAATTAGTGAGTTAGATGAGAAGAGTCATCCCACTCCCGTGTCTGCAAGTCAATATGAAGCTTAGCATGAAGCCTGTACACAGGGGGAAATGACCGCCTGTTTACAAAAACCTCAACACGTTATATATGTCGTTACCGCGTTGAAGGTGTTATCTGCCCCAAATACTCTACATAAAATTGGGGTTTATGTGTCAGAACATTTTATTTTCTGCTCATTGCTTGGCAACTGCTCCCAGCCAAGATGGGAGTCTGGCTTAAAACTCTCATGTCCCTCAGGAATAAACCAAACTACGCTGGTGGGCTCAGGTTAGCACACATAAAAACAGCTACCAGCACGTCCAAAGCTCACGATTTAACAGATTTGCTAATCAGCTGGTTGCCTGGCGAACCTCACAGTGCTTTTAAACTTTATTTAACAAACTATGTGAACACAACATGTTCATTAGAGGTGCTGGTTGGCATATTTTATTACATCTGGACAACGCCGGGCTAGCGTTTTCTTCCCAACTTTTAGCAACTGGCTACCAGCTTCATATTAAATCAAGCAGACGTGAGTGCAGCATCAATCTGCTCATCGAACTCTCGACAAGAAAGACAATAAGCTAAATTTCCCTTAAAAGTTAATGCCACACACCCAGAATGTGACTGGGAGGCACAAACAGCTGGATTCAGCGTGGCTGGGAGTTATATCCACTGCTGTCGAAACCGGTGAGGCGAGAACGGCCCTGCCATGAAACATCAGTCCACCAGCGGCCTTTAACAGGAGCGCTGCGTGATCACATTCTCACGGCAGTCACATTAATAGGGATGCATTCAAATCACGTGGTACAAAACCTGCACAGCAGCAGCTGGAAGGACATTTGATATATTTGTGCATTGCTGCTGTGGAATATTACAGACGGGCATAATAGCTACCGTTATGCATTCATATTATTACATGTATCCAAGCAACCGCAAAGTGTGATCTCACAAAACTGTTCAACAAAGCATCAACAACAAACCCCCGTGTGCTACAGTATACTTACTTAGCCTGATTCCCGCTAACAGAAACGTCCCTCTACCAGCGTGTATTGAAATCTCCTCTGCTCAATTATCCATCGTCAAAGCTCCTCCGTTGTCACACACATCACAGTGTTATGAGGTTCAAGAGAAGTTAGATGTTATTGCAAATGATGATCGGTGGGAGGGATATTTGGAATTCATAAATGCAGTGCGCGGCAATCAAGAGGTCATGTGACGCTGTAGAGACAATATGGACATTTAAATCACATGATTGTGTGTTTAATAACACAAAGCAGCTCACAGGTACGTCATTCTGTAACAGACTGACACTCACACTCGGGATGCTTTGGTGTGAGAAAATTTCAGTTTAGGCCTCAGTGGGAACATGCACACGAGTTCACCTCGTCAGCTAAGTGCTTCATTTATAATTGTTATTATTCATCTTGAGCATGCATAAGATGCAACGTCAGTGTAGGATGTTTACAGTGAGAAATGTGAGAAAAGCTTTGGTGATCTGACGGCTGCAGTATTTAATGCACAGATTGAGTGATGGGGACATCAAAGTACACGATGTGATGTTCCCTCTGCTCATGAGAAAACCACTTAGATATATAATTATCTGTCTCCTCTTTTAAAAAGGGAAAGCTTTTGAGAAACACACATATTTCCTTTCTTGCAGAGAGTTAGAAAATAAAACGACTACCACTCTCACGTCCTTCAAATATGAAGCAACAGCCAAAAGATGGGCGGTTTAGCTTAGTTTAGTCGGCTTGGTTCTGCCCAAAGCTAAATAAAAGAGTTTCATCCACACAAAAATATAAAATAAAGCCACGGATTACTGGATATTGGAGTGATTGTGAGCTTTGAATATGCTGGCGAGCAGAGTTTGTTAACTTCAGACAGAGCTGGATGTTTCACCTGTTATGCTAAGCTAGGCTAACCGGGACCAGCTTCATACATACCGCACAGACATAAACGCGGTGTCAATATTCTTGTCCAACTCTCAGAAGGAACGCAAACAAGTGTGTTTCCCTGGGTTTCAAAGGCTTCCCTTTAACGGATTCTTTTCCCTTCTCAGCTGTTCTGTTACATTATGAGTTGTTGTGCCGCTGTTGAGCGAAAAACCCTCCAAACGTAAAGCTAGTTTAATGTTTGCATCATTGGTGTGGTCAGAATCGATTCGAGAGCGTCTGCTGGGCGCGGCCATCTGTTCGCTTGTCTCCACTAGCCGGACTGCAGTTGTGTCATCATACGGGCAAAAGGCCGACATCTCCTCTGATTTGAGAACAGTGCAAACACACAGATAAATAGTAACATTACGAGGATTTGTTCGTCATCTTCATCAGGAAGGATGCAATTTAAGTGTCATTTGGGTTATTCAGGAAACAATTCAAATCAATTAAACTAGTAATTGGGTTTAAGGGGAACTATAGAACTGGAAATTCCCTCTTAAGGTCTTCATTTCCTTTGGCTATAGATGTTCAAATCAGAGGAGACAGCAACAAGAAACCACACCTCATTCCACAGCCAGCCGGAGCCAGGCCGGACCCGTCTAGTGGAGACGAGACAAGTTATTCGTCCTTGGCGACTGCGTCATGTTGCCCGTCCTGCGGTGAAACCCTCTGCAGCACCAACAGACCGGAGAAGGTCAGGGAGATGCCGACCCACCACAACGTTATCTGGGCTTCACCAAAGATCAGCTGGCCAAGAAAAGCCTGCGGGGGACAAAAATAATGAATCTGGGTGTCTTCATTACAAAAGGAAATCACTCTCTCCAATTTCATTAAAATAACCGGTGAGAAGGATGCCTTCAGGGAACATGTGAAACAGGGAGTTGAATATAGTCCACTCTATTTTCTAAACGAACGCAGCTTACAGAAGGACAAAAGTGACTGAAATGAACGGTTTTCTATGAGGCTTAGAGGACACGTGGCGGCAGACTACATGGGCGTGTGGGAGGTGCTACGAGAGGATGAGACTGTTACTTACGGAAGATATGAAGTTGGAGGCGGTGGTGGTCACAGTGGTTTGGGTGGAGGAAGAGGAGTACCTGAGTGCTTTAGCGAGGAAGGTCCACATGACGGCATTGCAGGTGAAAAGCAGCCCGCCACACAGCAGCCTCAGAGGGATGTGAAGCTGCAGAACGACAACATGCCCATTGATTTGTGTGCGCCTTCATGCATAAACTGAGCATCATAGAGACGCAGGTACAAGGGGCATCGACAATTGTACCTCAGTACACTACGTTACATTCAAACATTGCAAATATTCTTGTAAAGAATGAATTATATCAGTGACCGCATTATAATACCATCCGCATTACACGGTTTAGGAAATCCCAGATGGTGCATATTGGGAGCGTTTTGTGTTACTCGTTTCTAGCGGTGGTAAACCTCGGATGTTCCAACACTAAATAGGAATCCAGACTGCCGTCTGCAGACGTCGGTGACATCATCCTGTGACGTGTGCGCGCGGCGTGAAGGTCACTGTGCAGAGGGTCACAACACGACACCTGAACACCTTCTCAGAAAGAAACCCTCCCCTCATATATATGTATAATATAGATATATAGATATAGCTATATATAACCTCCCCATCCTCTCCACCCCGTTCGCTCCTCGCGGTGCAGATCACCCACGCGGAGACGCCTCACCCGGTCGCAGGCGGTTGTTTCGTCCGCGTGCCTGAATTTCCGCTGCTCGCCCCACGTCCGGAGTCCGGTTTCGCAGACCCCCTTCAGGTAGTCCGCTCCGAGGGACAGCTTGGCCGACGAAGACGCCACGGCCCCGAGGAAACCCGCCAGCAGCGCGTAGACAACTCCCGGCAACATGACGGCGACGAGCCGAGACGCATTGTTTTCTGATCCGCCGTTTACGTTTCTGTCGCCGCCTGCCTGCTCCGTGCGCGCGCGTGCGTGTGTGCCTGCTCCGTGCGCGCGCGCGCGTGCGTGCGTGTGGCACGTCTTCTTGCACCGTCTCCAGACGCCCGTCCGGTGGCGGTGTCACACATGGTCCACGCGTAGCAGCGCCGTGGTTGGATTAATGTTGCATTCTGGGAAAGGTAGTTCCATCATGCTGCAACCTTAACTGAGTGAAGGATGACTTTGAGGCAGCTGCGAGATACAGTTGTGTAGCCTCTGTAAAGAGATTAAGCGGATCATTAGAGAATACATTGGAGTACTCCGTATTCTTCTTTGGTATTTAGCCTAAGAGGCTAATAGGGGCCAATCGATGCTAATCTAATGCCCTTGTGTGTGGGCACAGCCTACAGTAACGTCTGACCTCTGTTCCCTGCAGCATACTGATGAGCTGCATTATAAAGGTGCATTGCATGAAAACACACTGGGTGCACGAGGGATGGATGGATAAGAGAGAGAGAGTGTGTGTCTGTGTGTGTGAGGGTGCAGTAGGACAGCAGATGCTCACACACGTGATCCTCATCTCCTCTCGTCTGTGCCCTTTAAAGAGAGACGAGCCCGTCAGAAAGGGTGAACCAGAACCAAACTAACCTTTTCTCCTAATTAGGAATGGAAAATGGAGTCATCGCCGTGAATGTGCGGTTTGGACTGAATTGTATTAATCTGAGCGTGAAAGCAAGAATCAGCTGAAGACAGACATTCGTCTCTTCATCACACTCGGCAGGCACCAAAAAGAAAGAAAGGTCTCAGTGTTGTAGTGGACTTAAAGACAATAATAACTTCAATCAAATAAAAATAAATCAATCTGGCAGTAAGATTTATGCTCTGACAAACGGAAAACAAAATCTTATTTCTGAGACAGAATGTTGGGTTATTGTTTTATTTGGCTACAAATGGAAAATAGTTTATATTAAGCTGAATAGTGAATAATAATTGATGAACTGGAATAATGCCCAGACGCATAAAGGTTTAAAGGTTTATTTGAGCCTTTTTATACTGATTATTTACTGAACTATAGACCATATTATCTCAAACAAAATGTAGATAATTTGCTATAACTTTGAATTGTCTTATGGGGATGTGGTTGTGAAATGCACAACGATAAAAAGCACAAGAAAGTCAGTTTACAACTGTATCTGAATTGACCCAACAATCAATTGTGTGATTCAGCGACAGCCCACTTTATTTAACATGGACACCACTACCAACATGTCAGTTTGTCCCGTTAGCCGGTAACTCCTCCACTGTGATGGCGTGCCAAGTAATCGGTTCTGAGGGCGTTTACTTAAAAAATCTGGGGTCACCAGCGACGCCGCGGAGCGTTAAGCGGAGCGGCGAGAAAGGGGGGGGGCGCAATTGTCAAGTTGTTTTCAGGTGATACCATTATCATTATTTACATCCTGTGAGAAAGGGGCCTATTAGCTGTCTGTCTGTTTGACTGTCTGAACGTGCAGAGATGGAGGTGGTGATTCACAAACTGCGAGAGCAGTAACTGCACTCACAGTCTTGACCATATAGTATCTACCTTTTGTTTAGTATGGGCAGAACAACCCTCTAAAGGAAATGTGATCACGTCTTGAAGGTGACCCTCACCGTTTCATCCTGGTGAAATGTAAAAGCCGAGTTGGCTTTTCAGGCCAGCAGGTGTCTCCAACGTGCTTCAGACAAATACGTCCACATTCAACTCGACCTCATGCAAATAACTCACTCTGAGGCAGCGATTTGCTTGAAATACAACCTGGTTGCTTTGGTGACCTCGTAACATAACTGCAGGGATTACGCAAGGCCACAACAATGCAGGGCCAGAGCTTGTGTTATTTGCAGTGAACCAAAAGAACCCTGTGACAGTGCAGAAGGAAAGCAGCAAGGTGTCTCTGTCAGAAGGCTCCCCGCTCTCATCCTCCCTGGAACAAGTTTAAGGGAAATGACCGTCCTCCGCCTGTCACATTTTGACACCCGTCCTCCGCCTGGAGTCTCTGCTTAGCAGGACAAAGTCTGAGGAGCCATTAGCTATTATTCCTACTTGTAGTTTCCAGCCTGAAGCTCCTCTGACAAATACCACAGTGCAAATTGGCGGTCCGGTCCCTTATGCTCCTGTTCAATGGAGCGATAATTAAGCCCACGGAGGGTTTTCAACTGAAAGTCTATCGCTGCCTTGCAGTGCCTTCTTTCACCTCTTCAGCTTCTGGTCCTGTACAGTGATTAAATAAGAAGAAGACAAATACCACCCTCAGAGTGAAGGGTTCATTAGTGGAACCATTTCAACTCTTTAAAGCTGTCAATTGCTCGCAGTAGATTCTGACAAATGAATGGATACATTCTTTAAAATGATTTTCTCTTTGTTATTGCTTCATTTAATCTCAAGGTAAAACTTCTTGAGAAAGCCTTATAGCTCATGCTACACACCAAGCTGAAGCTCTGTTGCTTTGGTCCCTCTCTGTTTCCTGCTCTTTTTTCAGAAGTGCAGAGAAGATGCCACGGACACCAGACACTGCGAAATACAGACATGTTTCCCTGATGGGCGTTTTGCACATTGTGTGAACTCGCTTGGCAAGTTCTTCAAAGTAACGAAGTCACAGTTCTTATGAAAAAACTCCTTAACTATAACTGAACGTATAGGAACTTTGTGGCATGTGCTACTAATGAATTGGAATATTTTAGCTATCTCATACTGTTGCTTTTAAACAGTGCAGCAGAGCTTTAACAAAAAAGTGAACAAATTACAATAATGGGATGAGTACACTGTTTTCTAGAATTGTTTGGGTTTTTATTTCTAATTGTTCACGATATTTGCAGAGTACCGGCCTGATACCAGGGCTTTAAAAACAGGTCAAAGGTCAGGTCACGATTTCCTCAAATTAATGTTTTAATGCTGTGAAAACAAATCTTTTCCTAAACAACTGTACTTATTCAAGTGTCTTGCCCAAACTTCCTTTCACAAGATTAGATTTGAACACACTGTGATAATATTATAACCTATTATAACGTAGGATAAAGCATAAACACATCATAATGTAACTGATTGCAAGCTCTGTTAGTGTTATCTAGCCGAGCAGGAGAGTCCTGCCCAGCTAAGGTTATGAATGGATCAGGTGGCGCGTGTCACGTGTTGCTGTTGCAGAAGTTGGCTGATAAAAGAAATGACATTGTGATATCTGATCGTGCAAAGACTTGCATACTTGCAGATTCCATCCTATGCTGTCATGTCATTTACAATGCTTGTTTTGGTATCTAAACACAGTTTTTCACTTGTACGATATAAAAAATTAAAGTGCCTTGGCTTTCTTTTAACATCAATACACAGGGCAGTTGTGTTTACGGTCTTTTAGACCCTGGTCTAAATTAGCCATCATCTTTCCTGCAGAGCTTTTTAAAGTTGTTCTGACCTTCCAAGTAGCGTCCGTATGACGCTATCTGAAGTGTGACCATTACAGCCTCCACATCCATCTCTGTGTATCAGGAAGCCGTATTATTTAGCTGCCTTGATGAATATGCACGACTTCATCCATCAGCCCCATGGACAGAGGCAGCATGCTGAGAAGTCAAATATTCACTCACAGGCAGACACACACCCTTGAACTATGAAATGACTCCTGCTCTCAGTTTACCATCTTATACACAACGACACACACACACACACACACACACACACACAGGTTTCTGACCTTGTCAGCTTTGCAGGGTGTACAGTCCCTTCCAGTCCATTAAGTAGTAGCAAGGTTGCCGGGTTTTGTGAATAATACAGGCTGTTGTTCAAACATGGCCAAGCTTTTAGCAAGTCAAGCATCACATGTAACTTATAATGAGACAGACAGAACCCTCTCATTGAGAAAATGACCTGAAACTGAATAAACCAAACAACTGTAAGATTAATTTACAAAAAAAACAAAGTAAGAGCCGAAAGGGAGTCATTTTTATTCAAGACATGTTGGCTGGCAGCAGAGTTTAGATAAAATGTTCCCAAAACATGCAGAGCTCATCTCAGTCTCTGCCAGGAACAATTAGACCAGGTGGGGAATGCTAATCCCATGTAGCTGTTCTCTGCGAACGCAGCGCCAGCGGACACATAGAAACAAACGGGTCGGTCGCGTTCCTCGGTACGTTCCAATGTGGCTTTTGATTTGGAGTCTCAGTCTCAGAGGAGGAGATGTGGTTTGAGGATGTGATGAGGATGCAGATATCAGTCAGGGACAAGGATGGACGAGCTCACCCAGACGAGATGGCTGAGCTTTTGTTATAATTCTGACTCCCCTAAAATGAACTCTGCTACTCGGCAAAACTCCTCATTCTTACACTTATTACGGATGCCTTTCAGATGCCAGGATCAATTAAAAGCTGTAAAATATTATGCCGTGGAGGCATTAGAACTGAGAGTATGTGCTGACGGAGGACCTCCATGCTCGACTTCATCTTTAAAAACGGGTTCCTCTCATTCAGCCACAGGAGCACCAGTGAGGTGTTGGATGAGAACAAGGTCACGGCCGCCTTCCCACATTCTGGATGAAACACACTGTTTTGTAAAATATCATTCAGCCTTTCTCATTTCCCAACTTTGTGACACCTCAATTCCTCGCTTATCCATCCACCTGTTTGTGACACGGACATCGATCTCAGCGTTAAAGGACATCCCAATTCCTTCAATGCATCTCGAGGAATAAGGATGGAGGAGGCTGCGTGTAGGTGGCGAGGAGCTATGAGGACACATTGGTGGATTCTTGGCGGAGTCTTTCAACCTTAGTAGACGGATAAAAGAGGTTGAACGGGGTAAATATATTCACTTCTGGCACACGGTTAGATGAGAAGATTGATGCTGACCTCACTTTTGTTCGGGGAATAGGAATCTACAGCTAAGAGCCAGTTAGCTCAGTTTAGCCTGGCTCTATCAGTCCCTATTGGTTTACCAATTAATAGTTCCACAAAAACAAAACAAAGCTATGCTGACATCCGGACTGTGGCTTTCCCACTCACTGCACATCCACACCAAGACCAAGCTGCTTGTCCGTAGTCCTGTAATCATCTAATATCCCACATATTCCACTTGAGAAAAAAGGCAACGCAGGCACCCACCACCAAACCGCTCCTCCACCTGTTAATACCACAAATGCCCACACTGCGTTCAATCCATTCCACCAACCTGAAGACAACCACAGTCGAGCGTGAGTGATCGCCGATGACGGACTTGAGAGAGCCGTGTAGAGCTCTGTATCCAATGCTCAGCAAGAAAACAAAAAAGCTTCCAATTATAAGGGCTGTACTGGTGTGCATGTAATACAGCTTCAATGACGAGTTGAACAGGCTGAACTAAACCTTTTAGGAGCTATTTATTAGTATTCTTGATGCTTGCTTATTTAAGTTTGTGTGCTTATGAGTTGGGTAACACTGTGGGCTCCAGGTACAGAGCCAGCATGCCCTTCTACCAGAGCAGGAGAGGCACTTTGTTCTTTTGTTTGTTATCTTGTTTATGTTGGTTAAATAAAAGGGGAAAAAACAGAATCCTGAACTCTTTAGCCTGAGTAAACCAAAAACCTGCAGCGCACCTTTGATTAATGTTTGTTTAAGATTTATCGGACAAATGGAGATAAAAACATGCGTCATACTTTTTACTTTCTTTAGAGGAAACCATAAGGCCTGCATGTCAGGGGGTTAATGCATACAAAATAACCCACAATAAAGTTTACAACATCACATTTAAGGCCTAAAACTCTTCTAAAGTCAATAAAGAAGCGGGCACCTTTTATGCCACAAACCAAACTGCTGTTTTTCTTTGCTGAAAGCGGGGATTTCGGAGCTATTCAGTTTTAAAGGCTCTCCCCCTCGGCTGTAACGACTCCGGTGCCGGGAGCGGACTGGTGGCGGTAGACGGTGCTGCCGGCCTGGCGTTGTAAATCTGAGCGGGCTGACACAGGACACGGTGGAGATCGCTGCCGTGTCATCGTACGGCCGGGGAACGCACAGTTCTTCACAGAACCGAGGTGAGGAAACGCCCGTCTCTGTGGCAGCGATGATGCAGGAGTCTGTGACATGGACGATGGAGATGAAGATGACTGGAGGAGGAGGAGGAGGAGGAGGGAAGATGATTTGAAAAAAGAAATAATGATGATAACGGTTATTCGAAATGTGATGATACTGCAGAGTTTGTAGATCAAAGAGAGCCGAAGTCCTCCCGTCAGTCGAATGCGTTCCTTTCATCATTCTTTTCAGATCATTAAGCACATTGCTGAGGTTTACTATCCATCTTCTAGGAGAGAAATCAGCCTCCTTCACTGCTGCCATTAGAAATCAACATTTATTTGATGTATGCCGTTAAAATGAAAATGAAAAACCTACAAGTACAGTACAGTCATTTTTGCTGCGTCTCTTTCTGTCTTGCTTTTATTACCCGTCTGAACTAACCTGCGGTCCGGCGCCTACGGGCGATGGTGTTTCACTAGAAATATTAAACCAGCTTTATTGGATTTGAAACAATGAATTAAATATCATCCTTATCCAAACATATAAAGCTTGCCATTCATTCCAAATGATTTATTCAGCAGCCCAGGCCAATATATTGAACACATTTGTGCTGCATTTAACTGCTGTCATAAAACCCACATGAATAAGTTCTGATCATATTTCAATGCTGAAGTGATCCCTCCACAAGATGTGTTTGTAAGCTTCTTTGTCTCCCGACAAAACTCTGAGAAGTAACAGAGTTTTTTTGTATATTCACACTAAAAGCTTTTTTAGTGTTTAGTGGTTCTGTGGATGAGCATTTTGTTTCGGTTCTGAACTGGTACTTTACTAAAGTAACCTGTAACCCCACATACTGTATAACAAAGTCAGCTGATATCGTTCTACTTGCCATTCGAATGAATCAATATTAGGTTACTAATGCAGATAGTGGAGTTAGACGGACATATTCACATATATCAGAGCAGCTGAAAATCCATTTTATAAGAAGTCCAACCCTCAAAAGTATCTCTCTTAATACGGCCACATGCACATGTCTGCTCACGTATGGTAAATCGAAGGCTTGGCACACGTGGCATGCCTAGTTGTGATTGAACAATCACTGTCCCGGGCGCGGCTCAGCCAACACCCTTATTATACTATAATAACATACATCCTAATTAAAATGCACTCTACACTGACAGTTAATAGGAAAGGCCTCAGAGTCAAACTGGCTCATAATGGAATGCAGCCAACGCGGGCTTGAGTCTCCACGCAGGCTTTTAACAAACCTCCCTGTTTGTCTCTGCAGCCCGGGGATCTTTTTTTACTCTCTTGCATTGATCTTGGCTTTGTGGCTGCCTCAGCTGATGAGCAGCGGGAATCTTTCCGTGCTGCGTTAAGTGTCCTGTGGAGATTCATTGAGGCGTGCCTTCAATTGCTCAGCGCAATCTCTGCCTTTTCTTAATGGCCTGCAGCGCCGCTCCGCCAGGTCGTCATTAACGTGTCCTTTTCATTCTGGTTGTCATGGTCATGTGTGCGCGAGTGTCTGTGTGAGTCGGACAGGTTGTATAATACTTTAATGAACAAGTATACACCCCCTCATATACCCCATTGAAATGACCAGAAGATATAGAAAATAACATCCAGTTTTGCTCTGAATTTATTAAATATTTCTCTCATGTAGACTCAGAAAGAAATATATATACACACACATATGTACAGTCTCTCGGAAGGACTTTCCAAATTGGCATTGTGCTATTACTCCAAACTGCCAGTTGGGGAAGTGTTGAAGCTTTGGTTTTATTTCATATTGAAAACATGTCCTTGACACACACATTGTGCCTTCATTTGTAACAGTTAGGGTTACATGTACTATTGTCTTCAGTGACTTGAGGACATGATGCCCTGTTTCTGGCCTCTGGAGTCATTCCTGTGTTTGCAGTCGAGACCGTGGCTTGTTTTTAAATAAACAAAATTCACATTCTATCAACAAGTCTCATAAGAGAATTCAAATATCACCAGCTTTTCAAACCAAACCTGCGCCCTAGAAAAAAGTCTCAATGTGCATCAGCCTCAACGTGACCCGTCCGAGGACATCTTGCTGGGATGAGCAGTGTTTTCATACTGGTGGGCCACTTTATTTTGTTTCGGCGTGATGGTTGATATCCGGGGGCCTGTTCAGAGTGGAAGTGGGAGTGTCTCCCTCTCTGCCGGCAACACGCCGGAGGGAGACCCACAGTGCCACACAGCCGCGCACTGCAGCGGAGAGCGAGCGAGCGATCGGGACGCGGACGCCGCCGGGGACCATGTCACGCAGCGGGGGACGCCCGAACCAGCGGCGCCGCGCGGCCCACGCGCGCCCGCCGCCGCCGCGGTAGCTCAGCGGACACGCGCCGCTTACGCTCTGCGGAAACCTCCCCTGCCGCCGCCGCCGCTGACTCCGCTCCATCCGCGTCCCCACCTCCTCCTCCTCACTCTGCCCCCCCCCCCCCCACCCCACCAACCTCCTCCTCCACCACCGCCCCCGCCCGCTCCGGCTCTTCTCACGTCCCGTCGCCAGGATGGACAAGTCGCTCTGCAGCCCCGCATCCCGTGGACAGCGCGGCCAACTCTTCCCCGTCGGACCGCGGGAGCTCGTCATCGACGAGGAAGCCCGGCAGGAGCGGGTCGCACAGCCCGGGCTCCGGCTCCCTCGGCGGCCCGGGAGGAGGAGGAGGAGGAAGCAGCCGGGGAGCTGTGCTGGGGAACAGCATGAATCTACAGCAGCCGCGCAAACGGCAACTGGAAGGAGTGCTGAGCAAATACACCAACCTGATCCAGGGCTGGCAGAACAGGTAAGCAGGAGTTTGTTGCGGGAGGTGTGTGTGTGTGTGTGTGTGTGTGTGTGTGTGTGTGTGTGTGTGTGTGTGTGTGTGTGTGTGTGTGTGTGTGTGCTGGGGTGGCGGGAGGGGGACGGTTCTCTGTCGGGTTCAGCTGGCTGTTGATATCTGCCTCGTCCACGTTGCACTTTTGGTAACGCGTCACCGTGAGGGGGCGGAGTCATCCGATCCCTGCACACATGTCACGTGGGCCTGCTGATGGACTGCCGACCAGCGTGTGCTTATTCATACAGCATTTATAACTCCGCTGTCCAGGTAGTAAATCCTGGCTTTCGATGACATCATCAAACAGCTGTGTTGACCAAACTCTACCCTCCTTTGCGGGCTAGATGTTAGAGCTCAAACAATTGTTTTGGTTATTCTATTGAAATGAACTATTTTTGACTTTAAAAAAATGACTAAAATCTTTAGTCCTCTTCATCGAGAGAATAACGATGAAGGGTCCAACTTGGTCTTTAGGAGATCATGAAGCAGTACATCTTGAAAATGTTCAACTGATTAATGGTAATGGAACGAATTGTTAGTTGCAGCCAATAAAGCTATAGCCTTTTGTAATGTGAGGGTGCCACTTTAGATGCAATATTTCATTTAATTATCAACGCCGTCTAATAAACGTCAGCAAACGGCAACTTATACCTGAAGATAATTCACCTAATATTCACATTTGAAAAGTTTGGACCAGACAATATTTGACGACTTGAAAAATTTTGATTTTCTGTTGAACGACTAAAAGATTATTTGACTAGAGCTAATTTCTTGTTAAGAGAAGTTGTAAATATTTGTGGGTTTTGTAAAAAAAGAGAAACGATTTATAGATTATCACAATCAGTTGACAGCTGATTAATTTCCTACGCTTGTGCGTTAATGGTTAATTAATTGTACCGTATCTTTGCAGCTGTAAAATAAATCTCGTGTGACAAGGAAAAAGCAGCAGCCCCCACAAATGAAGATCTGTTATCTGTGATATCACGTCATTGATTAATTTGAATGCTTTAAACAGCGCTGCAGCACGCTCTCACAATGAAGTGCAGAATATCTCAGCAACACCTGTGGAGATTACAGCGCTGCATTATTGGGAGAATGTTCTTCGTGCAGCATTTATAGGTTGACTCTCAAGTAAGAGCGCCTTTAATCTGAAATTATTAGTGTCCACTTGTTGCTGTTGTGTTTGTTGTATTTTTAGAGGCTCAGAACGTCCTTTCTTGCTAATTTCTTCTAAGCTTCTAAACTAGTGTCCACACAGTGGACATGGATAATGCAGGATTCCTCTTCTGCAGCTGTAGTGTGATGAAATTACTTTTTACCGATGTACAAACAAAAATGACCGTCCCATTGTCGCCATGGCGCTGCTGCAGAGAAGGAGAAGACTGAGCCTGTAGTGTGTGTGTGTGATCGGGGCAGGAAGCCGGTGTGTGGATGGGAGGTAGGTAGGGAGGCGGGGGGGGGATGGCGTCTTCCGGCTCTGCCATTAATTCGATGGGCAGATGATGCACTCATCTGCTTCTCGAAGTGCACCCACAGGAAGGTGAGCCGATCAAATTTTGCCTCACGCCGGTTGTTCCAAACAGTTGGTGGGGTGTGACCAATCAACGCCGAATGAATAGTCTCTAACGAGCTAGGCCTTTTAATTGTGTACTAAGATGGTTCCTGGAGTCGTTTTTATAATTATATTTGTACATATTATGGGGCTATCACGCTACTTACACATCTGGCAAAGCAGAATAAATGTCAATTTGGAGTGAAATATCACATGAACAGTCATGAGCGCATATTCCAAAAAAGTGGGTCGTGTTGCAGTGAGGTAGTTTCTAAAACGATATTTTGCACATCAGCTAGAAATATGAAAGTCAAACTGCTCTGGAACTCCACTTTAGGTCAGCAGGCATTTCTCTGCAACACCGTTGTTAACTTTGAGACTATTAACGAGCTTCCATTAGTAAAGCACCGGCTTGCTTCACATCCATAACTGTATTTCAGATCACGTTGTCCACTTTTTACTCAAGTTGGCCGCATAAAATGTTAAACTGAAAGTTTGCTCAAAATGACCTGCAGATCAGACTTGAACCCATTGGAGGAAGAAGAGAAGAGACTTCGCTGTGGCTGCGTTGAGTTGTATCTTAGATATACTTGTATCAAATATGAATTTGAAGGAGGAGAGGCGGTGCTCTGGTGGTGTTTGGATAATGACAGTCGCCTGTCGCTTTCCAATATTTACCGGGCGGAGGAAGGCGTCGGGTGTGTTTCGCATTGCGTGGCGCCGCGGTTGGCAGCGGACTCGAGTGTAGCTAAATCTGCCGCTGTGTGGGAGGCCACGTGTCAGTGTGAAGTGCTGATCGGCCGTGTGCCTTCTCGTTGGAGAAGATGTGCTGGGTAGCAATCTTTTGTTACTCTGCAGACATGTTGATACTCCACTTCTCAGGACCCTCATAGAAACACTGCATTTGTTACTGCTACGACTACTATGACTACTATATGATTGTGTGGACCCTCAAAGTTTAATTGTTTAGTTTATGCAACTTTATTTTTCAGTTTTACTTCTTACAAAATTGCCTAGAGGAATACCAAAAAGAACAGACAAAGATGAATGAATACAGGTAAATAGTCTGTGATAATGACTTCCGCAATAATGTAGATACAATAATAAACCACCTGGGGGATTTTTCATTTTAAATTTTAAATTTTTACCAAAGCCGCGTACACAAAGAGAAATTGTCTCGCGGGTCAACGCACCATAAACAGGCATCTGGTGATTGAAAGACCTCTCTGCCCAGCTTAGGGTGTCCTCTCCTAGGTACAAAGATGGTTGTGTGTCGGACGAGGAGCTTTCCTTACTGTAACACGATGCAGAGTACAGTGCAGGACATTGTGTGTGTGTGTGTGTGTGTGTGTGTGTGACGCTTAGCATTACACAATTCAGTGTTTCCCAACTGCAGAGTGAGTTCGGGTCGAGGGTTCAACCTTCCACGCAGGAGAGATTGCTCTGTGGTTGTTGCTCATAGGTTTTCCTTTACTGAACTCGGTTTGGTGACATTCCAACATTAGCATGCAGATCACAGAGTTGCAAACATGCCGAGCTGTCTCCGTCTAGTCTTTTAGACATTTTGTGATGCGACGGTGGGTCTGAGGGCAGATTCCCACATGTGTAGATTCTGAATGAATGTCTTCGTAAGCGGTGCATCTTAGTACACGGTGAGGGATGAATTATTTGCAGATGTGCTCGCTGTAAAAGGAGCACTGCTGTGCTGCTTTGATCAGAGCTGTGAGTCGGAGTAATGCAGCTCTGCTTAGTGTTTCTGTGGCAGCGAAGAGAACAGCCTGTTTTTTTTTGCCTCTCTCTCACCAGTTTGGTCTGAGTTTTTTTTTCAATCGTACCGCAGAGGCCTCGTTATCAGGTTGGGTTTGCTGGCAATTATAGTTCAAACCTTCTGCTTTTAAGTGAACACGGACTGTGTCTCTGAGCCGATTCCATCGGCTGATGGAAACCATGTGATGTGGTTGGAAGCTGCGGAGGAAAGTGGGTGTTACGTTAGGATTGTTTGATCACAGCTCGTACTTGAACCTGCTTTAGTCATATATTTGTCGTCTCTGTAATGTAATGCCCATCGTTTAGCTCGACCCACATCTCCAATTAACATGTTGGTTGAGGATTTGTCATTTCCGGTCACCCACCACTGCAATCGTTTTCTTCTACGTTCAAAGGCTCCGGGTCAGAGCCAATGGGAAGCAGCGTTGATATACGGACAGGGCGAGAGAAACACACGCGCGGACACACTCGTATCGCCGGACCTGCTAAAGGTCAGGCTCAACAGCGTGAGCGAGGAAAATGTTTGGTCACATTCTGGGGCCATGCTACTCCTCTTATTACTGAGCAAGTGTAACTCACATTTCCTGCCAATAACAAGGTTGATTTACCGCCTTCCTTCCGCTCTGAGTGCCAAAAGAGCCAAGAAGGGATGCAAAGTCTGCTGACAAGCTGTTTTCTGCATTAGTAAATGGCAGTGTTTCTCTTGGTGTGTAAATGTGCTTGACTAAGCTCTTTTAACAGCACTGTTATTGTTCTGGAGTGGATTTATTTCATTATATGAGCGCAACAAAAGGATCAGTAACAGAAAGCCATTGTTCTGTTACAGATGTTTATTCTTGTGTTGGTGAGCGATTACATTTCATAGCTCGTCGGGTTAGTTTTTTTTTGTCTTCCATTCCAGAAATGCTGCACCAGTGTCATCATCTTTTCATTTGGACCGTTTCCCTCTAGCCCCAAGCTTCCGAAGGTGAAACGGTTTACTGCAGGTCAGACCTCATCAGCGCTGCTATGTCACAGGAGGCTGAACGTGAAGCCCTGCGTTTGTTACACGGCACCATCCGTCACGTTAAAGGTCTACATCGAAGGCTGGACTCGCCCGGAGGGGTCAGCGGTAAAAGCCTCCACTCTGCCGACTGAACACGTGATGAGACGTTGTATACTGCGTGTGTGTGCGCAAGACACAAAAAGAGAGGCCTGGATAAAAGCAGGCGGTTGTTCCCTGGTCGGATGTGGTCGACATAAATCACCAGCTCGCCTGATGGAAGTAGGCAAGACTCCAAGTGAGGATCAGTTATCAGAGAGCGGCGTTCACTGCATCCTCTCTGCAGTCTTTTTAACATGTTGGTAGATTACAGATCATAATAACAAAGGTTATATTTCATTATAGTGCTAAAGCAATTTGATTTAATACTTCAATAAATCACCAGCTCATCGTCGAGGCTTCACGTTTTGCGGCTCTAGCCTGGACAACGTAAGGAGTCGCTGCTGTTTTCCTTCAGTTGGGTGTCCCAATGTGCTCCGGGCGATTTATAGCATAAATGATCAACGGCGGCCTGCAGTGAGACTGTCGCAGCTCTGAGGCCGTACTTTGGCACTGTGGTGCTAACGTGCTGATGTTTAACCAGCCTAATGTTTACTGTCTGAGTTCAGCCGGTTAACTTTTGCTCTCTACGTGTAAGTTCCTCCGCGGTCGGACATGGCAGCGTGACAATATAGGACAACGTGGGAGCAGGTGTCGCCGTGGCACTAAAAAGTCACGGGTTGGTGACTTGATAAGAGTGAGCGAATGTAACTGATATAACCGACATTTACACCTGACGTTCAGGAATAAACTATTAATGCTGTAGAATAGTCACGCTTGGCTGAGACCCGATCCGCCTAATACGGTCAAAATGATGCACAATTGAAAAATAAGCAGGTTAAAAAATCAAGTCATTCTTGATTTTTGTCCTAAATATGAATATGAATAAACACAAGATATCGTTGTAAAATAATTAGGTAGTTAATTGATTAGCTGATCTATACCTGGTTATTGCTACTTATTTAAAACATTACCTACATCCGCCCTCCCAATTGGGAAAATACATTTATTTTCTTTTGTAATGTTTTTGAACAGTTTGACCAAAAAAGCCAAATCAAGTCTCCAAGTGTGATTTATATTTTCACCATTTTCTTACGTTTGATCAACAGCACAAGGAACCGTTTTTACAAGTGCATTGATGATGAAAGTACATGTCTGCTCACAGTGACGTGTGGATGATATTGGTTTTATAGATTAAAGGGGATCGCAGCGGTGGTGTGTGAAACTCCAGCTACGGAGGACTGACGGAAGTGTTCTTTCAAAATCAACACCTGTTAAGAGACAGAGGTGGACAGCAAATGTCTCAGATCACCACATACAACCGCGGCACAACGTACGGGCGAGAACATTGAACACGAACACAAGGATTATCAGAGAAAAGAAGGCAATGCGCGCAGACTGAACACAGACCTCCTCTCTTACCTCGGCTAAAACGTGAATGTGATTCATTAATCGCAAAGGGGGAAATGTGGGGTTTTATTTGCACGCCTTCGGTGCCGCAACTTCTGCCAAAGATGACCGAACTAATTGCTACCTTGAGTAATTTGGAATCCAGTTTGCCGGCTTGCTGTTGGGGAAAGTAGGCCTTAATGTGCACCGAGGGGTGTTTTTAATGGCTCGTGCGTGTAGAGAGCTGCGGTAATTAGCATCCTGCAGGCGGTGTCGCATGAGAGTTGAGAAATTTAAGGATATTGTGCGATTTTATAGCCGCTCTGCCTTCTCTCTGCCTGCCTCTACCCTCATTCATAGCCCTCGCTCATTTACTCTCTCGTATAGAGCAAAAATGCTGATATCGTTCATGGTGCTCCTTCTGTTTCTTTCTCTCTGTCCCAGTACTTCCTTAACTCTTTGTTTCCCTCCCATGCAGGTACTTCGTGTTGGATCCAGAGGTGGGACAGCTGCAGTACTTTGTCAATGATCAGGGGAGGAGCCAGAAGCCCCGCGGGTCGCTGCCCCTGATCGGCGCCTCCGTGACCACGAGTGACGAGGCTCCGCACATGTTCGTCGTAAACTCTGTCAATGGAGAGCTGTACAAACTCCGAGGTGGGCCTCAGGTTGCTTGTATATGGCAAAGTACAAACACTGAATGGAGTATGCGTGTGTGTGTCTTATGTTCGAGTTGCTTGGAATGCAGAGTATTCATACTGAATTATCTTCATCTGCACATTGATTTGCAAAGACAACGCACAGCTGGTTTTGGAAGCATCAATAACTGTGATCTAGTATGTTTTCCTGTATGATCATCTCTTAAAACAAAAAAGCATTGTGTTATTGTTAGCTTAGAATGAATGGTTTGAATCTGTCCTGCGTTAGTTACCACCTGTATGGGCTCTCGAAGCGTGTAGGTGTTCTTCGGCCCAATGTGTTTTGGTTCATACCGTTTTGTATCATTCTCACTGCTCTCGTCAAACCGGTTTTCCGACTTTAAAGGCACACAAACAAAAGTTGGCGACGAGCTGGTGAACGTTATATTTCCCCCAGTAGCTGGTAAATTCAAGCCGAAGGGAAGTTGCAATTCATTTGAGATGACCTATACCACAGGTACAGGTGTACCACATGCAGTCCATATCCAGAAGAAATACTGTACATAGAGTAGAAAGGAGACTAGTTCGGTCAAGGCATTAGATCTAAATCCAGAGTAGGAGACCGTAGCCGGTCACTGTGTGGAAGGTCTTTGCCTTCACTGACCTGTATCCACTGAAGCGAGAGAAACTCTGTTTTACCGCTGCTCCACTTCAGCCGCTGGAATGTCCCCTGACACTCTCGAGGGGGGGGGGGGGGATCAGAATAACATGGCCTATATTCCCTGAATAGGAAGAGGGAACAATGAGCCAACAGAGTTGAAGAAGTTGGGCCGAGTAGCTCACAGCAGAGTTAATTCCGTCCCCATGGCTACAGTAAGGTTGGAGAAGGACTCAGAAAGCCACAGAGTGAGAAAAGCCGTCTTTTGATAGAGCTCAGCTGAACAAACTCCAGACCCCAAACAGAAAATATCGGATCCCTAAACATTTTTCCTCGGAAAATAATTGCACTAGAATACCTGCACTTCAATTAGTTCCCCCAGCGGGGCTCAGAGTTGATGAAGATCAGCCGGTAAAGCCTGGATGTGGTATCGGTTACCATGGGAAACCCTGAGAGGGGAATCCAAGCTTCAGTCAGGAGTCATTTTTCAATGTTTGTAGGCTGCGTTTCATCTCACCGATGCGTCCGAGGCTTTAAATGCCGTCATCTCGTGTCCGTGCCTCGTTTGAGTACATTTCCATGTCAAAGTCTTGGTATACTCGAACCAGTTTGAGCCTTTTCGTTTGATTTATTTGCAATCAAGTGGCTTTTCTTTGACATTTACGCAGTTTTTGAAAGATTACTTTGAATTTATATTTGCCAGATGATATCAATTTATATAATTTAAGGAAATAACGTTTATAATGAGACCTATGTTCTTTTTTTGTTGGAAGTACTTTTTTGTGGTGTCCTCTGTGCAATCATTTCAGACTCTAGACTAAATAATGTTTCATTATAAATGCAAGAATGACCTCTTTGATCCAAAGAGGGATTTGCACGTGACATTGAATACAGATTTTAAGTAGCTTGAGCGGGTTTCTGGCTCCAAACCAAAGTGTAATTGACTAAAGCAGAGTAGCTATGGGAACTATTTCATTATCAGAGATGGGGACATTTTGGGGACTTTTGTTTTGCTGCTGAGTAAAGGTGAAGAGCAATGGGAATTTTCAAGGCCTTCTATATGCTTATAGGAGGCCACCATACAACAGCAAAACATCCATCCAATTGACACGATTCTTGCATGTTTCTTTCTACCAAGTTCAACAGCAACAGTTCATTGAGATGATGAAATGTTTCAGGCTCTGCGTTCCCCAATAGTCTCTTTATGTGCTTTCCCTTCTTTGAGTGTAAAACATCAAGAAATGGCACCTTTTCGGCTTAAATTTATATTTATTGCATAAAATATTTCAATGAAATGCTTAGCATAACAAATGCCAGCTGCGTCAGTCAAAATCGCTATTGAATAAAAGCAAAGCCTGAAGTTAAACCTGAAATTACAACACGGTTTCTACGAGCCTATAATTGAGTGTGAACAGGAATGTGGATCCGACGGGTAAAGCTGGTGTCTGTGATTGTCTACTGGCTACTCAGTTAACCTCTCGACTGCCTCAGCTTGTCCATTTTTTTTTTTTAAATACCATTTAAATTGCCCCCCGTCATAATATTTTCCCTGCACTTGAATCGGATGCAACTGCTCGTCTCAGCATTAATCTTTATTATTAGTCCTCATTATCACAACCAATGGCATCTTTCGCTATGCTGTAATTACAGATTGGTGTAATGAGATGATGATTGTGCTGCTACGATTGACTGAAAAGGAATTCTAGTGTGTTTGCGCGTCGTTCAGCCGTCTCTCTGAAATTGAAGTTGACATTTAAATAGGACTAACCGAGCCAGCGCGAGGGGCTTCGTTACTCCCCTCGGTTTCCAAGACCGACCTCATGCTTTCCCCACGCTGTCAGCACAACAGTCCGCTCCCTGGATGGGAACGGGACATCCCGCTCTCAGCTCTTGCACTGTGTGTGCCGCTCTGGGTCGCCGCGTTAGCTCAATGCTGACAACTGATTGTCTTTAATCACAGCGAGGCCCGTGCACAAGTGGCCCCTTCTTTGGAGTGATTTCTGTGGATAACGGCGACATCGACTTGGTACTGGTGTTTCCTGCGGTGGGCGAGCAGCCCACACCTCGCGGGGGAGCGCCGCACTCGTGAACGTCTCATTTCCCCAGAGTTGCACCCTTCACTCTTCACTCGACAAGAGGCCTTTTGCACGCAGGTGCTCCCGTGGCTGCGGCAGGTGTCCGAGTTGCGAGTGATTGACGAGTGCAAATTGGGTTCTCAACGCGTCGAAATAGCTTCTGTCAGCGTGTCGGAAAAAAAACAAAACAATGAAAGAAAGATTTTAAAAGAGCAGTATTAAACCTTCTGGAGATATGGGTAGTGTCTACCTGTGCAGAGGACAAAGTCCCACTGTGTGTGTTCTTATCAGAGCTTCTCTGTGCATCGTGGGCATAATCGCGTCTGACGAGCCTGTTTTAATTGCACATTAGCTGCATATTATACAGATGAATGACTTACTGCAATATATTTATGACATTGTGTTTGTGAAATAAAACATTTCTTTCGTCTGTTATGTATAACAGGCCCTACTTCTGACATTTCTCCTAACTTTTTCATGACACACTATACAAATGACACAGGCTTCACGGTCTACAGGCTTCCTCCCTGGCTGCACACGCCTACAACAGGCTGGATACCAATGAGATGCTTGAAACTATTTTAATTATTGGACAGTAAAAAGGGGAGGACAGGAATATGCTTCTGAAAAGTCCCCGGGGAAATTGCACCGTTGTTCGGACCTGAATGGGGCCTGATGTTTTTGACAAACCTGTTACATTATTTAAGCCGTAAGTGTTGTCGTCCTGCTTCCCACCCTCAGTCATAAAGGCTACGGGTGTCCTATTCCTGTTTCTCTCCAAAGTGCTGCTGCAGCTTTTGTCCGTTTCGCCAGTGGCCACCTCACCACTGCTCACACAGTTTAAAAAAATAAACCTGCCACACACCATCTCTTTTGTCTCTATCTAAGCGGAGTTTTTCCAAACATTTGATGACGTTGAAGGTCTTTTCACCAAATAATATTCTTGCTTTTGTCCTCTTGGTCTTGGTTGACTTCCCGCATGGACTAGATGTGATCAGACCCGTCAAAGACCCCGTTCTCTAATAAGTAGTCAGTAAAATGGGGTCAGACGGATTTTTCTCTCTCTGATCCGGTGCAGGTCAACACAAGCAGACAGTCAGCGTCTCCTTCAACTGGTAGGGCCGCGCTTCGCCGCGTTAGTCAGCAAAATGAGCTCTCAACTTCGATAACAGGGTGTATTGTGTCTACGCCAAAGGGGGGAAAACACAAGAGTATCAAGCTGCTTTCTGTGCTGCTCACTAATCGACCAAATGAGTCTTGCGTGTCTCTTGAATACCGAATGTTCAATTTAGCACAGAGGAGAAAATAAAGAGGTGCAGGTGTGATACGCAGCCCTCAGGACATCATTCGGAAGGCAACACAGGATCACAGGCAGTCGGCTGGTTGAATAATCGTTTAGCTATAAATACGTCTGTTGACTTCATTGACCAATATTAACGTTTGAATTATCTATTCAAGCCTGGTTTTTGCTACTAAGAATATAGTTATGATCTTAGAACAACGCACTTATATGACTGAATTTAATCGGCTGAAAATAGTTCAATTCTGAGCCACCCATTGTTTATTTATTAGCTGTAAAACGAGGACATGACCTCTGTATCCTCTGTAGTTCAGCCTTTCAAAATTGTAAATTACCGAGATAACTTGTTCCTGAATGTGACGTTTATTGCTCTTCATAAGCGTTGATTTAAAAGATAAACCGTGGGAATGGGAGTCACCGTACAATAATAAAAACTAAAGGCATGTGGAGACACTTTATGGCAGATCGCTTTCTTATAATTGGGTATTGACCTGACTGTGGACTTGTGTGTGTGTGTGTGTGTGCAAAGGAAGTAAATAATCTTATTTATGTGTTTTATGTGTGTGTCTCCAAAGCCTCCGACGCCAAGGAGCAGCAGTTTTGGATCACTCAGCTCCAAGCATGTGCCAGACGTCACTCTGACAGCAGTGCCAAGGTGAAACACACACACAAACGCACACGCTTGCTGTAACAAGAGTTGTAAATATGAATGTGGTTCAAACTAGAGGCATGTGTTGTATGCAAAACGAGTCGAAAGCCTCGACATTTCTCCTGAGATTCCTGTTACTCCTGTTACCCCACGTCAGTGGCTTTGAAAATCTGGCGGAAAGTTTCCCATTTCAGGAAATTCAGGTAAGGTTTGTGAGTTCAACAGTTCCTGAGTCTGTGTGCAGGAGCAGCAGCCGGCCCTCCACCAGCTGGAAAACCTCCGTACACAACCACAAGGTCCAGGCCCTCCAGCTCTCCCTGTTCGGCTTGTTTTCCCACTGCTTTCTGTGTGTGTGTGTGTGTATGTGTGTGTGTGTGTGTGTGTGTGCGTGAAGGTGACTTATTTCACATGCCATTTTTCAATTAAAATGGCATCTTCTCCCAAGAGTCTTATCATTCCCTCTGGAAGTGTAAAGCTTATTTTATTGGCTATAGATGCACTTAAAATGGAAAAAAGAGGAAAACGTGTAAAAGATGTAAAAAGTCTAACACTCTTGCTTGTTCCATTTATTTCGAAGCAATATTTTTAGCACTTGAAATGACAGAAGACTTATCGACTTATCGGGGAAATGAAGCATCGCGACCCTGCTGCTATATTTGAGGATGTCTCTAGATGTCCCATGTTTCACTCTTCCTCTTCATGTCTATGTAGCCGCATTTCTCAAAGATGACTGTGTTTGGTGTAGTAGCAACTTCCTTCTTTTTCATTTTTAATATGGATTAATAATAACAGTATTTGGACATTTTGCGCGGTGGGCTGTATGTTCATTGGCCGGATCCAATAGAGAATGAGAAAATAATTTCAAACGTCATTGTTTTTGGCAAACATTTGGTATTAAAGTAGCTTTTCCTCATGGGAGCTTTGAAGGGGAATTCCGTCTTTGTCTTTGCTGCAGCTGTGAATGAATGACAAAGATAATGTCGGGTTGCTCGTAATGTGTTTGAGTTTCAAACTTTATTTGGTAACTGATTAAACAACACTAATGTTTACTAGTCAACCTTGCAAAAATGCTAGTGGACACACTGATATTTTGATTTCATGTATCGGGTAAAAGTAGTTTACTGGATTGCATTGAATCGAAAGGTATTTCTACTGTTTAATTAAAAGGATTTACATACACTATAATAGCAAACCGACATTCTACAAAGATGACGAAAGGGTTGATGTCAAGCCAAGATATTTCCTTCTTAAAAGTTGATAATTCTGGCTAAAGGCATAGTGTCAAATGACAAATAGTCATAGATGAAAATCCTATTGTACACTAAAGACTAAAGGAAGGTCCATGTTGATTTGATTGTCCTGTATGATGCAGAAACATTTGAAGAAGAAAAACACATGTTGATATTGTGGTTATCTTGCATAAATATGTGAGAAATACTGATTCCGACTCTTTAAAAAGGTTATTTTTGCATGAAGCTCAGTCATAATGTGTGCTCTGCTGTCTGCTGGGTGCCTCGCAAAGAGACGTATGCTCTTGTTGCGGTTCTTTTAATTACTCCCCAATAATCTTTCCGCATGTGTGTGTTTGGGTTCAGGTGAGGAAGCTAAAGGGCTCTGATGAACACCTGAGCGTGGAGAGAGCAGCAGGAGGCCACGAGCTGCTGGTGAGTCAAACACACCTCAGATTCACTTCACTTCCCGTTTCTCCAGCAAACATGGCTGTGAAAAACATGCCGTGTGCATTTTTTTGGGGGGTCTTTTCAAACCATTAAATACGGCAGCCTCATTTCACTGCCTCGTTGCCGGCTCTCTTACTCAACACCAAGCGCTTCACATGATGAGAACACCGGAGTGACGGGAAAAGTCCCATCAGCCGCGATGAGGACGGCAGTGAGAACATGATAGCAAAAAAAGTGGAAGAAGCCGTTGTGTCTTTTTCCTCCCTTCTGTCCTGAACAGAACAGGCGCTCTGTTCCTGTTGGTTGACGATGGAGCGTCGCTACGTCAGCAGCAGCGAGCTGCGCTGTCGGCCCCCCGATCGTTGTCTCTCAGCCACTCTGGCAATGCGGGAGCCACCGGCGGAGGATCAGTTGCACCGCTGACCACAGGAGAGGAGTAGCAGGATTTATGTGTTACTAAAAAAGGGCAAAGGCGCAATGTTCTCGTCTTTGTCGGAAACCATCATGGGATTTTATTTTTGAAATTGATGAAGCAGAGCAACAAACGGGAGGGAGAGTATGTTGGTAATGCTGGGTTCCTCTTATTGTTCCTCAATACGTGGACAGACAGGTGACGCAGCAGCGCCTGGAGATGTCGTGCCGTTGTAAAATTCACACATTGTCACCCCAGGAATTGTCATTCTGCTGAATCGACTTCTCTGACACAGCCAAAGATTTTCAGTCTCACAATCTTCAACTCGAGGTCCGTTTTTAAAGGCTGTTTAAGAGCTTCTATTCATATCTCATGGTTTTAATCAGCAGATGGAGTCACCGGATACGATGGCCAATCGGCTTACGGCTCAGACAGGATCGTTCTCTTTGTCTTATCAATACACAGATAAGTAAGTAGACAGTTTTACATTCGAAGGAAAACACAAATGAATCCGCTCTTGTGATGCGACTATTAGGAGTTGCTCATTGAGATTAACGGCCCCCAGGCGGTGATGCTCATTCTCTGCTGCTGTTAAATCATGCAGAATTCATATTCTGCATGATTCTGCACGGCCAGGAGATGTAAAGAAACTGTCTCCAATCAAACCTCAAACCGTCATTTGAGAAAGGTCAAAGTATTCTCATTGCTTCACACAGATTTGATGTTTTTGAGGGAAGTTTGGACTCTAACCCGATGCAATTGGTTTACGGAAATGTTGCCGGCCTCTGGTTGGCTATTACTAAACGAGCCCGCCCCCGATCAGCTGGCGGCGCCACAGGAAGAGAGGAGACCACCTGCGAAACGCGCAGCTGATTCAGCTTGTGTTCCTGCCTGATCGCTCTGTAGAGCCTCGTCAAGTCCCAAAGGAGAGTTTGGTAGAGCTGCAACGAACAAGGTCACTCCGTCTCAGCCAGGCGCCTCCGTCAAACCGTCCAGTCACGGCACCTGTTGTTCTGGCAGCTGCTTTCACATCTGACTTCAGTGTCAGATTTTCAGTTATATCCAAAGTGAGTGTAACGGCATCATCAGGTATATTCTGTCTTGCACAGGACACACGGTACAGAGGAAACGGCCCGTAGAGGCGTGGCTCTAAAATACGCTATGAGTGTTTTTTCATTAACTTTTTGCTGCGTGGGTTTAGTTTAATAACAATTTCAAATTCAAACTTCAAACAACTTCAGGTCTACAAACAATACTGTAAACGTTGGCCTCCGAAATAATTGACCTCATTAGATCTCTTAACTGAACCTGAAGTTTATATGTAACTGCAGTGACCTACACTGCATGCAGGTGTGTAAATCTACAGCACACACACAACGGGACTTTGAGTGGAACTGCAAATACAGTGCACTGTCTGTTTTGGGGTTTAAACTCAAGTTTCAGTTGTATCATTATTTGGAAATGATCAAAATTGTTGCAGAAAACTGTAGTTGAAAACTATTTCTGTACAATCTTAACAGCGGTGGTAGCGTTGTGATTAGCGCGGTTCCCTGCAGTGCAGAAAAGTGGCAGGTCAGCAGCTGACCGCTGCTGCACAGCCACCCACGCTGCCTCTCGCAGGGCCGAGTCCGCCCACGCTGGAGTGACAGCCGAGCACCTGTGAAGCGCGGGACTTCTCTTACGCCGGAGCACGCTTCCTCTTAATGTGTAAGATCACAAGACTGCAAACGTTGCCCGTGAATTTACAGTCCTAAATGGACATCGTGATTATATTTTCTCATTTGAATTGAAAGGGTAGACGTTGGTGTCCATGTTGCATGGACTAAAAATCTTTAGTTGTCCAAGGTGTGACATGGGGGGGGGGGTGCATTATAGGGGGGTTCATTATAGGTTGTGCATAACACCCCCATATTTACCACAATTCTTGATCCTGTGCTCGATACCTCCCTGCATCTCTCCCCTCCCTCACTTCACCGCGGTACTTTCTTCCCTCTTGCGTTTTCTCGCTTCTTGTCGTTCCAGTTTATGGAAATGCTCGGGGCTTTGGGCCAGTGTTGGAGGACGAAACCTCAGCGTGTCTTTATCTGTTCTCCCTCCTGAAATGCTGTTTCGTTTTCACTTCGGCCTCGTGGCTGACTGAGCCTTGCACAATACAAACGTGTTCCCTCCTGTAAGCCGATTTTGTTCTGTATAAATGATTCCCCAAGGACCTACTGTAACTCCATGTTTAGTGTTTTTTGATGAATCTAATCACGGAAATGCTGTTGTTTTTATCTAGATGTGGTATTTCTACGTGCAGTTTTGTATCTCAAAGGAGCAGAATACAAATCAAATACAAATCATGTATGTGACATTATCTTACAGCATTTGGTTCACGCGGTGAGAACGGAACGGAAGCTGTTTATTAGATTGATTTTATCTTGCTGCCGTAACCAGACCTCTGTGCTCTTCTGAGGGATGAATCACATGTAGAGTGAAGACACTGCGCTGACATGAGTCCCTGTAGAAAACTCATTAAAAACGTAGCCTTTTAAATTCACAAATCTGGGGGCGGTGGCCCTCACTGCGTGTTTGCATTTATTGGAAGCAGTAGAAAAGAGGCACATAATTCTGTTTTTTGTCATTATTTTCTTTTTCCTCTTTTATTTGTTTTATCATCAGTCATTTATACATTTTGTGAACTGCGATTGATTTACAGAAAAAAACGCTCCCTACGCTGTTAAAACCAGTAGATCTACACCTTTTAAAATAATAATGACAATCTGATATACTTATTATTAAAAATAGATCGCTAAAAGAAACTTCGCTTTCGCTTAACTTCAAGTTAACAAAGCAAAGTACCGCTAGTGTCAGCTAGCCTTAACTTGAGCTAAGCTACTCACTTAAAAAGAAGAAATATTCTGTTAAAGCTGCAGGAAGGCATATTCGTGTGTTTCTTTGACCTGCTTTGATTTATATTGATTTATATTACCTTGTTCCAGGGACCTTGAAGGTTTAGTTGAAAGCGAACCGTTAACTGTTAGTGTTGAATGACATTTTACTGGAATGTGCCTTTTAAATTCTTGGACTAAAATCCCCAAATCTGAAATTTGGGGAATCGAAACGATGGCGTTCATTATTAAATTGTGTTCTCTTCACCGAAATAAGAGCAAACTCTTTTACATGATCATGCTTCCTCCACATTTAAACCCCCACACTACTCTCTCTCTCTGTGCCTCCCCCTGCTCCCCCACCTCCCCCAGGGCTCCTCATCCTCTGGTCGGACCCGTAGCTTCTCCCTCCTCCCCCACCTAACCCCATCTTCATCCCCGGGTCCTCAGAGGAACCTGAGCCACGTGGCCTCACCCAGCAACATCGTCACCATCACCCACCACAAATCTCCGGCTGCGGCTCGGCGGGCCAAGAATCTGTACCCGGGACGGCTGCTGGAGGTCAAAGAGGTGGGTGTCGAAGGCATAACAATACCAATCCAACCCTCGAGACATGGAAATCAAGGGCAGCGCTTTTTTTTTTTTTTCTTTTTTTTTTTTTTTTTAAAGGGGTTTCACAGAAATGTAGTGAACGAGAAGGTGGTTTAAAAAGGCCACACGACAGTTTTTACATGCAAATTCATTGCTGAGATCTGGAAACACTGACGCATCAACAACAACACAGTTGTAAAAATCTCTGTGCACAGAGTCTGCACAGAAATTCCACAAAACTAGTATTAGTATGGCAGATTGGAATGTAGGCGCGGGTCATGTGATGGATGTGAGAAGCCTGAGCATGAGAACAACACGCTTTCTACTAGAAAGCTAATTTTTCAGTGCAAGCCGAGATTTAGGTTGTACACTGTGGCCAGCTCCGTCTCTGGGTTCAAATATTTAAAAAAACACAATATTACACACAAAATGTGTATTTTTCTTTTTTACTACATTGATGTCGTAAGACCGTGTCCTGTTTTTATATAATGCACCTGAAAGATCAATGGAATTCATTCATTTGAGACATTTTATGATGGTACAGATTAAATACAGAAACAATTGTTGCATTCCAATGAATATTTATGTTATTTTAGATTATTTCTGTCAGCATTTTGACATTCAAAAATGTTTTTATTCACATCTAAATTCCGGTGCTAAAGTGCTTTATTGGTCGGAACTGAATAATGTGAAGAAAAAACCCCACAAAGTCCTTCAAAAATGTTTTGTCTGAATGTTTTGTACTTGTGGCCTTCAGGGTCTCTACACTGGTCTCTGGTGGGACGCTGCTGCAGTGAGTTCAGCACATATTTCTTGCTTCCTTGCAGGTTTGACAGCTACTGCAGCGTACTCGGTTCAGCTTTGTTGGCATTTTTCTGGTATACATCAATACTGATTAACCTGCTTGGTGACAAAGGGAAGAGCCGCGTATGTTGTTGAATTGGGGTCAGTGTTTAACCAACACATGACCTGGGGAAAGTTCTGTGCCCGCGAGCTCGTCCGTATGGTACATTTGATATTGCTTTCCACGTTGCTGCTAATCTCCGAATGTATACATTTACATTATACCACAACTTCCATAAGCTGTTTCATTTACAGACCTGCAAGCACATCCTGAGTTAATTAAAAACTCATCCACTTGAAATTTCCGCTCGCCTTTTTGATTTAGTTTGAAGTTTAAATCCTCATTAATTCTCTCCGCCTCGGTCACCGTACCTGTCGGTTGTGGTTCCCACTTTGTCCTAATCTGCCACGTCTCCCTACATCAGCCACTGACTGCTCTCTGCTCAACTCTCCCGAGAGAATTATTTGTCTTCCCGTCTCTTCTTAATAACTTGTCTGCTGTTGACTTATGCTGAATAATTGCCATGGATAATACCTCAACAAATAGCAAAAGCCAAAACGATAGAGACGTGACGCTGGCGAACCATCGAGCCATTAGCTGCCACATTTCTGCTCTCACGCTTTTGTTTAGTGTTGAAGTGTGATTTTTTTTTTCGGATCGTTGCCATGCAGCTGAGCGTCTGGCCGCTGAATTTTGGAGATAAGATGACATACCGGTTTGGAAAGAGTAAGAAACATGGACGAGGAGGGCCAAAAGGCTTTTAAAAAAAAACAACAACACCACTTCCCTGTGTAAACCGTTGACAAAGAGGAGAAAAACAGGAGCTGGCAGGGAGGTCGACCATCACGTTAAGCCGTCAGCCGCTCCGCGTCCATGAGGTCCTGGTCGTGGGTTCTCTGCCTACTCTACTGCTAATCTACTCAAAGCTTTTTGATTGCTGGTATGAATCGCTTTGATGCAGATATTCACAGCCAGTGTGTGTTTTTTGTTTTGCTGTCACACCTCGGTGTACTTCCCAATAATCATTGTATGTGTCCTTGAACATACATCTTGAATACATTTACTTCGTCATAAAACATTGGAACATTTTAAATCCTGTATTGTGTTTTCTAGCCGCCAGTCTCGGCACATTAACGTAACCTGCAGATGAGTGGAGTGTGAAACCGTTGGCAGGAATGTGAATGGCGGCATCACTGTGGTGCGACTGAGGTCACCTCTGAATGGATTTTTTTTTAATCTCACTAAACGTGGAGAGTTCCAATGATGAGGGAAATTTGAAAAAGAAGCAAATCCTAATGTCTCAAATGTTGGCACCAGTGAAAGTTTTCAATCTTGGTTGAATAGATTATACATTTTAAGTCTGAGTGGAATGGTACAAAACAGGAAGTGTGCATACATATTCTGATCATCAGATGGGTGACGGTTACAGATCTTTCCTTTCTAGCTATTTGATCCCTGCTGCAGAAAAAGAAAGCGGGATTTATTGTACTAATGAACGAGCATGAGCAAAATCCTTTGCTTTCCTAATGAGTTGTCATGTAATTGAAACCTCCCGGTAGGATGTGAGTACTTTGCAAAACTTGGCAATTACCTCAACGGCTCGTCTGCGTTCTTCTGTCAGTCAGGACGGCACTGCGGGAGTAGCATCGACGTTTCTCGCTCATCGACGACCTGGCTGGCTTCTGGTTGTTAAAATCCAGATTCAGTGTCGCCTGCTTCGTCTCGCTGAGAACATCTCTCCGTCTATCTGGGACGGAACCAGAGCGGCCAGGCGTTCGCTGTGAGAGGAGAGTCATTTGTCACCTCTTTGAGGAGCGGAGTCAAGTCTCCTCGAGTAAATACAGAGCAGATGGTGTGATCCTCATGCAAAACAAACACTCCTTTTTGGTGCTTGTGTTTTTCACCACAGACGGGAGAAAACGAGGCCCTGTGTGATTCATGTTTTCTTTTGGTCCAGGGAGAATTGGATCACCGCCTCGTTGAGCTTCTCTGCCATTGGCCACTGTTCCTTCTCTTCTTCCTCGTGTCGTTTGCTGTTCTGCTCCCTTTTATTCAGAACCCGGCCCGTAACCCTGCTTGGCAGGTTTGGGCACAGAACCGGGGGTCGGCTGCTCGAGTAGACGGTAAAAGAGCGCGATTCACGGTGATTTACGCAGCGCCGTGCAGCAGAGACCTGGAAGCTGCTGAGTGCTGATTATCGGTGGATTTACGGCCAAACGGCGGCATCGGGAATGCTGCGGTGTAAATCAGCCCGCTATGGCTGATGATATTTATATTCACATCACTCTGTTACAGTTCTGCCACACCCACTCCCCACAAGCTACAATTGCATACAGCTTGGTCGTCTCGCATTCACAAACCGTGGTGGAAGGGAAACGGTCTTTGCACCACAGTGAATCTGCCTCTCCAGCTCTGCTCTGTTGATCCCGGGACCCGGCGGCACTCACTGTGCCACCCTCACACCGGCGGGAGGCTCACACAAACACCTGCAGCAGCAGCAGGGCTCCACTACAACGACAACGACGCCATCGACTTAACACAAATGAGCTCCAAAAATTGACATAATCATTTATACTTGTCTTAATATTTACATAAGAATGTCACTAACATGTCAACCAAAAGTGATGCCAGAAAACAAGGCTGTTTTCTTCCGACAAGGGCAGTGTGCAGATGTGCATGTGTGATACACAGCCAGAGAGTCTATTTTATTTATTGTTTTGGTGGTTCCTTGTTTTTTTTAATATTTATTTAGAATATTTGAATATATTTACATTCATATTTCTGTCTGAATATTCTTGATGAAGCGGGCTCATTGAGTTTTCTTGCACCGCTATGCTTGATTGCCAATATATCGGTGGCATAAAATTACAATATTTTTAGACAATACGATAGCAGAATCTTTCTGACACTTGAAATCTATTCAGTGCGGACTAAACATCTTCCTCATTAACTAGAAGCAACCTCTGAAAATGAACACCATAGTTCCAATATATTGGCGAGGTCGGGGTTTGGATGTTTAGGCCGTTGTCATGCTGTTGCCTCCCATCCGTCTGTGCAGCCATGCGTGCATCTGTCCTTCCGCTGGATGTGCGACGGCGGGAGTCCGAGCACATTAGCATCTCTCGCCCGGCAACTTGTCACGGCTGCTGGGAACTCATCAAACGCCTCGACTCTCGGCGCAGCAGCACCGCCGGGCGCTTACGCTGCAGCAGCAGAGCTGGATCAGCGGGGTCGGGCTATTTCTGGAAGCCTCACTGGTCCGGTTGGCTCCAGAGAGGTGTGCGTCTGCGTTGCTGGGACCGGCCATTACTGTAAATCCACTGACTTTGCTTCGTAGCGGATGTCTGTTTCTTCGATGTTCATGGCTAAAGGTGTGAACTGCATATATACCAAACAATGACCTAGAATATGAACAATATAACTATTGACACACAGGGAGCAATGGTAGCTTAGTATTTGTTAGAATTATGAGCTTTGTACTGGAAAATACAAATGAATACATTTGTTTTGAATATGAAACACTAATACTTAATGTGTGTATCCAAACCTATTTGAATACTTGAAGGTGGCTCTGGTACCGGCTGTCATTATTGACACTATTGCTCACATGGGACCAGCTGGTATTTATGACGTTTCACCTTGAGACACTTTTACAACTCGCGCTGTGTGTTTGTAAGGAACCGTAGGTTATTTTATAGTTCTCACTGCTTCTTACCCCATATAAGCTTGTTTTTCTCCAATTCCTTCTTGTTGTTACCCAATCACTTTAGTCAGCCAAAATCAGAACTTTTGAAAAATAATTGCCTCTCAAGCAAATAGGATTTCATGCGGCAACAGATTAGTCATATTAATTCATCACCGCAGCATAAACATTTTTACCCGTAATATCTTGATCAAAATGGTTAATAAAGGCAAAAGATGAGTATATTCAGCCCTTTATGCCCTTTTTAGAGTGGCTAAAATGATGTCTATCATTAAAGGGAAATATGCGATGAGAGTGAATTGAATTGAAAGGCCTTATTTTTGTTAAGTGCACTGTGAATGACACACACACAATAGCAGCATGGTGAATTCTGAGTATTTATAACAACCGTTGGAGAAAGCTTTTGAGCTCCATTTGCCTGAGGAATTCGACATCCGACCTGAATAACTAGCTGAATAATTGGACAAACGCTGAGCTTCAAAAAAAAGAAGGAAAGAACAACATTACATGAATGTCTAAACCCTGCATACCTCACCACAACCGCTCTCAGTGACTCCAAAATAGCTGCGCATTCGGATGCAGGGAGACAGATGCGCTATTGATGTGCATGTGGAGGACGTGGGCATGTGAAGTCATTCAATATGACTGAATACAGGGCTGATAAACAACCCTGATTCATCAGCCTCGAGAGAAGCTTATTACCCGCTAGCGAGAACCGACTTCTTCCTCCTTTAGTGACACATTTAGACTCCGAAAGGTGCGTCATTCAGATACAACACTCAATGTTTTGTGTTACCGTGGGCGCAGGCGGGGGAACTTTGTGTGTGTGTGTGTGTGTGTGTGTGTGTGTGTGTGAGAGTAGAGTTTTAGCAACTTCTTTTTTGGGCACCACCATCTTGGAGGGGACTTGAATTAATGCAAAGTTGTGTCACTTCCTATACACAAGTAAAAATGTAAACTCTGTATTGATGTACTAGATGGTGGAGGATATCGTGTCACATTTCTATCGCGTGTGTCTCAGTTCTTGGTTGTGTTGATGAATGGCATCTCTCTAAACAATGTATTGTATGCTATTTTCCATACTGTGTAACATTGTTGAACATTTTGATTAATATCCATCAACATCCAATGATCAAAAGCTAGTTTCCCCCTTTAGTGCTTTAAATAACCAACAAGCAAATGCAATTTAAGAATTTGATGACTTGTTTTATTGCAATGAATTTCCAGGTCTGCAAAGGATGACTCAACATCGATATTTATCGATATCGTTATTCTATTAGTTATGTTTTTACTCTGCATCATAAGATCCCGTTAAAATAACTACATTGACTTTCAGTTACTGGAGAAATAATTGAGGGATACAGTGAGTGTGAAAAGCGGTCGGTGGCTGGTTCCTTTTTCAGAACGTCATTAAATCTGAAGGCACCTTCTGCTCATATGAACGGAAGGTGCCTCCAGATTTAATGACCTGCCGTTTAGATGATGGGAACATGGCGATATTCAGGGAGGCATGGCAACGCTAAAGCAATAGAGGGACATGTGTGTCGACCGTGCAGGCTATATAACTAAACAAATAAAACGAGAACCCATTTTCCAGTGACTGCTTAATGACATGAGTCTGAGGACGTGCATGCACATTGTTCCCATTGATAAGGTAGATTGCAGTATTTCCCCAGGTTTACAACTTCATGAGTGGGGGTGTTGTAGTTGGGCGAATGGGTTGGCCGGACAGGGGGGGGTTGTAGTCAGTCCGCTGGTGCTCTCTGTCCTGTTTTTTATTTCCAGACTTTGTTCCGGGGCAGGGGGGGCGCACCCTGTTATAATGATAATGAAACACTGATTTTGCAATGGTCGGTTATCAAAACATTGGCCAAATGACCCGTTTTAGGCTTTATGAGCAAATACAGAATCCCTTTTGTGTTCATTTCTAAAGCTTCACATTAAGACACACATCACTAATTTAAGTGATGCGTGCTGCGCTACTTGCAAGTCGCTGTGTTGTGCCAGATTCTCTATAAAGTTAGAAAAAGGGATTTACGGCAAATCGTTGAGATACTAATTCACGTGTAATTTGCATGAGGAGACCGGTCCATGTTGCTACATACGTGTTATATACATGTTACATACATGTTGCTACATACCCAACTGAGATCGCCTTGTGCTGTTCTGAAAAAGAAACCTTCCACTGACCACTTTTCGCACTCGGCGCTGCTGAATTTCTCTTCTCAACTTTGTAAATACACTGCAGTGCCCATGTTCTTTTTTTTAAATGGAGAAATATATCACCCAGTGCAACTGTGTGGCTCATTAGTGTGTTTTTGTGTAGGACAACAATGACTGGCACAAAGGAAGCTATATTGTTGTCGGGTTTGGTTAGGAGGAAAATACCACCGACTATTAAAGTCGTTCCTTAAAGTGACTGAAAGAAAATAGGCACTAAGATCTCTGATCACTAAGAAGAACAGTACAGTAACATTAATATTCTCTTTAGTTTTTTTTATGGCTGTCAACAGTAATTAGTTAATCTATGCAATTAATGTGGCAGAGATAATGCAATAAAATATTTTAGCGCAGTTAACGTAACATTGTTAACTTCCGGTCTTCCGGTGTGCCGGAAGTAAACAAACTTGACCCCGGAAACGAAACCGCGCTAGCTGCAGTCAGGTGACGTTACGTTACATCGGAGAAACAAGACGGTAGTTGAAGATGGAGAGAGCTTTTTGCATTGGAGGCGCGACGTACAGCGGAGAACAGTGCAGAGGAATAACTCCACGGGTCAAACAGAAGGGGGGTGAGTGGCAAACGGACCACCTAAAGCACCGCTATGCTAAGCTAGCTCCTAGGCTAAGCTAGCAGCAGAGGACCACCACTGTGTCCCTAAAAAAACGGTTGTTTTGAAAACGTTCTGACTAAATGTGTGAGATCTAATTATTTTACATTAAATTATGTTGAATATGTATTTTAACATTCCAAATCCCTGTTGTCCCCCAGGTGATGTCCCAAGCAGAGGGCCAGCAGAAGAACCTGGTCCAGTCCATTGACTCTCTGCCCACCAGAGGCCCTCTCTCCTGTCTGGACCAGGACCTGCTGCTGCTCAAAGCCACGTCGGCCGCCACCCTCAGCTGCCTGGGGGAGTGCCTGAACATCCTCCAGAGGACCCAGAGCCACGGCCAAGGACCGCCCCAGTCCCACGCCTCCCAGTGCAACAACGCTGCCCACGGAGCCCCCTCTGGTGAGTCGGCCCATGGCCCCCCTCCTGTCCAGCTACTGGAGTCCGCGACCCCTCCATCTTTCCCATCCCTCTTGTCTTTCGAGCTCCGTCCTCCAGAGCCCTGCCCCAGCGGGAAGAACCAATTGGGGCAGCTGGACTGTGGCTCTTGTCCCTGCCTGACGGGTACCATGAACTTCAATGTTTGTAGTAAATGTTGTTGAATGTTGCATTTCTGTGTTGATTTGTTTCGTCACATTTCTGGTTGTCTTAATTATCAGTGTTTGTTCCTTACTGCTTTCAATTCATTTTTGGGTCTCTTCAATGCCGTCAAATGCATTGAAATGCCGATAGTTTCTGGAAATGGTATTGCCAAGAACATGCATGAATGGGAAGTGTGTATGAAAATAATTTGTACTGTCCATATTCTCTACAGGCTCCTTGAGAGCATTTCAGACTTCCTACATGCATGTCAGAAACATATCATTTTATATGCGAGTGAGTAAACCTAGATACTATAACTAATATGCACTTTTAAATCTCCTCAAAGGATTACGTTTTTCCCAAAGGAATCCCCAATGGGGCCTAAAATGTTAGCCTTCTGCCATGTTTATCCCTCTCTGTGCCAGATCACTGTGGATCCAATAAAGAGTTTCGATTCAAATATTTTCAGCCTGAGGGTGGTTCTATCGGCATAACCGGAAGGAGGACAGTGCCCACAGGTGCAATGTAGACCCCATATGCAGGACAAAGGGACTCTGTTAAGATGATGTCAAGTCTTCAAAGGTTGTAGACAAATCTGATTTCTTACCCACGATCAGAGGTCCATTTATAGGGTTTAAGTTACTATACAGAAACACCATAAATGATTTATCTACAAAAGAAGTAGATTTTAAAGAAATATTCCACTGAAATGTGTGGGACAGAAAGGTGGCTGGTGAAATATGTATAACTGGCTCCTGGCAACAGTTGTCAGTTTAGATTCACAGCAGTTGCAATGAATCCAGCAAGTGTATTTCTTCCCCTTTTAGAAATGTCTCAAACACCTGCAACAAAATCCACTTACCTGCCGTTGCAAAAACAATCTCACCTCAAAGTCCATTTAGTAGCTTTGCCGGAATTATGTTTAAAATGGACTTACTGTACGTAATGGTGCTATATAACTAAAGTTTTAAATGGGCTACTTCTTAATTGGCAAAATGGTTAATAGTGGATTCTACTAGACAAGTTGTTTGAGACATTTCTGGGATGTTTTGTCACGGGAACTCCTTGGAATGCTGGAGGACTCGTCTTGTGAGGAGGAATATATGGATTGCTTATAGAGAGAAGTGGATAGATAGTATTTGATGATGTTTTGGCTGCAAGGGCCCTCTTGGAACCCAGTGTAACCGGTACTTTAAAGCCCTACAGGTGCACATTTTTGGTTTGTGTGTTTAAACCAAGAAGATGTGGTCCACCTCCTTCGGAGGGTCTTTGTGGGTCTGGGTTTGGGACGGGTGCCGGATCCCCGCCAATCCGCTGGTCCTCACATTCTGTCGGTCTTCTCTTTGCGCCTACAGCCATGCTGCCCTGTACCTGTTCTTCAGACAGGGGGTGGTGTGGAGTGGGACCACCGGGCCGCAAGTACAAACCTCTTTCCTTCCGCCGCCTGGCTGATAAGTCCTGTGGGGATCCAGCTGCACCCCGCTTCCGGCATGTATCCCCCACACCTCAGTGAGGACCTTTTTTATATTAGGATCCTCGGTTTCGCCACAAACGGGTAGTGTTGCCCACCGGCATGAGCAGCATCCAGATTTAGCACAGCTGATAAAGGGAGTGGCTGGCTGGCTAGTCGGTTGGTTGGCTAAATGGTTTTGTTGCGCCCACACAGGAAACCTCTGCCACTGCACGGGCAACATAACTCTTTGGTGGAGCGCTGAGCATGAGGTTGGACTGAGTTTGGCTGGCACCGGGCTCCCTCCGGGCGATTTATTGCAACAAAGCCACAACAGCTGGTCTGGGTCAGCTCCATCTATTATAAAGACTTCCACCACAAACCTGCCAGTCACAAACCAGACCGCATTTTATCAGCCGATCATGGAGGATCTTTGCTGCTCGCTCTAGCTCCTCAATGTCACTGCAATAAAGAGCTTGAAGCCCAAACCTCTATTTCACCCCACACGCCAGACATTTTATGGATTCAAATCCATAAAGGACATTTAATTTTGCAAACCCTTGCAGCTTAACACAACAAACCTTTTTTTTTTTTTTTTGGACAGAACATGAAGGGTAAGAACTTGTTGGGTGTGAAAGTATCACAAAATCTGAACCGATGTCACAGCCCAGAAATGGAAGGCAGAGCCTTTTGTAAACTGCATGAATGTTTGTCTCGCCACTGTTCAGTCCGCAACGGTCTTTTGATTCACCCGCATGTCTCTATCCAATGGCACAGACCCCCCCTCCTCCTCCCCCACCACGCTCACTGGGTGTTTCTACTTCTGGTGCTTCATTGTGACATCTCAGAGAAAGCGTCAAAGTATGACATAGACGGTTTGCAAACCAGCTTCTTGTAAATACATGTTTTCATGGAAATGACAAAGACAATTTGAAATGAACTCTCAGGATCGTATCCCAACTCATTCACACTTCACTCGCCTTCAGGCAGTAGCGCCCTTGCTCATGTGTCCATTGTATAGTCTATTATCGTTGGAAGAGGTCCGCCAACACTCTTCAGGTTCCTGTCAGTCCAACTGTCAGTTGACCAGAGACTCGTCCTCAGGGCTGTTGAGCTCATTTTGTCGAGACAGACTCTCGTCAGCGTGTCGACCTGCGTCAGCACAGCTTGCTTCCCACTAATGGATATCAAAGAACGGCCTCTTGCTAGATTTTAATTTAATTTAAGCGTTGGGGCTGGAGAGGAGAAAGGCCTGTGGTACCGTTCCATTTCCAGCTCTTTGAAATGTGATCTACTACCGTGAAGAAGCTTTTAAACGAGGAAACTTGCAGCTTTTTTTTGTTGTTTTTTTTTTTGGATGGACAAGCATCATGTTAGTCTGTTGGATGCGATAAAACTATTTGGTGAAGCACCTTCCACATGTTGGAAGGCTGACTGAATTTGATGTCTGTTTTTGGGGCTGTAGTGTTGATGAGCCCAAAAGGAGCCTTTTAGTCCGTATTGTAACCACTGGTTTCTTCTAAATGTGCAATGTTTTAAGATCTGGCCAGAATCTGCAACATTCAAAAACCACATTTAGGTCCGAGTATGACCATCTCCGTATCGTGTTCATGGTGAAATGACCATGCTTGCCAGCTAGCTCCGGCTCTGCCTGTCTTGTATTTTTGCATATATCCGTTTCGCCTTTCTTTCCTCTGCCAGTGTTGAGCAGGAAGCGGTTCTGGAGGACAGTCGTTTAGATGGTTGTTAGCTCTAGTAACAATCAGCCCACCACCAGAAGACGCGTGCACTAACCTGTGTAACGGCAGCTGAATATCAGGTGCAAAAGCGCCGCCGACTTAAAGTTCCGCCTCCTGGAGCTGCTGACCGAGGGATTCCGCTGGTGGTTGAAAGGACGAGACAAAAATAAGAGTCGCTTTCCAATTGCGCCAATTTGGATTTGATCCAACAAATAACCACTGATGCATAGACGGACCGTAGAGTGCTCGGTTAGGATCTCAGTAAACACAGACGGCTGCATAAACTCTGCCGACGCTACAGGTGAAGATTACAGCAGAGTGCAGATTGTTCTGCACCCTGTTCCTTTGGAGCATGTGTGCAGATCTTACGCATCGTATACAGATCCGCTGTGTTTGACTTAAACCCCCCACAATGCATCATGTTTTAACTTTTTGACCCCTAATTCTAACTGGGCTAAGTCATTACTAGGTATGACTGTATTGAGGAAATGTTAGTATCACAATATTTTGTATGCAAAAACTCACATAATTTGAACATTGAATCGTCGTATCTGACTGTCCATCTGCAGGTGCTAGAGGTTCAGTACTCACGCACTGCATTGATTTTCATATACAATAGCTAGTGTGATTGTTCCAAGGCTCGGTTACAGCATGAGAGAGACTGTGCAGGACACAGATGTGTAGTTCTGCATCATTTCTGTATGTCTGACCTTAGTCAAATAAGAGTTGTCTCTCTCTAGTCCCTCTTTTCTATTATTAACAATTTCATCAGGCCCCAAATCAAGCGTTAATACACACACACACACACACACACACACATTAATTCTACAAATTAGATGGGCGTAAACCACGCGTATCTCCTCCTCGCTGTTGGCGTGATTGTTAACTAACCCTGTCGGTTTGCAGATGGTGTTCCTGTGTGGACTGTACCAAAGTCGCCCTCGGGGGAGCAGTTGAAGAACGGAGTTCTGACTCCTCTGCGATCGGCCGAGCCTTCGCCGGACTTCAGGAGAAGGAGTCTGTCCCATGGTGCTGAGGTGAGGAACGTCCCATCACGCTGGCAAACATCACTCACCCTTTTGCCGGTCAAGCTTCTGTCCTGGTTACAGGTGCCTGCTAAGTTAAAGCTGTTGAGCTCGCCGTGTTTTGTGTAGTGGCCTTGTAGCTACTCAACAATGACGGCCCTGTGATAGAATCCCGCTGGGAAGTTATTCTTTATTTCTCAATTCCAGCTTTGTTAACAGATCTTCACAAAAGAAATGACTTTTTCCCCCCGACTTGAAACTTGCTCGCTCAAGATAGGCGAAGATTTCACTTCCTGTCTATGATCCGAAGTTCCCTTTTCTTTACATGATTCTCGCTGTCAAAATCCCAATCACAACAATATTGTTTGTTTAAAACAGTATTAGAAGCACTGACCTGATAAACGAGGCCACTAGTTAAGAGAGAAAAAAGAAATGGAGACTCGGACATCAACGGCCTGTGTGCGTTTTGATCAGACAGCACCGCGTCAATCCTCTTGAGTTGGTTCCGTTTCCGTGGTTCAATGACCTAAAAGCAAAAGGCTACTTGGAAGGTGGGAAGCTAACGGGCTGAAATATCTGAATAAAATGAGGCATTTGTTCATTACAGCGGACGGAGAAAGAAATCCGTGCTGGGGCAGATGTTGAGGCAGCGTTTTTCTGAATTCTCATGTTTCACGTGAAGGGAAACACTCGCCGCTTTTGAAAGTTTTAACAGAGCAGCTTTTTAATAAGTGGGTCGCACATTCTAGAGCTGGAAGCGAGCCTTTCCTTGGGAGGAGGGCTGTCTGACTGTCTGGACCACCCTGTCATAGGAAATCAATGCCAGGTGACCCTGACGAGAGTGTCGTACGGAGAGACAGAGGGCGAGAGTGAGACAGAGCTTTCTGTCCCAAATGGAAAGAAGACATTTTAAGAATTTCGTTTCAAATGCTGACTAATAGCTTCACAGGACCATAACTGGCCTGAAGGACAGAATATGTATTTTCTTTTTGTTTTCTGATGTTATCTTTTCCTCGTTGTCATGGATACAGCTGTAAATAGGTTTTCCCAGTCTCTCAGAATCACCACCAACTACCCCAGTCCCCACGTTTGATGAAAATTCCAGCATTTCTTTCTCTGACATTTGGATCCTGCACGTAGAGCACAGTGCCAGACAGCCAGATATGTTTCATCTGCTGCTAGCTAACTGTCTTATGCCTTGTATCTTGTGGTGAGATGAAGAGTTATTTACTTTTTCCATACACACGTTCCCTTTTTGCCTCCCGCAGTTTGCAATCGTAACTTGGCTGAATAGCTTTTGCAGTCCACGTCACAGGGAACTACCGATCGGAGCGCAGCAGCAGTTGGTCCGAAAGTAAAATAAGCATCACTTAGAATGTCCCGTCCTAAGAATTCCTACTATGCAGGAAGTGTGAAAACGAGTTGCTATAGCAACAGGATGTTTGTTTGAGCATCTTGTGAACGCAGCGTCACTTTCATGCGGCACCTCTGTCACATCGATCCTTCATTCAAACCCAGCAGAATATTGTAATCCTCAGCCGTGAATAACGAGATAAAGACTAATGGGGGCAAGTGTCATCTCGGAGCATTCGCTGTCATGTCACGGCTGTTGAGCACTCCCGTCGGATCTCAGGCTGACTTCTTGTTGATATCTAACCACAAAACGAGGCGCATGGACCGGGGGGAGGGGGGGGAGGATTTCACTGTGCTGGTCTAATCTAGAGGGCCAGAGATGTCAATGATTCATGCTAAGGTAAAAAGTATGACATTGCAGGTTGAACCCATTTGCGGTTAATTGTCAAGCGGTTCAACGTACTTCGTGGTGCACAATTCAGAAAGACATTTCAGACAGTGCTATGATGGTAGTTATGATTCTGTGGGTTTGAGGAAACCGTCTGCATTGACATTCCTCCCACTGCATGTATGTGCCCACTAACGTGTGCCACTAGGGCACTGCGCTCCGCTGAAGAGTCGTATCTGGAAATAAAAATGACCACGACTGTATATGATGATGACGTCATCTCCAGAAGTCTTTACATCACCTCTACAAACATTTTCCTCTTTCACACCAGCCAAGCTTTATTCATTAGGCTTGTATCCCCCACAAGCTTTGAACAAACCGACCTTTTAAGTTTATATGTGGAAAAAGGTGGTTAAGTAGCACACAGCTCCAAAGTCAGCATTCCAGCGAGGCTCAAGGTCAATTCCACATTTCATCTCCAATTTCTGATCTTGTTCCGTTTTTCTACTTGAATAAGGGGAGAGAGGGAGAGCGTGATTGTGGGAAAATGAAGGCGAAATTGGGGTTTCCAAAAATCAGCTCGCTTTATTCATTCGCATCAGCACCTGCTGTGTTCCTGTGGATGACGGCTGCGTTGGGCGAATAGGAGCTTAATGACAAACCGTCACTCCGTTCTGTATCAACAGTGAAAAGTAAATCTTCCCTCATAAGTCTACCTGTTTGAGCGCTTTTGTTATTTTTGTTATCCATGTCGGTCTATAAAATATTTATGCGTTTTTGCAAGAAGAAAATCCATAAAATAATGACAGCTAAGACCAAAAGGTTGTATCAGAATAGATTTCCTCTACCTCTGTTCTTCCCTACAGCAGGTATCCGCTTCCCCCTCATCATCTGAGTTGGTGTCCTTTAGTCCAGCAGAGGGCAGCAAAGTCCTCTGATGGGATTTGGTTTCAATTCGGCTGTTGCGCTGCAATACTTGAACACAAGACACATAATACTTTAGCAGTGGCACTGAAATCAGTGTCTAATAATCGTTGTATTGGAGGGTTTGGCCACTGTGGAATAATGCTTTTTGTATGAACTCGTACGGTTTGTTTTGCTTCGATTCTGCTTAACTACAGTCAGCCAAGGTAATAATAAGTGATCACATGGTGGCGCCTTAAGTCTTATTAACAGGCATAAAGGTCCTGTCAGTCCTGCAGTGAAAACACCAAAGAATGTCCAGTTCTCAGTGTGAAAAATATCAACCCATGACTCTGTAATCCGCCCTCTTTGTTCAACTCAAGATTTTGATTATGGAACAGGAAATGTCACATGGCTGCTGGGAAATACTTTCCCCTTTTATGGCCTCACAATCTTGAACCCTGTTTACTGCTTTTCAAATGGGTACAAAATACTTGTTTGTGTGTGGTTCCTAACTAAGGATTCCTTGTTTGTGGCTTGAGTCTTTCTTTAGGCTCCTAGATACAAGCGCCCGATGCCGAAAAGATGATTTGTTATTTCACGCTGCTTGTCATAGAAACAGCCGTTCTGTGGAGATTTCCAGTGTGCTGTGAGTCGGCAACTGTTAATGGATCATTATTCAAGCAGCACTCGGGCTGAGAAAATGCAGAAGTTCACCTCTTCAACCTTTTGAAGATGGCATGAAGAGTGTAGACGGCAGCAGCTCGGCCTCCTTGTTGCGTACTTACCATCTGAGGATAATCTACGTCGTTCGGCTGGTTAACTGCTCCGCCTTTTCACTGGCCTCAAGAGTTTTCACCACTAAATGCAAGGGGGTGTAGCCCCCTTTTGCATTGTGTGCGTGTGCGTCTGAGCGGACTGTTTTTCGTATCCTCTCCAGATGCTGTGCTGATGAAACCGCTGCTTATGACTCATACACGAGGCACTGAAACGCAGCAGCCGCGCTTGCCTCATTTTATTTTGGGGGAAGAGATCTGGGAAGTCAGATTCTGGCTTTTGTTTCGCCTTCATTTATAACCGTTCCAGCAGAGCATTTCTCAATCCTGCGATTTATTTGTGTCACACGTGTCTGGGTCACTTCCCACCACGTACTTTACTCCAGCATTGCATCTCCTGCTTTGTGGTACCTCATTTCACAGCTTCTCTCATGCATTCAGTATTTCGCTGTAGACCGTGTGCTCTGCTTCACTTACATTTTACTGTCTGAGCGTTTGAGTAGAAAAGCACGGGCTTATGTAGCTCTGCTGAACACAACCAGCTTATGTGGCTTGTAGCCGAATGTTAATAAGTGTGGTTGGTTCTCTGAACAACATGTTTGTCCTAATTTGAGACTGCGCAGTCAATGCAGGGACACATGTTCAGGCATCTGGGACCATGGAAGCCTGTAAAGCTGCTCGGCTTCGTGATGCTCATAATGAAATGCTTCTGTTTACCTCGTCCGTCCCACTGCGGTGGACGGGCCGCTCATTAGTAAAGCAGTATCATTTGTTGTATACTTTATGAAATGACTGCAAGGTAAAAAATACCCTGTAGCTTTGTGAGAAATGCCAAACTTGAAGCCCTTAGAAGCTTTTCAGTGTCTCCCTGGAAGTTGACATTCAAAACACACCTGACATTTACCAAAGGAAGCCGAGTTAGAAAAATAAACTCAGGTGGTACACACACATTTAGTAGCATCGCAGCACAGCGGTTGTGTTGCATGATGGGAAAACGACCCTGATCATGATTCTAGATTTGAGCATTTGTACCATAAAATATATCATATTTTCTTCACTGCTCTGTATTTATGTAAACTTGCCTTGCTTGATACTGCACGTCGGGTGCGTTGTATCGTGTTTATAGGAGGATTCCTGGCGCTTTTTGGAGCATCCGGCAAAGACTTTAGTGTCTAAGTAGGTGGAAACTCAGCAGGGAACAAATCGATTGAGATCAGTGTGCTGCTGATGTCTGATGATTCAGGTTTCCCTTTCAGCCTTTTTGTTGTTGGGACTGATCACCACCCTGCAGAGGGAGGTATCTCTTTCTCACACACACACACACACACACACACACACACACACACACACACACACACACACACACACACACACACACACACACACCACGCTGTGGGTTCAAAGGAAAGCGGTTCAGAGATTGAGTCTCTTGCAACAACATTATCCCTTGATGCGAGGGTGAAATGCACCGCTGGGGGGGGGGGGATAGGCCCTCAAAGTTCAGCATGGTCAAACCGAGAGGGGGGAGGAGTCTGTGGCGATATGAGCCTTCTGTCGACGCCCACCTCTCCCCTGATCACATGCACACATAGAGACGGCGAAGGAAACGAAACTGACAAGTAGTTAGAGCGAGAGAAAAGGGTGGAACCCGGGAGGAGTGAGCTGCAAGGAGACACTTTAGGAGAGATGATGATGATGAAACAGAATAGTGGATGGGATAAATGAGGGTATGAGGGAAGGGCCTGTGAATGGAAGAAAGTATGACAGACGACAGCACGGGGGTGGAGGAGGAGGAGGAGAGGCAGAATGAATCAAACATGAGATTGCAGTCAATTAAATGGAAGACTGTCAGGCTGGAAACGGATTTAGAGAAGAAGACATCAGAGGGAGATGGAGGCGTAAGGGATTGTAGAAGAGATTCAGGCACCCGCCTACGACGTCCCTGACGAGAAGTCACTGAGCAAGCCGCTGTACGGACTCCGAGCACATGAGCCGGATACGAGCGGCGGGGAAGGTGGAGGCGTAGATGCACCCGTGTCAGAGGAGGGAGGAGGGCGCGGGAGGCGCGTAGGCCGACGCCGAGGACCGACGATGGGAGTCTTCGCAGAGAGGAAGGTCACTGGGACTTTCCCCGTTATTCCCCCCCCCCAGCGGGAGGGCTGAGAGTCTCACGCACGGCAGCTCAGCAGCCACATTGTACGACTCGCAGAGGCTGCTCGCTCAGTTAGCACATTCGGGTTGAGGGAGAGGAGCGTTTTCCTTCAGTCCGCGCCGCCCGTCACGGCTTCAACCCCTTAAAAGACGCCGTTGTTTTCGTCGAGGCCTCTTTTAATTGGATTTCAGTCCAGCCGTGCGCGGCTCCTTTTACTCCTCGTGGAGCCGGAGACTTGGACGTCTGCCCCTCTGCTGGAGCGTCTTCCAGCTCGGGAGATGAAATCCACTTTCATGCAGGTCAAGCCGTCGGCCGCAGAGCAGCGCAGCGTGAGTGATCGCGGTCTGGTGTCGCTGTGATTGGGGGGGGGGGGGGAAGGAAGTAGCCGCATTGACTTTAGCCATCAGTCATCCAGGCGTAGTTTTCTGTTGACTTCTGGAATGCGTGGAACAGGTCAGCCAGCAGAACTCACGCCGCTGGTAAACCATTTACTTCAACAGCATCCTCAAAAGTTTATTCCCACCCGGATCAGTGAGACGTCTGAGATTATTAAATTAATAATTACGACTGGTTCGAACTGGTACGAACGCTTTATAGCTCACATTTAAGTTAAACTACAAATCCATCAGAACTAAGCTCCACTGGTGCAACCAGATCTTTAGCTCAGCTTTTCATTTTAAACAGTTTAATATATGGATTGACAGAAAAATGTCAATGTTTATAGTGAACTTTTCATCGCACTAGAAGGTTGAACGTAGTCTTAGCATTCGTAGAACAGAGGGTGGAGACAAGTGGAAATATGATTGATAGGAAATGCACGACGAGTAATAGTGTTACAAGGGAATGAATGTCTAATCAAATATCATTCTGAAGCCTTTACGCTTTGACCTTTTAACCCTTAACCACTGTTGATTCAAATACTCTAATGCACTAATGCAGGAGTCCAAACCTTTTTTCTAAGAGGGCCGGATTTGATGACGTGAGGATGCCTGTGGGCCAATAGTCCATTCTTACCCTTTTAAACCATAAAAGTTGCACATTTTCATTGTCACAATCATATTTTTGTATTATTTTATTATTTTTCAAACTGCAATGTAGCTAAATACAAGCCACACCGGCAGGCGTGAACAACTCTTAAAGACACAATTCTGCGTTTCATTCATATGAGAGTCAAATAACGTTGAACAAACTGTACCCACCTTACGCTTCCATCAAGTTGATCAATGTGTTCATGATCATTTTAAACACGAGTCAGAAGTAATGCTGTCTGTCAAAGGAGGAATTGCATTAGTAAGTTTTATGATTTATTTGGGGGCCATAAATGATACATACATAGCGAATGTGGGGGCCGTATGGAATCTGACTGCGGGCCATGATCGGCCCCCGGGCCGGACTTTGGCGACACCCCTGCACTAATGCATTATTATTACCCACCTGTGGACAAGTTGGACTGCATTAAGAAGTCGTTGCTGATGACGCTGCTCCAGTTACTGGAGGGTTTCTGCTGAGATGCTCGGGCCTCTCGGGCCATGAGTTCCTGTCCAAAGCCTCTTTAATTAATTTAGAACCCTAGAAGGGGTAACACCCCCCCCCCCCCACACTCTTATATACCTATCAAGGACCAGGGAGGCCTGTACAAGCACGCCATCCCCCGCGTGTGTCTTTTGTTTTGTATATGTGTGGGTGTGCTCATTGAGTATGAAGCTTTTTGCATGCATGCATGAAATATTCAGGTAACTGAGAGGCTCCTGATCCCATCATCTATCTTTCTTCAGTGCTCTGCGAGATGATGATGATGCTGCGTGTTTCGCTTCACGTTCTGTTCCTTCATTCTTTTTTTCTTTTTTTTTAACCAGTTGTAGCTTCCCTTGAATAAGGTATTTGCTACAAGACACACATGCACTGCAGTGTTCACCCTACTATTATACAGGGGGGGGAGGCTTGTTTTCTTATTGGGTTTGTTCTCCAGTTCAAAGCTGCAACACAAACACGGACACGACTTCTTACCTCTTTGACCAGAGCGCACGTAGAGGCATTGTGCCGTCTGCTGAGGGCTGTGAAGTAAACAAGAGGCACTCTGGGTGCCAAAATAAATGCTGCGCTTCTTTTGGTGTTTATAAGCTGCTTCTGTAACCTAAAGTAAACTAAGTCTGTCCTCCGTGTGACTGCATCATTGGCAGAATCTTCCTCCTTTGCCTGGCAGAATTTTTTTTTTTTTTTTAAAGCAATTTACCCCCTTTTTGCTCCTTGTCTCTTAAGTTGCCAGTAAAGTGTAACATTGATCTTTTGGATTGTGTCCTTTTAGAGGCTATTAAAATATCTTGAAACATAGAATAATGCCTGCATGATCATCTCAAAGCGAGCTCTAAAGGAGGAATCTGTTTTTTTACATTTTCTATTTCTCTTTGTGATTTCTCAGCACCTCCCGGGGCTGGAGGACATCGACCCCACGGAGGAGGTGACGGACACGGAGGACAACGACGAGGAGGACCTGGGTGTCCTGGACGACCAGCGGAGCGTCATTCTCCACCTGCTCTCCCAGCTCAAACTGGGCATGGACCTCACGCGGGTAACGCACCTTTGAACGACGCCACAGACACGTGAATATAAACGTTTTGAGTGTGTGTGTGACTTTTAAAGCCGTGTCCTCTGGGTTTCGCAGGTGGTTCTGCCAACCTTCATTTTGGAAAAGCGATCACTGCTGGAGATGTACGCCAACTTCATGGCCCACCCGGACATGTTCCTGTCAATCACAGCGGGGGCCACCGCCGAGGACCGGATAGTGCGCTTTGTCGAGTACTACCTGACCGCCTTCCACGAGGGGCGCAAAGGCGCCGTGGCCAAGAAGCCCTACAACCCCGTGCTGGGGGAGACCTTCCACTGCTCCTGGGAAGTGCCTCGGGACAAGGTCAGACCGCCGGTCCGGTCCGGCCAGGGCTCCTCCGGCAACGCGCAGCAGGCCGAGGATTCGCCCGCAGAATGCTACCGAGTTCGCTTCGTGGCCGAGCAGGTGTCCCATCACCCGCCGGTGTCGGGGTTTTACTGCGAGTGCCGGGAGAAGAACATGTGCGTCAGCGCCCACGTGTGGACCAAGAGCAAGTTCATGGGGATGTCCATCGGAGTGTCCATGGTGGGAGAAGGTGAGCTCACCCGTAACATGGGATGCTTAAGTTTTAATGTTTTATACCGTTACACTTATATATGCTGTCTGCATACTGGAGTATATTGCTAAGCTTTAATTATTTATACAAGATAGGTTGTTCGAGCACAAATGTTCTTTTACTGCAGCATCCTGTTGAGTTAAATTACAAAATGACAGGACTGACAAGCATATAATTACTGCAGAAATTCTACAGTACAGGCGGATACACAAAATATCTTGTGCTTAATATTACAGAAAATATATTTTTTAATACTACGGCCCCATGAAATGACAAAGCTCCAAACAAAACCAGGGCCCTTTAAATACAGCGCACCTTTTGTAACATGATACCTGTGCAAGCTGAATATTTCCTTTAATCAGCCCTTTGGTTGAAGAACACGGTCACAGTGGAAATCAATACGTCGGCCCGCTCTGCCCGCCGCGCGCAGCACGAGTCACCCTGAGCGCAGGAAGTCCTTCAGCCAAATCCACTGCACCCATTCAGTAAATCAATACCGCTTTGTCGGGCTTCACTGTGCCTCGGACCACCTGTGTGCAGCGTCACGGTGGTGGCCCTCATGTTGTGTGTTGTCTCACTGATTGGCAGGGATTCAGCAACAGAAAATTGACCCCTGTGATCAGCCGCTAGAAAGGAGTCATACTCAATTATTACACACCAGTCACAGTTCTACATTGAAATATGTAGGAAGGGCAGATTCTGATGGCCGGGGTGAAGTGTGAGTGGTATCTTCATCTATTGTGCAGACATGAGCGGTTTTGGTCTCATCTAACTGAGCATTTATTTCTCTGCACTATTGAAGTTGATCATTCAGACAAATTAACGGAAACATTGTTCTTTCTACCCGCTACTACTTTATTTGAAATTTAGCACAGTATTGGGAAAAGGTCTCGTGCCAAATGAGTTAAAAAATACAGTGGATCAATAATAGGAACAAATCCAATTAATTCAGTTTGACACAGAGCTTCTTGAAATGTATTTATTTGTATCTGTTCTATTATAAAGCCTCTTATGAACGCAAGGCCTGAAGGAGATGTTCACATGTTCTTCAGTGAGTTATTTGTGCTGACAACTTTATTATTGTAATAGAAAACCATTATTGCTGCCTGCAATCTCTTTAAATAATGTTAGTCGTTATTGCTTATACACGGGACATGAAATGTAATATCAACCGTATGAGAGAGTCATTAGATTTAAGTTAATTTTTCATGTAGGATATTTAATTTGAGTGTACAAATGTCTGACAAGTGCAAAATTTAAATATTTTACAGCCGCATCACTAGCCAGGAACCTTTTATGTATCAGCCTCAAATCCTGCAACATTTGATCGGAAAAACGGACAAATTATTACAGAACATCTTTTGAGTTATTTGCTTCCCTAAGAAAATGTTTTTGTACATCACGGTGATTCTGAAAGAGGTTTCCCTTACAGGGGTGCTGTGCCTCTTGGAGCACGATGAGGAGTACGTCTTCACGTTGCCGTGTGCCTACGCTCGCTCCATCCTCACTGTGCCCTGGGTGGAGCTGGGAGGCAAAGTCTCCATCAACTGCGTCAAGAGCGGCTACTCCGCCACCGTCACTTTCCAAACGAAACCTTTCTACGGAGGGAAGGTGCACAGGTGAGCGTTTCCCTGCCTGTACGTCAAATAAACCCCAATAGTCAGTATGGGATTTGGGAAGTTAGTCATAGTACGGTTTAACCATGAAAATGAAGTCTTGGTATTTAGTACAGCGTTGTTCAATTGAAATATACAGTTGCAATCAATTATTCAACCCCCATTGCACATTAGGTTTATTGGCAAAATACACAATTTCTCAGCTGTTTGCAATAAACAAATTACACAATCATTGTTCAAGTAGTTTAATGAAACTAATATTACAAATGTTTTATCCAAATTTAACACAAAATGCTACTTTTAATGAATTTACTGCAGTCTCAAAATGATTCAACCCCTTCATGACAAGCATCTTCAGTACTTAGAGCACCCTTTTGCCGTTATGACCTGCCGTGATGCATAGCCAGACACCAGCTTCTGACAGCGCTCCTGAGGAGTCTGAGCCCGTTCCTCACGGGCAATGGCCTCCAGTTCAGTAATATTCTTTGGTGTGCGTTTTGCAACCGCCTTCTTCAAATCCCACCAGAGATTTTCGATGGGGTTCAAGTCAGGCGACTGTGACGGCCACTCTAGAATCTTCCATTGCTTCTTCTGAAACCAAGTCTTGGTGGACTTTGAGGTACGCTTGGGTCATTGTCCTGTTGGAAGGTCCAATGACGCCCAAGTTTCAGCTTCATCACAGACGGCATGCCGTTTTTTTCCTAAGATTTCCTGATATTTGACTGAATCCATCGTGCCCTCCACACGCTGCAGGTTTCCAGTGCCGGCGGCACCAAAGCAGCACTGAGCCACCGCCATGCTTCACTGTAGGAGCGTGTTCTTCTTCCTCCAGACATACCGCTGATCCATGGAACCAAATAGTTCTAGTTTTCCAGAATTCCAAAACTTCGGTGGCTTATTCATATAGTTTTCAGCATATTGGAGCAGACTTTTCTTGTGCTTTTGGGTCAGTAGTGGTGTGCGTCTTGGAGTCCGGGCATGGAACCCATCAGTGTTTAGTATGCGCCTTACTGTGCAAACTGAAACCTCAGTGCCTGCTGCCACCAAGTCTTGCTGCAGGTGTTTTGCAGCCACTCGAGGGTTTTTGACCAGTTGCCTCCTCAGGAATCTGGTGGCAGCCGCTGATAGCTTCCTCTTTCTGCCACGTCCAGGTAGTGTAGCCACTGTTCCTTCAACTTTGAACTTGCAAACTGTATTTCTAGGGACATTCAGTGCTTCTGCATCCTTTTCCTGGTTTGTGCAAGGCAATGATCTCTTCTCTGAACTTTTTGGACAATTTTTGACTTAGGCATATTTCTAAAATGCGAACAAACCCCGAGCCAGACCAGGTATTTATGTGTTCTATCTCAAGCACACCTGAACTAATTAGTTGCGCTTGATTCAGGGAGTTGAGTCATTTCAACGGGTGCTCTAAGTACTGAAGATGCTTGAATCATTGAGACTGCAGTAAATTCATTAAAAGTAGCATTTTGTGTTAAATTTGGATAAAACCTTTGTAATATTTTCATTAAACTACTTAAACAATTCTTGTGTAATTTGTTTATTGCAAACAGCTGAGAAATTGTATATTTTGCCAATAAACCTAATGTGCAATGGGGGGGGGTTGAATAATTTTGATTGCAACTGTAATCAAAAAACGGTCTTTGCCCGGCAGCTTTAAATTGATTTCAAGACAGTTATTATTCTCATCCGCCAAAAAGAAAATTGTGTACAGGGACCCAATGTGAGGTTTTGAAAACCACCAGCGTCACCTTTGGGCCATGACGACTCATTTTTGATGTACTTTTCGGTTCCTGAATAAAGATATTGGATTGCTGAGAAAGCCCCAGTATGGTGTAAGTCAGTATATTCAAAATAAATGAGGATAATGTATTATTGTTTAAGACTGGGTTTTAAATACATTGTGTACTGAATCCCCCAACAGTTCACGTCGCATAGAATATGGCAGACAACCAAACAAAGGAGATCAGCATCACCAGTCCAACCTTCCTTTGCATGTCTTGTCTTCCTGTGAGCAAACACCAGATGTTCAAGTAGCCTTGTGCCCGAGCCGGGTGAGCTTATTCTGCCTGGGATCAAAAACAACTGAATAAATGTTTAACCGTCTCCGCTTGGCTTCCTCAGAGTGACTGCAGAGGTCAAACACAATCCGACCAACACCATCGTGTGCAAAGCCCAGGGCGAGTGGAACGGCACGCTGGAGTTCACGTACAGCAGCGGGGAGACCAAAGTGATCGACACGGCCAAACTCCCCGTCACCCGCAAGGAACTGCGGCCTGTAGAGAAACAGGGGCGGACAGAATCCAGGTGAAAACCCGTTAGAAAATGACACCAGGCCGGCACTGAGTGAGGCGCGTGTGAACGTGTCGTTTCTGACCTGCTCGTAGGCGGTTGTGGCAACATGTCACCAAGTCGCTGAAGGAAGGGAACATGGACGAGGCCACGGAGAACAAACACCGGCTGGAGGAGCGACAGAGAGGGGAGGAGAGACAGAGAGCGGCCGACAACCAACCCTGGACTCCTAAATACTTCACCAAGGAGGTACATGGACGTCTTAGAGCCGCCCAATAATGTCAGAAATCACCTCCGATTTACACGATGCACAGTAATTACTATTTGTCAGTGTGTCTTCCTGATGTTTAGACACAATGTTAATTAATGATTCATTACTTCTGTTATAGCCTGAGAATCTTGTGTAATTTACCCGATGCATGTTTTGGTGGCAGGCCAGCAGCTGATTGCTGCTTATATTAGACCATTATTTACCAATCATTTTTTATAAATGGCTTAACTGAAGAGCTAATGCTAGCTTTCTGTTCTGGGATGTTCCTTGTGTTCACATTTAAGTGATGACTGCAATGATTTAGGAAACCGCTGCTACCACCCGAATTACAACCCACAACGTTTCCCCACGTGCAGGGAGACAGTTGGATCTACAGCAGCCCGCTGTGGAAGTCCACCTGACAGCGGAACAACACCTGAGGTCCGACTCACGAGAGACAATATGGAGACGCCCAGAGGAAACAATCAAGGTGCCAAAGCCATCTCCACTGTTAGAACCAGAGCTCCAGGGACAAAAGTAGATTTTTGTACACAGTTAATAGTATATCTATTCAAAGTAGAGTATTTCTATTTTTCACCTTGCCAAGGCCTTTGCACACGCACAGTAATGCAGTTTTTTTATAATAGATGTGTTGTTTCAAGCTTTTAGTTTGATTCCCTAATGCTACTGTAGCTGTAACGAGTGGTTTATGAAGCACTTTTACCAATGAAGTTAGGTCTCTAAAAACACATAATCAAGTTAAGCAAATGTATTTCATTGTTTGTATATTAATACGATTATTCAGTACAGTAATTATTAGAAAGTAATACTGATTGTTTTGTCTGCACTATGAATGTATCTGGGCACATTAATATTCTACTTTTCCGTCTCGTTACCTTCATTTGCCACGTCGCTCCATTTTAAAGCATTACTCCCATCGAGTGAGACGCCGTCCATTACTACCTCTTATTCAGCTGCTCACTGGTTTGCTTGTACCAAAATTATCTTCTTTTGTATCCGAGCCTCTAAGATGGTGCAATTAGGCAGCCGATGACGAGGCCTGCAGAAACAATCATGTTCCCATCCAACAACAAACACTGGGAACTGGTCGAGGTTCCAAAGTAAAGCAGCAGACTAATTGACAGTATATCCAACTCACATCTCTTGGAGGACTTTTTTACAGCCTTATGTAATCCTCCGTAGTATTTAGAAACCAGATGCCCCTTTGTAGCGTTTGTCCTGCTAGAGTAGCAAACCTGCACCGGTTTGCTACTCTCCTCACATGAAAGTAACCTCTTATAAATGAGGAGAGTAGCAAACCTGCACCGGTTTGGTACTCTCCTTACAAATGAGGAATCCAGAGTACTGGTGGATTAATAAAGACCCTTTCTTTAAGTCTCCTGATGTTTGTTATTATGTACCACAGGTCCAAGCAGGAGACCATTTTGTTCTAATAAATGTGCCGCTGTGACTTTTCACCAAACCACCATCGTTGTCAGGAACCTGAACACTAACGTGGCAGATAGGCTATTGCCAGCAGTTTAGTTAAAATTAGCATAAAAAAACAATAGGTTAATTTTTTCAACATTTTGAATTAAAGACGTTCTCATCAGCACCAGTGAATTTTCATCCAGAGGCCGATGCTGCCATCAAGTGGTTGGCTTTGTGCTCAGACATCTGCACAGGAAGAATATCCTGCACATGAAGCATTTGTTCAAAATGACAAATTCAAAACACATGTTTTCATTAAAGTGTATATTTAAAGATGGCTGAACAACAATGTATAAATGTAAACTTTGAAGGTGAAGCAGAGATTTCAAACAAAACCGTGTGAAGGACAGACGGCACCGTTCTGCCGCTGCTAATCGACACAAAATGAAAGAGGGCAACAAGTGTACATCACATTAAGGCTCAACAAATCAGAAAGATGTGTCAATGGTCTGAAGAGTGAAAGTTTCAGACAATATTTGTAAAAGTAATAAAAGTCAAAGAAAAACAAAAATAAGTCACTCTCCAGTGAGATGTGGAAGATCAGCTGTTTGACGAGTCGTTACTTGATCAAAATTAACATGAAAAACTTACCAAGCGTGCACATACAGGAACATCTGGAGAACCCAGACGGTCGAAGAACAGTGCAGTGCCCATAGAACAAGAGGCCAAAGGTTACGGCTCAACAGAGCTGTGTCCCAACTGCATACTTAAAATAAATGGAAGGTTAAAAAACATGAACTTTGACTAATCTAAAAAAAAAAAAAAGCTGCTTGTAGCATTTTATTAACCAAATGAACAGAAACTGATAATTCAATAACACTGAATACTAATATCAAGAATACACTAGAAATGATCAGTATTCTTTAGTGTCTCATCTACTAGTCGACCGACAGAAAACTAAAGGGCCACTCCACCGTAACACATGGAGCACGAATAAGAAGCCGTCGAGCCTCCGTGTGAATCAAGTCTTCAATGCAGAATTAGGACACAGCTCTAAAGGTACAATAAAGTCGGTCGTCGGAGAACTTTCCGCCCCTCACTTTCTCCCCCCACACACACACAAGTGTATTCCCAGACGTGTTGAAGTCTGGCGCCATTGATACGCATCGCAGAGCATCACTAATCGATGAGGCACGGAGAGAGAGCTCCCTCTGCAGGACGGGGCGCTGAATTTATTATCCCTACTTTTTACACACCATAGCTGGCTTCTGTCGTAGAATCCCCTAGCAGCAGAAATGTACAATCGATGCCATTTATGAGAGAAGGGGGGGTGCTGGAGGGGGCGTTGTAAAAATTCACATTCATTCTTCCAACTAAATCTCAAGCACCTCTGTACAAGAATTATTGCATTCACTGAGCTATTGGCTGTCATACAAAAAACGAGCAAAATAATCACAAAGAAATGAGAACTGAAAACTGCATTTTTAAAAATCACAATAATCCAATATATTATCAACCTTTTAGACTTATTCTTTACATAACATATTTACACATTAGGCCAATTGTTTTTTCTAAAGGATCTTTTGGAAAATAAAATAAAAAAGGTCGAGGAGCAAGGCAGACGAAGACGATAAGAAGGTTCATTTTACCGACGGTGGCGTTCCTCCATTCCGCATACTGTCCTCTGTACACGCGTCAGGAACGAGTCCCTCCTCAGCAATGAGTGCACATGTGCCGTGGAGCAAGGGAGACGGGTCTTTGGTGCAAATGTTCCTAGTCTTCTCAGCCGCCCCCTCCTCCTCCTCCCACCACCTCCTCCCCCTCCTCACACCCACGACGGCCACACTGATAAGCAGTTAATTAAACACACCACACATTAAATTGACGCCGAGCAGCCCTCTGCCTCGCCACACATTCAAGTACCAAGTAAAAAAACAACAACAACGACCAGCTAGAAAACAAGGAAAACAAAGGAGGGGAGAATTAAGCAACTGTTCTGGAGCTAATGACACTTCCTCAACACACAGGGGCGCTCTAATGAGAAGCGCGGGAGACCAAGTGCCAGATAAACGGCCTTTGTGTTCTTCTTCGTTGGTTGTTGGAGGTTTCTTCGCAGTTGTTTGTTTTGCTAGAAAGAGTTCATCGTGGCCGTTATTTCTTTTGTAGTTTCTTGCCTTTCCTCAGGGAAAGCTTGTTCTTGATGTGTCCTCGCTTCCTCTTGGCCGTCTGGTTAAAGAGACAGAAAAAACAACAGCATGGATCCTGAAGGATGATCATCTCGCAGTATAATTGGACTCGCTTATCACTCCTGGCAACAAACAGAATGTGCTCATGATCTAAAGACAGACGAATGAATACGATGACTTTCAGCTGCTAGTAAATACTTAAGATACTTTCCTAAACAGCTTGTATTGGAGGATATACTGTTTTTAATTAGCAATGGAGAGTCGGTTACCACCACAGTGAAAATATGCATTTGAGTGAGTAAGTTGTTTGTACCGCCGGTTACTATGGTTATTGTATCCAGCGAGTTTTTGGTCTTTATTTAGAGAAAACCCAGTAATTCTGTCTTCAAGACCAAAATAAACATGGGAATAAAATCTTCACTCACCCGACGCACATTTACTGAAACTGCCAGGCAATAAGAATCATGTGCAGACATACAGGAGACCCGTTACCTTCTTGGAGGTGTACTTCTGCCTGGGCACCACGCTGCGGAGCTTGTGGTCCAGCGGCTCCCTGTTGTCCAGGCTCTTCACCTTGTAGATCCTCACCAGCCAGTGCTCGGAGGTGAACGCCTCCTCCAGGTGCTTGAACTTGATGTCCTTGTTGCCGATCTCGGCGTTGCGCGTGCGGTCGAAGCCGGGTGGCGTCCGGAAGTCCAGCTGGGAGACGGAGAAGGTGGTCATGGTTAAAAAGGGAGTCCCCAACGTACGACTGTACACATCCATAAAGCAACCTGGGCCACATTGACTTACAAAAAGCTTTTTGGTTGAAAGGTACTTTGATATTTTAGGAGATTGAATCAGATGAAAGGATGGACACTACAGGGAAACAGACTAGCGTTCTCCATCGGGGTAACAAAGTCTAAAGAAGTCCGGCACAATCGGTCAATTCTCCGTTTAGACTTTTATTCCGATTAAAGAACAAACCTGTGAGCTCTGTGTGCCTGCTTTGGATGACACAGCGAGCAGTATATGGAATTATTACCATTAATCACAGTGGGTCTGGAGACATTCTCTTTTCATTACATACTTTCTATTCTGTATTGTGCTGTAATCTCCACTCGCCGCTACAAACTGGATCCTCGACTATCTACTTATTGTCTTCTTCCTGATGCCATTGAAGCCTGTTTCCCCCTGTCGCATCCTGTTTTTGTAAACCTAATCTACCCCTCCCAACTCTGGTTCCTCCCTCGCTGGGCTCACTACCTCCCGTCCAAACATCTTTCCGTCCCTTGAACACGGGGCTGGGGGCCCCCGGCAGCTTTGTCTGTCTGCGCATGGCGGCTGCATTGATTCTCCCGTCTCCGCTGAGCTGTTGGCGGGCAGCGGCGGTCTGTAAGCACCTGGCAAAAAGGATCCCCCTCATCTCTCCTCTGCTACCTGCCAGAAGCAGCTGTGGAACATTTGAAAGGCTCCGGTAATCCCTCCTCCATCCTTCAAGCCTGCCTACTCCCACCAAACTCCCCGAGGCATCTCCTTAAATCCTCTCCCCCCTGTCTGTCTGTCAGCCGACCGCGCTTCCACAATACAGCAGCCAGAAGATGTACACCTCCGGGGCTTGTTATTCTCCGGTAAAGCTGCAGAAAACGGTAACGGTAACTTCTACGGGATGGCAGCTGCTCGTTACCTTCTGATCTGTGCACAAAGCTGTAATTCAATGCTTACAGTTTCTCTGTAGTCTTCACCTGATTTGGAGAGAGAATTGCTCAAGACTGAAGAGTTTTCTGCAAAGTCAGAACAAAACAGGCATTGATTTGAATTCTCTCCTCACCTGCATTTCACCAAATCGGTAGTAGGACATCTTGTACATGAGGCAGTTGAGCAGAGTTGGTGATCCGGCCTTATCCACCCTGAACTCTCCCTGAGGGGTGAAGTAGTCGCTCTCCTAAAGAACACAAGGGTGAGTTTAAGAGAGGATGACACCCAGGAAACGACTTCATGGTCCACTTATATTATCAATAAAAACGGTTTTCACATGAACGTCAACCTACTCCACAAACTCACGTCAAGAAAGCAAATACTTGTATTTCCCAAATTATTAAACAATTAAGTGAACCGTATTCTTTGGGCCTTATATCAATCAATCAAAAAGATATCAAATCAAAAACATTTTACGGTGTGTTGCAGGTGGAGATACAGAGCTGGTGCGATGGCCCGTTAGCTGACACGCGGAGTGAGTCAGGAAAAACTGAAACAGTCAGAGTGACGAGGACACATTGATTTCACTGCTGCGGTGACGGGCGGGTCTCTCACTCACCCTGATGTCCTTTGGGTGCTCTCCCTCGGCTATCCTCACCATCCACAGGAACTTGTTTATATCGTCTCCTGAGTAGCCGATAACTCCTCCGAAGATGATCAGCACGTAGTCCACATCCAGCGACCTCATGATTTCGTAGGCCGCGCTCTCATTGGAAGACATGGCTTTCCCCACCTAGAAACCGCCGGGCACAACGACAAGGAGTCACACTTTCATTGGAGTTTCCTCGGTTTAACAAGCAGCGATGCTTTAACATAGCACCAGACATCACGTTGCATCTCCTGTGGACAGATGCAGAAGAGAAAACAGGAAGCAGGTAGAAAGCAAGAGAGAAGAAAGCTAGGGAGCTTTTTACAGACTTAACTAAAAGACAAAAAAACATTCCTCTGCATTAGGTGGCAGAAACAAGGAAAAACACGAATCAGACCCACAATCTGACAGCAATTACCGGAAATCCTCCTAGAGCGTCAATTAAATGATAAAAGTTCAAGCAAACAAGATTATCTGGCTTGTTGGAAGGAGGGGCTTTACACGAATATGAATGAATTTCACTGTCGAGCTTGCTATTCATAGACGAAAGCTGTGTGTCTCTCTGCATGTGCACGGATCAAAACGCGAATAGACGTGTGCGAGTCTCACCAGTGCTATGTGACTGTTGTTCCACGTGTTGTTATCGACCAGCGTGGTCCTGTTGGCCATGCCGGCTATCTGGTACCCGTAGTCCCACCACGACATGACGCGGGCGTGCTCGTCTGTATTCTGCCTCAGCCAGTAGTAGGCCTCCCTGAAGTCATCCAGGATGTTGCGCGTCCTAACGGGGGAAACGGGGTTGACAGGTATCACGGTTGACAGTCGGGCGGCTACGGAGGCCAACGATATATATTTCTGTCAAGACTTTGAATCAGAAGGGCGCCAGCAGCTGGAAATGGAGCATCCGTGCGTAACCAAATCAGGGGTAAAAAAAAAAACGAACACACGCTTGGGTCCTAAATTTACCTCGAGGAGCAAAAAGCAGACATAAAGCCAAGCAACCAATTAGTTGTGGGGAAGGTACTCATGTTGTATCTGTGTGTGCGTGCGTGGGTGTATGTTTGCGAGAAGAAAGAGTGACGGTTGTGCTGCTCCCAGCAGCTAAAACCATCGTCTGAAAACTGCCATGGTCGCATTAATACATGCATGAGGCATCAACCACTTAGGCTTGGCCTTCAATATGCATCCCTGATGCTTAGAGACAATAATAAAAAGAGATGATCAAATATCGGCTTTTTGTAAATTGTGATTGATGACTTCTGTAGGAACAGTAAATTAAGCAATCATATTAAAAGCGCATAGGAGCACATATCAATATTGCCACAAACCTCTTATGAAATATTCATGCCTTCCCTCTATCCTGTTACTGGGTTAGCACACGCACACATTACTCAAAACTTTGCTTGGCTCCTAACCACTAACATCTGCTTCGACATCCCAGCTGAAGTGTGTGTGTGTATGTGTGTGTGTGTGTGTGTGTGTGTGTGGCGTACCCGTCGTGGTTGTACGAGGCCAGCACCACACTGGGACTGGAGTAGGCGTTGCTGGTGACCCAGGTGCAGTGGACGGCGAACATCATCAGCAGCATGAGCATGAGCATGGTGACGATGGACTTGACGTTGGGGCCGAGGCCCTCCTCGGCCTTCTCCTGCTCAGACACGTGTTTGCGCACCTTGCCGGCCTGTGGGGGGAGACAAACACTAGCCAGTTAATCGATTGAATGAACCAACTGGGAAAAGTGAAAAGTGTCACACTCTGAGCTGAGAATCACAATTAGTATTGCATTGTGTGTGATTTGTATATTTGTATTGCACAACTGACATCTTGGTCTTTAAAAGCTGCCTTAAACGCGTCGGTTTGGTTAATTTCACCAGCTGAAATCTTACATCTCAGCAACGCTTCTCAAGACGGCTATTTGTGGGTAACGCATGAAAGGATGTGATTGAGAGGTAGACGGCAACAGACAAAGACGGAAGTCGGATCAACGCTCCGCCAACTGAGGCGGCTCAAATTATGAACAGCGTCAAAACAGCTGCAGCTGAATTACAGTTTACCCAAACCGGCGAGCTGCGCTGGCGGGGAGTGAGGGGAGCTGACAAAGACGCAGATGGCCTCCGAAGCCGGCGAGGGTTTCTTATTCGGCGCCACGTTCTACAACCACTCCGTCTTGACCTTGTCGTAAAGATTCCCAGAACTCCTCTTGTCGTCCTCGTCGCTGCTGTCCTCGGCGGGCGGTTTCTCCCTCTTGGTGTCATCTCCCATGTAGTGCTCGAAGACGCTGGAGAAGGCCACCGCAGAGAGCATGCACACCACCGGCGTCAGCGTGAGCATCAGGCGCACCATCACGCCGGCGAAATAGACCGCGCTGATGGCGTACAGGGCCACTGGAACGACAACGGAAAGGTGGGAGTGAGAGAGAGCGGAGAACAAAGTACGGTCAGACGAGGAGAAAAGCGGCATGCCGAGGATGGAGGGAAATGGGCCTGTGTGTGTGTGTGTGTGTGTGTGTGTGTGTGTGTGTGTGTGTGTGTGTGTGTGTGTGTGTGTGTGTGTGTGTGTGTGTACACGAGACGGATATGAAGACAAATGGAGTTGCACCGCAGCGTAATCTGTCCGTGGTGCTCAAACCGAGAGCGGCGGCGGCTGCTGCGGCTTTGCGTCCTTGAAAAGAGGCGACCCGGCTCAACAGGTGCACGGCTAATCAATCGCTCTAATTGGCTGATTATTTCTGAGGGAGAAACGGGCTGCTGGAAAAGTCGTTGAGCGTTTAGAAAGGTTCTCTGCCCTTGATCTTAGTCAGAATATACAAAAGTTTGGTTCCAGTGGGTGTTCAAGCCCTCTCAGTGCTTTTCTTTCTTTCAGTCGTAGGCAAAACAGGACGTGGTCATAATTCTTATTAGGAGGGATCCTGCATGAGGGGGCAGGAGTCCTGATCATTATAGTCTCTATTTGACTTGATACACAGCGTTTAGAAACAGTGCATGTTTATTACAGCTCAGACTTAAAGCAGATAAACGACAGCGACAATCAAGGATTAAAGAACTGGAATACCAGTGAAACTGATAAGAAATGGAAGTAAAAGTTTTCTTCAGAGACATCTTTAGGTCACTGACAGTTTGATATGGATATGAAACTCTCCAGGTCCGATCATCGGCACAAAAACAAACTATATATTATTATTTATATATTTGAAAAGTCAAAAGGTTATAACAATCAAATTACAGCTTTAACTATTGAATTCTTAAACTAATTTCACATGAATACAAATTTAAATCATCAAATGTGTTGGCATAAACCTTTAGGATTGCTTAGTGATCCAAGTGGGTGTTCACATGTTCAGAAGTTGATCCAACTACGGCAAAATTAAATTTAAAGCCTTGAATATTTTTCAAAACTGTAGATTCAAAAGTCAAAGGCTCCTACCAAACACTCGTTCATCATTGACGTTCTTGATGCAGAACCAGAGGCCCGCGGGGAACGTGCAGACCAGGATGTGGAGGTCGAAGAAGAAGGAGACCCACGTCGTCGGCTGGTGCTCCGACACCGACGCGATGATGGGGATGTGGATCTTTGCATAGCTGGAGACAGGAAAGAGAAGAGGAGAGACAGACGGGATGTAAATTTCATGTTGGGTTGAGCGTGTTGGGAGTGTTCAGATGAATTATACATCAGATCTTCCTGATTAACTCTGGAGTTATGAAGGGGGGAAAATGATCCACCTCCCTGGCACGCTCATGGTAAAATATGAACTAATTCAGCACTCAAGAAGACTAATGTTTTTCTGATCTGTGCGTTCACCCTTTATTCATTACAGGATTTCACTCTGCACTTTCTATGCAACTTTGCCTATTTCACACTGAAGTGTTTGGTGATTACAGGCGGGGAGAGAAAAAAAACACACAGCCCATTTAGGAATTAGTACGAGTCCCCAGAGGAACATGGGGGGGAAAAAGAAGAAGAAAACTATTCCATACTGCTCCAGTCAGCAGGAAACAGGCCGGGTGGAGAATTGATTGGCCGTGCTAAAACATCAAACACCTTGCAGAGCATTTGGAGAACACAAGGTGTGAGAAAGACAACAGTTAAACAGAGCCTGTGCTCGCCCCCCGCCCCGCTGCAGGGGGGGGGGGGGGGTTTCTAGCCATCTCAGGCAACACATACTCGACTGAACAAGTGTTCCATCGACAGAGAGTGAGAAGGTCAGCACAGCTTACCCGGTGTCCCAGAGAGAGTAGAAGCGACCGCTCCACGGCGCGATGTATCCTGAGGACGGAGGACACGATCAATACAGAGATACAGAGCGGTTGGGTGTTCGTGTGGAATACGACCAGTGCTGCAGTTTGTCGAGCCATGTTTATGTCGAGGTGAGATTCAGGTTGTTACTGGTTACGGGAAAATATATTAAAACAATTTTATTCATATCAGATTGTCCTTCGCTTCAATCGAATGCAGTTGGGATAAGGTTGTATTTGTGTGTGTGGGCCTTTTTTGTTTTCCTGATCTCCCACCGCGCACAGATCCACAAGGATCTGCATTAGTGTGCGATTCCCTTTGATGTGAGCACAATTATATATTCTCTCAATTCTGAATAGACAGAATAGCTCATTCGCAAACAATCCACCCCCCCACCAGAAAATAATATATATTAAATACACTAATCTCTTAACAGTCGCCTATATATCGACATATGCATACGTGCTATTTAACGAGTAGATTGGAACACACATTTCTTAATATACTAAATTAAACAAATGGTTGTAAACATTTGTAAATCTTATCTTAAATATTTGGATCCCGTAATTCAGATTTGCAAGATCAATTTCACTCCAAGAAAAACCAAAGCGAACGTGTCAATGCTGATAATATATTCTATTGATGCTGCCTAATTACTTCAATTGACTTGTTTATAAATTTAACTGAAACCATTTACGTTGCAAATTAGACCGCAGAGGCATTTTACGCACGCATTCAAATGTCTTATTTTGGTTCGGCTTTGATGTGGAATACATTTCAGCTCTCAACGGTTGCCTGGGGCTCTCACACACTTCCTGTTTGAGCCCCCCCCCCCAAAAGCCATGGATTTGTATTTCAACTTTTGTGACACGTGTGCTCCAACGCGCAGCGACATCAAGTCCTTTGAAGCTCCTCAAGAGCAGTTGTGGCGAATTAATGACGTAAAAAAACAAAACACCACCAACATAAAAAGGAAAGATAAGGGCACTTTTAAATTAACATGTCACAAAGAGCTGAACCCAAACCGGCCAGAAAAATATATGAAAAGGGCACTATTTTCAGTTGATTTTTAAGGAGGACACCGATTAATACTTTGTCTTCCGGAGGATAAAACCCGCCCGGCTGCACAAGATGAAAAGGTCTGACAAAGTAGAAGAGGACATGTGCAGCGTCCCTGGCGAACTGACTGGGCACCGCCCCTTGGAATGGGCAGAAGACACCGCCGTGTTTACATAATCTGGAGCGACAGATTGTTGGTACGGGCAGGTGAATAATCCGCTGCCTTAATCACGGTGAGAAAGCCAATATAAGACGGTCATAACAGTCACACTGTAATAAGGCTCTTAAGGTGGGGGTGGAGAATAGGTGAGCTCTCCTCTTACACATTAAACTACACCAGCCTGATGTAACGAACCACTAAATAAGATAAGAGCCAATGGCAAGTGAGCTACAGGCTGCGTCATCTGGAATCTCAGCACTTTAACAGGAGACAAATGAAAATCAATAAACAGCGAGGCAACATTTGAAAGGTCTCGAAGAAGGCCGAGCTAAAAGTAATGGAGAAAAACAAAAGGCAAAGTTCAACGAGCCGCTGCATCGGGGTTCAAGCAGGCCGATCAAAAACAACACTTAAACGTGGCCCCGGTCCTCGAGCAGCAAACGTCCTACTGGCATCCGTACCAGTTCATATTTTTGGATGATTTGCCTTCAGGGTTTCATCTCCTGATTGTCGGCTCGCTGGGGAGGCCTAGAGGTTAGAACATCACGTAATGGTGTATAAACAATCTGAAACTTTTGGCTGGATGAAGACAACCAAATTTAAAATAGCTTGAATCCCAGATCTTTATCATCATTACAAAAATGTAGTCAACCGATCCTTGCAAAAGAGGCCATTAGTCTACCAATGTCATCCAAATCCAAGGCAAATTCTGGGTAGCGTTCAAATAAACAAACAGATGGCTCGAGTATGAAAATAATATTAAAAAACAATATATCTTGTGAAAAGGGGTATACTAGATGTATCTTTTGTTGAGATGGGCATATTCTGGTATTTTTTAACTCTGTTTAGTCAAGTGACTTATGGAAATGTGGATTTTTGAAAATGGTCCACTATTGGGAGAAAATGCTGGAGGCGGCATTATAGCGACTAAACAGGCTACAATATGATCGCGCATGGCAACTCCTCACAATCCCCTAAAAGTGCTACTTCAAGCCAGCGTTTCATACTTGTTGGAATATGACCCGCCATCAACTTTACTGCATAATAGCACCTCATTTCAAATGTTTGTTCGGTTTGAATCTGATTTCTACAATCTGTAAAAGAAAATACCAGATTCTTCTTCTCGAATAAGTAATTGATTCTCATGCATGAACTATAAACCTGTCAAAGACAAAGAATAAACATGAAACAGTGGTTTACATGTATGAACTCAGACACTACAGACCTGTGTAAGTGAGATAGATGACGGTGAGGAAGACCACGCCGGCAGCAAGAGACACGCCGAGGAGGAAAAGTGTCTGGAACTCCTGTCTGGTCAGCCGGTCCTTCAGGTACTGCAGGAAGGCGTAGGCTTGGAGAAGAGCAAACACACCTGGAAAGCAGCCGCAGACACCAACCAAAGAATGAGCAAACACACGAAAGGGAACTCGCGCCGCCTATTTGAGGAGGCCCGCGATTCAAGTTGTCTACCGCAGGGTGATACGAAGACGCGGTTAAGAAGTGCTGCTGCTGCCGGTCTGGCAGAATTCTTCACACGTGTGCGATAGCCCCTCCAGCTGTTCCTGCAGTTTTTAAAAGACAAATACTGTGGGACAGCATGTTTGCGTGAAAGATTTGTGTGAATAAGCCCTTCTCGTTCTCTCCTGATCACTACTTGCCGTCTATTCCGGCTTCTTTTTTTTAAAAAGAGGTTAGGGCCCTCTTGCTTTCATGACCTCTGAACCTTTGACAGATCTGGAGTGAGATCGCATTACTCCTCCACCGCCCACAGCAGGTCGCACCCATTTCCAAGGTTAAGCCCGTGTCTGTCCTCCGTAGAGCCGCTAAGCGCTAACGTGTTTGTCAGTCTGTGCCACCCTGTCTGCCTCGGGGGCCGACGTCTCGGCGCTACCGACAGGTCCGCGGCTCTGTCACTCTCTCCCCGTCTCCCACTGGGCTCCCTGAATGCCACCACCAGATGTTCTAAGCAGCTGCTACCCAAGTGACATTAAAAAAAGGGGGAAGAAAAAAAATCTCTGGATTTTCTCCCCCCCATTGGTGCATTCTCTCAACGCCTCTCATATATCTGTGTTCTAGACTCTCAGGAAAACAGGCACACTTCAACGTAAGCCTGCTACAGTGTCAAGCGGCTTTTGAAAAAGGTGCTGCTCGGCTTCATGAAGCTGCCAACGAGCAGCAGTCCCAATCTGGATGTGCACGAACGCGAGGACCAGCCGTCCGGGCTGTCGGGCAGCAGATGGGCCCGCTCGTGAGTGGCGAAAACAGAACAAGCTTTAATAAACTACCCACGAGGCAAAAAGAAAAGCACTTAGAGCGCTAAACCCATAGGGCGGCTTGTGGAGCTGCTCGCTTGATTCCGTTGTGTGAATATATTCTGAGAGGGTCAGAGAGTGACTACCGCCGCCAGCGCAGGTGGATCCAGCTTCTGCTGCAGCCAAACAAACCAGAAGTGTGCGTCCTCGGTTCCGAGGGGCGCTTATGTAAAGTCACACCTTGAAAACATGAACAGCGGCATTCAAGCTGAGCCTTTGCCGCGTGCGGCAGCATTCATTTGTTGGCAGGGGTCAGGGCGGGTCAGGGCGGGTCAGAGGAAGTTGACGTCAAGCTACTGAAATGCCTTTGTGTGTCGAATTAACATCTCCGCATAAAACCAAAGTTGGCCCAAGTTACTTACATCTTTAAATGGGAATCACCCAGTCAGTGTTGAAATACAATCAACTGCCCTGTGATTTAAGGGGCTTTGTAGCAAGTCGGTGTTTAAGAGACAAATATAGCATTAAAACTGCGAGAATTGATTTTCTGTTGTTGGCAGAGTAACAAGCTGTAAACACAACACTTGCATATTCTACACTAAGTTAATTCAGTTTGCTATTTAGCAAGGAACGGACTCCACAGCATTACTCTGGTTTTTAGCCACCTGATGAATAGCAGTCCAATATCAAGCCGTAAACTGCAAGTTAAGGAATTGGCTACTTTTAAATGGAACAGCTAAATACGTGATCGGGTTCACAAAGCTGATCCTTCCTTCGTCGGCGGCCTGCAGGACACACGGGAAATCAGTCCGAACAGAGCGAACTAAAACAGTACATTCGAGGAGTTTGCAGTCCCGTACGTGCCAGAAGCTCAGACATTTGAGGAGTCATGATTGAGTCATAACTCGAAAATAAGCCAGTTACATCTTCCAAAAACTGCTGACTTCGTCTGCACTCAACGACACTCAGGTGGAAACTTTTCTGGGAGGAAACTTGGTCTCCCAAGAAGAACGCAGCATCAGCGACCTCGGAGGCTCAGAGGGTGGGACGACTTACCGGCAGCAGCCATGTGCTCGCTGGTCCTGATTGGCTGGAAGCCGACAAAGGGGATCTGCATCGACAGTACAAGACCCACGATGTAAAAAGTGCTGTAAGCTGGAGAGAGAGAGAGAGAGACTAGATCATACAAGAAATAAAACAATCTAAAAGTAAACTACTGCAGCATTGAAACTATTCTGCTTCACTCCTCCAGTTTGGGCCCCACTCAGGGAATCAGCCTCGACAGAGGTATTTAAAGTCTATTGATTTCACTGTCACACTTCAGAGGGAGTAAATACAGAATACCTGATCTAATGTCATTTCGCTAAGAAATAGGGAGCTGGCTCGGTGCTGCAGGGAGGCCTGGAGTGAGACGGCTGCGCTGAGAACTGTGCAACTCCCACCTTCTTAGCTGGGGGGAACCGATTGGCAGACACGCCGGCTTAATTAAGATTTCATACTCTTCCTGAAGAGTGGGCCTCATTTTTGAAGTAGTTGTGACCGCCGCCAGCAATCTCTTTTTCACACATATGCTATTGACTCGAGACAGAGAAAGCTGAATTGTGAGGGAACAGACTGCGAGGCATTGTATTAAATCAAGATTTTTTCCCCCTTTTTTCTGCATGAGCCTCCATAGTTAATCAGAGGCACCTGAACAGAGATGTAAAGCGGCAAGACCCAATGTCTTTTCTGTCAGCAGGAGGTCATTTCCACTTCACCCTGAGCGCCGCCATTGTCAAGTAAAACGTCATTGGTGAAGTGCGGTTTGGAGGTGGACCAGGTAGGTCAGAGCCCCTCTCGCTGTGCAGAGGCCACAAATCATTTTCAACCGTTATGCTTTGCGGTGACAGCGAGTGCAACATATAATCGTGTGTAGAAGAAAACTTGGCTTGGCTTTCATTTTTCTTGACCACGGCAGCAGTGCCTGTTGGCGGGCTCGCGGCTAAGGCGATGACGAATGCGTGGAGAGCTTGAATGATTGCGCTCCAGTACTGGGAGCCAACTGATAATGTGCTGGAGCCGCTGCGTGCTCTGTGAAACAAGCCCGTCTCTGGTATTTGCAAAAAGAAACAACTACTGAGAGATCAGGTAGCAGGTGGCTGCATTTACTGTGGTGTGTGGGAGCGCTGGGGTGTGTGCACCACCGATGATGGAATGCTTACGGCTGGGAGGGGTGAGCGCAGGCGTGACTGTGCATTTGACCCTGAAACGAGCTCAAATGCTCTGGCAACCATGTCAAGAGACCGGGAGGAGGAATAGCTTCACTATTCTAGAGGATCTGAAAATTGTGAATTTGAATTTGGAGAAGCTTGTGTGTGTGTGTGTCTTACCGATGTAGACTCTTCTGCTGTAGCGTTGCATCAGCATCAGCACAAACACATGCAGGGGAATCAGGTTGATGATAAACACGTAACCTCCCCATGCCGACACCTAGAACACACACAGACACACAGTCAGTCGGCCTGCTGAGACAACCGGTCTCCAAAACAGTCTTCTTCCTTTAACTGAGATTTATTATCCCTCCTCCTGTTTTAAAAAAAAGGTATGGTCTTGTAAAAATGTTACTAATCAGCTTTGCCACATTGACGGGACATTAATCGAAACCTGCAGTCCTGTCGGGACACAGCGGGGTCCCTACATTGCTGCCGACAGATACTAAAATACATTTGAATAGCTGGATTATAGGAAAAATGCAAATCGCTAAATTGAACACCAGGCTAAATAAGCCTCCCCAATAAGATTTTAGCTGAATCTAGTCTTTCTTTAAAAGGTATATCAAAATGGAAATGAAAAGTCCGGGAAAGTCTGACTGTCTTGGAGCCGGTGTTCGACTAATGGTTTGATCTAGCATGAAATGATAGATTACAGGAAGCGCTCTAGCTCGATGGGAAGACGATCAGACATTTTATCCCGGGCACTCAAATTCACAGATCACATTACAAGTGATACAAGAGCAGGGTAGGAAAAATACATATTATTTAGGGGGCCATTTTTGCCCCCACTGACTGAAAAGCAGGGGCATTTTGTAAGAAATTGGGGGCATTTTTTGAAACTTGTGAAATAATATTTAACCTTTGTTAAAAATACTAAATATACTTATTTGGGCTTAATGTACATGCAAGTGTCCTCAAATGGCAGTGATACGACTATTGGACAGTAATTTACAGATTCAAAGTGGGGTTTTTTTTACAAAACATTCATTAAATCGAGATGAATGAATTTCAAAATGTGCGATTAATTAGTTAATCTATTGACATCCCTAATATGTATATACAAAGCTGTGGGAAATCATTACTATTACAGAATAGTAATGTAATTTTTTACAAAGATGCATGAACACTGTTGGAAGGGTAACTGTTCGCTCATCGGATGAGAGCCGAGATGTCGAGAGTTTTCATATCAATGACAAGATTAGAGTGAATCACTGAACACATCACGGGAATAGATTGGTTTTGTGGAGACACAGCAAGCCAGTTTCATTATTTTATTTAATAACGGATACAAAACTTTCTTACTCATCTTACAGTCTCTACTATGAGACATAAGTACGGAGCTATAAAAAGCGTACATATATGAAATCTATAAAAACTAGAAAATCATACTGTACAAGTTATATGCTGCAGTAACTTTGAAAGCTACACTAAAATTATACCTCAACCACTTAACGCTGGATATGAAGGCTGTAAAACAACTCCACAAAAACATCACTGACAAATGTTGAATTGCCTACAATTGACTGGAGCAAAGGCCAAATGGAAACAGCAAGAGCTCCAGACAGGAGAGTTAAGAGTGTTGAGAGAAAGACCGACAGAAAAGAGGAAGGTTAGGACGTGTTCAAAGGGAAACTGAGAGAATTAAACAGAAGGGTTTGCAAGCGTTGCAGACTGTTTGATGATCTCGTCACACTTCTGCGAACGCTGGAAAACTGAACATACAAAGCCTACTTGATAAAAAACCCAAACATGGATAGGTTACATTAAGCCAGAGAGGGGAAGAAGAACCCAAACTGATTCGGTGTTGAATGCTCAGGTGCAATTTTCATCTGCTGGTGGTTTGCGTCTGTTTCCTCAGATGGTGACAGACAATTAGTGACATGTGATCTGGAACTGCAATATGTAACAAAAACAACCTCGGTTTACACAACTATAAATATGCCAAATTCTACCGAGCACCTAGGAGAACAAAATAAGAAAAATTGAAAAACATGAAATTCAAACACGTCCCCTTTTGTGTTTTGTCAAAGCTGACTGAGGTGGGGGGGAGACACGTCCCCATCGCCTCCTACTTGTGAAGGTCTGTGCATTCATGGCATGTGTCATTTCACAAACACCATCCAAATCTCCGTGAAATATTGTGTGTGTATCGACATAAAACTTTGGCAAAGAGGTGCTAAACGCCAACATCCCACAGTAACATGTTGCAGTTTAGCAGGAGTAATCTTTAGCACTAGCACCTCACGCTAGTCATAAGTCAGACTGGTAAATGCGGTACCTTCGCAGCGACATGAAGGCAGTAATCAGCAGCTTCTATTCTGTAAACTCCACAATGCGACTTGATTGCGGATTTCCCATCTCGAGTGTTTGCATCATACCTGCAGAGCGCACAATCAACCCGAAGAAAGGGAGGATAGATATTTGCCATCTGGCCATATTAGAGGAGCGCGCTGTGATGAATGCCCCAGACAAAAAACAAAGCTGTGTGTGTGTGTGAGTGTGCGTGCGTGCGTGCGTGCACACACACACACACAACCAGGCTCCTTTTGAAATTCTGGATCCAACAGCCAGCCCTTTGCCCCGAGCCAGAGGCTAACAGTTGAGGGCAGGAATCAGAAAATGTGTGGTGCAAAGTCTTTAAGCGGTTATCGCTGTCTGCATTTCATGCCGGGCTTATCTGATGGCCGCGGGGCTGCAGAGAAGAGGATATAGCAAACGCAGCATGCCACAGGGAGAAGGGTTTTATTGTAAATTGTGTGTGTGCGCACAGGTGTTTGCCGCCTGAGCCATGTGCTCTTGTTGAATCCATTCATGAAAACGCTGTTCCGTTTGTGTGCATATTTAAGAACTAAACCCTCTCCATCAGCAGTAGTGACTTTAGTTCACTGAGACTACGATGACGTCAGGGAACGAGCACGGTTCAGCAGACCCGCCCCACTGGGAGCCGGTTTCCTGTATCTGTGTCGCTGCCCCCGTCCTTTAGGAGACGGGTCTGTGAACTCTCAACTTTCATACGTCTGTACAATATCCATCCGATTGGTGTGATAATTCACTCTGGGTCAAAGTGCCGAAACCAACCTATATTATTCCTATGTTATTCCTCGAGTTATGCCGCTAGCATGGCTTAAGTTAAACAAAGTGACCGGAGGCGCTGTGTTTTCAGGGCGCCTCATCCCTACTTGATGAAGCAAAGGAGCTCTCCCTGTGCCTCGATGTTGCAGGTTGTTCTGCTACAGTGGGGGGATTTAGAGAGAGAAGCAAACCAAAGCTTCGGGAAAGAGCAGCGGAGTGGATCGACTTTTGCTCTTTCCACTGGCTCCGCCCCTCCACCCAAACCACCCTCACCCCTGGAGCGATGAAAGGAAGATGTTGCACAGCTATCCAAATAGCTCCCGTGGCTGTTGTCTGTCAGTAAAGTCCTGCTGCCCTGATTCTCATCTTAATCTCGCCCTTCTGTCCTCTCCCCCCTGATTATGCATATACCCATGGCGGGGAATCTCTCGCCTCCACATCTGCTTCACAAGTGCCACATTCAATTAAACCCCATGGGGGAGCGTAGCCATGGCCGTTATCCTGATCCAAGTGACGGATCACGGTGATAAAAACCAGACAAGTAGGGATGGGTCAAGGAGCGGATGCGGTGCTTTGTGTGCAGGACCAAAAGGGGGCAGTGCGGGCGGTCGGGAGGTTGCTGGTGGAGACATGCATGCCGCTGACTGCTTATCTGCAAAAGTGGGTGGGCGCTTGATACAGTAGAGTAACGTCAAAATTGCCGCGGAGGGGGCTCGTCGTGGAGAGAAGGTGCTTATAATGAGAACGGAGCCTGCAGGCATAACATATTCTCCGTCTTATCTCCAGCCTGTTCCCTTGCTTATCTTGCCACACCTCTCCCTGCCCTTTTGTCTCCATTCGCCGCTTTGCATCCCACGCTATTCATCTCTCCGGCTCCCCCAATCCTCTGCACGCCCCCCTCGGACGCTGTGGCCCTGCGTGATCGATGAGGCTGGATTCCGCTAATCTGAGTCATTTGATATCCGTCTCAAGGCCGACCACGGAGACTTAGCTTGCAATGAGCAAGAAGCTGGACATTTTGTTTTCATAGGCGCTTCCTCTCCCTGACACACACACACACACACGCGCGCACGCACGCACGCACGCACGCACGCACGCACAATCTTTCACCGAGGCAGTGAGCCCAGATCGCCTTTATCTCATCAATCCCCTGATGGGCTAGAACCTGAATCCATAAATATTGCAGACAACACTGGATAAAACTGCTCCTCCTCTTTTTCCATGCCTTGCCACGTCAAAGCTGGACACAGGACAATGGCGCCTGAACACTAGCTTCCCACTAGCAATGTTAGTTGGGATTTGTAGAGAAAAATGCGGTTTCAACTCTGAGTGAAAAGGAGGTTAAAGTCAATGCCTTTCCTGCAGCAATGAGAAGAGCTCACGTTCGTCCTCATAGTGCTGCTTAAAAGTTCCTTTGTGTTCAGCTTGAATCCTAAATGAAATTTCTCCATTAATGAAAAAGTTAGAGAAAAATATGGAAATCATCTTGAATTACAATACTAAAAAAAAAAAAAGGGTTTGGTTTAGTCAAATCAAGCTGTGGTTAGTTGGAACTCCTTGTGTGTCAATGTTTTGTGTGTGAACTCTTTCTCACCATGTAGAAATAGGAGAGACAACAGCCGATGGCCCAGAACACGGAGCCCGTCTTCACCGACTTCACCTACAAGGGAGAAACACATCGTTATAAACACATCCACGTCCTGTACAGCATCAAGTAAGACATGCAGACTCAGTTTGTATCGGGGACATTTGCGACAACAGCACAGCGTCCTGACTTTCTCCTTCAGATACAGTAACAGAAGATCTGGACCAGGCTTCACATTAAGGCCTGGAAAGTGGTAATAGTAATAATGTCTTCCAATCACAATCTAATGATGAGACATCAGAGCTGCTCGGCTAATTAACAGAGCGAACAGCTAACGAGTTTTGAATGTAGTTCCTTCTTGGGTTGAATATAACAGCGTAATATGATCCATTCAAATGTAACCTTTTAATTGTGTTAGTTGAGAAACCTGAACCTGAATAGTTGTTTGAAGGAGATGTTTTCAGAGAAATTATGACTTGTTTAGCTTCCTATAAGTTCCAAGCAGCATTTTACAACATGATTCAATTTTTAATTTCAACACGATTCCTCTGGAGGAAAGTGGGGATTGTTGGACGAACAGGCGGAAGTCAAACAAGAAAGTTCTGAGGAGTCGTTTTGTTTGGAGATTAACAAATTTACATGTAATGTCTTTTACAATGATCGGCAACGCTAATCTCACGCTTTGGTTGGTTTTGAGGGATCATACCACTGTTATGCTTTGTAGTTAATTAACTAGAATAATCCTCCAGAATCCCTATTGACTTTTTAATAAGCCTGTATTCTCCATTTCGGGTTAGTTTAGTTGAGAAAAAAGGGTTTGTGAGAAGCAAACAGTGTAATGGGGCGTTGGGGCGACTGTGGGTGAGTGGGGAGCACGGTCCTCCTCCAATCAGAGGGTTGTCGGTTCGATCCCAGGCCCGGCTAACACGCGTGTCCTTGGGCAAGACACTTAACCCAACATTGCTCCTGTAGCTGTGACTACAGTGTGTGGATGTTAGTTACTGATGGCAGGTGTCACTGTGTGTGGTTCTCCTGTCAATCAGTGTATGAATGGGTGTGAATGGGTGAATGATGTCATGTAGTGTTAAAGCACTTTGAGTGGTCGGAAGACTAGAAAAGCGCTATACAAGTACAGGCCATTTACCATAATGCAAAGCATTAAGCAGATGTGGAACAGCCAGCTGTGGTGCGGTTCAGACAGCACGGACAAAATCGCCACGCCTTGCTTCTCCGCCACAGCAGGCACGCACAACAGAGGGAGAGGAATTACCAAGAAATCTGATCACACACAACAGCGGCTGAGATGCGCTGATGTGGGGGGATGTTGACAGGAAGTTGGTCTGCAGTGACCTGATTACTGAACTTCTGATGCTCTGTCAGGGTCAACAGGACCAAAGCCCAATTCGGAGATGGGTCTTTCTAGAGGAAGTGGGATGGTTTTAATGTCACATGCACTGGAAACCAACTTTGATCCAGTCTGGAGCACATATGTATATTTCAGCCCACATCGTTACCTACTGGTTTTCAGGACACTCGCTGAGGAGACACTTTGGTGTGGTTTCCAATTGTAAACTAGTATATTATATTTACTGCTTAATGCAGTTTTACAACAATCCTGCATACGTTTTAAAAAAGGTCACAAAGTATTGGTTGTTGTATTAGACTGCATTCCCTGTAGTGGGGTGAAAACTGGCGACTGTGCACTGTTTCCATAAACAGTTCCACGTCAAGTTTTTGCTTCTTTTGTTTATGCTGAAAACGAGCAGAATGAGCGCCAGAATGTGGTTGCCCCCCTACGGCTTACGTTGCGTTAAATAAATAGTTTTTCTGTATTTTTATGAGTGCGTGGGCCTCCACTCCCTTTGTCGAGACACACAAGTCACGCAGCGCGATGCTGGTCCAGCTGATTAAATGTGAGCCGAGAGAAAGCGCGGAATTACTGTTACAACTTAAGTGTAAGCACGTAAGCACGTAAGCACGTAAGCACGGGGTGCAGGGTTAGAGGAAGGGAGTGAGGCAGTGCTACTCTGTGTGTGTGCGCGTTTGTTACTAAGAAATGTGTGTTAAAAAGCGCAGCTCTCCTGGGTTTGAGAGGATTCAATTATAGATTATAGGAGGGTGCAAGAGTTTGTGTGTGTGTGTTTGCGTGTGTTGGGAGGGGGTAAACACACAGATTAAGCAAGTGGAGCTGAATGGGTTATTAGTGGTTGAAATGAAGGAGTCGGATAATGAAGATTGGACTTGAGAGCGGCTCTCGGCTTTTTCCCCCACTAACGTGGAGGAAATGATGGAGTAAGAAAGGGTAAGAGGAGAGGGTGAGAAGAGAACGGGCAAATAATGATACGGGGAGAAAGCGCAGAGTGGGGAGAAGAGGCAGAGCGCTGCCAGAACAGAACATCGACGGGGACAAAAGAAGACAAAGACAATTAAAGGGAGACGAGATGGAAGAAAGACAGCGAGGAGGGAAAAGGCAAAACGCAAAGACAAATGTGGGTAAATGAGACAATGGGACTGATAATGGGAAGCAGTGGTGCATGGCCGCGATGATCGTTTTTCAGGGCCCTCGCCAAACGGAACGGAGCGCGCGAGAGCCACCAGGTGAGCGGAGGGGGATTCGTTCCTCCGACGGAGGACGACGGCACGCCGCTTCGCTGACGGCACGTCACCTTAAGAGGCTGTGATGGCTGCAGCGAGGAACACCTGCCTCACCTGGAGATGCATTGTCCATTCACACAAGATGACAAGAGGCCATTATATTATCGCCGCGACAAACAGATGTCCCCCAATGCAACATGATGCACATTTCCTGGGGCAAGACAAATGGATATGATAGAATAGGTCCTGGAAATGAAATGACTCCAGTTGAGTTAAAAAAAGATATTTCTGATGGACACGGGAGGGAAAATATCTTTTGTATTTAGAAGGAAAAAAAACAAGTTGATTGGTCCTTTGTTAACGTTTAAAAAGGGTCGCTAAAAGGGTTTTTATTGCATACTGTGAAAATATCGAGGCTGACAAAAATGAATTATGAAAATGCATAAAGATCAAAACTGCAACTGTCTCTGCAATGTGGTTTGTATATTTCTGGATATGCATGTACATATGCATTTGTGCACATCAAGTTTGTTTAGCTCCCCCGAACATGCACTCTGTTCTTTGGATGTTACCCCTCCCTGACACCCTTTAGTTTCACGGTAATGAGCCGGCAAACAGTCAGGTGTCAACTATTGGGACTATAAACAACAGGTACCCTCAGCCAGCCACCTGGACAGCAAGCGGCAGCCCGGTTCCCGATCAGCTACAGGGGCCGAGTTGTCTGCAGTGTTTGTGACGGACCAACACCACCATGACACCAACATGGAAACGTGCACCTGGGCCCGATTCGGACTGGACAGAAGAAAAAGCAGACTGCACTCACAAGCCTGTCACTCTGTGTCAAACAGCAGGGAGTCATGTGGCGTGACGAAACACCTGCGTCACCTCTGAAATCGCAGCGCATTTTAACGCTTATAAAAGAGGGAGAAATAAACGCCTTGACGGTCAGATTAAACTTGGACAATTATCCTATGAGCTACTAATACCACTCACTGCCTGTGGCGGCATATTGGACCTCTGTTCTGTTCGCCAGGGTTGCACTGGATATCACGGACATTCAACGGATGCATGTACAGCCTGATCTCCAAAACCTGTTCGTAAAAATGTATACGGAAATCTTGAAGATACATATTCGTAGTGATACTCTGGGTTCTATTCAAAGTGAATGGGGACCTACACCCCGTAAACACACTTTGTGAAGTCTAACGATGTCAAATTAAAAAAAATTGCATTTAACGAGAAATCAATGTTAAATTGTAAGAATACAATACTAACCCTAACCACCTCAAAAAATCCAAGATGGCGGAGAGACCTTCAATCAAGAATCCAACATGGTCCGCCATGTTGTTCACTCAAAGGGCGTGGTTAACCGCCGCCAGTTCGTATGTATTGTTTTACGAATTTGTATCTTCAAGATTTTCGTATACATTTTTACGAACAGGTTTTGGAGATCACGTTGGCATGTAAGGTGGGTTTCCCCATTGAAATGGAAATAACTGTCGCATTACATAGCCGCAAAGCAAGGACATTTTGTCTGTGTCCCTCACATATCAAGGACCAAACATCCCAGCACGCCTGAATGGCCCACTGCTGGTGACCAAAGGGCCGTGTCAAAGTGGGTGCACCATGACTGCGCGTTTAACATTGATAAACTGAATTAAAAAAAAAGCAAACATCGCTCTGAATTTTTCTTTGGGCGGTGGCATATAATGGTGGGGGAAACGAAGATCTAGCACAACAATGTTATCTGTTAACTGTAAACAGTTTACTTAATGCACATATACATTTTATGCAGTTGAAGTAAACCAGTTATTGTACAACCATCCGGATTCTCGTTTCCTATCATGTAATGATCTTTTCTGCACAATATCCAAAGCTTCAGGTGTAGAAATAAAAAGAAAATGTTATTTTCCGAAGCAAACAGGTGCCCTGTTATAAGCCAAAGAGCAATAGGTGATGCCCCGTCAGTGGATGAATCGCTCTGGTAATTTGTCTTTGTATTTCTTTGTATTGCCTAAATTCATAAATAGCTATGGCCAATGACAGCTTCCAGTACACCTGCTCATCAGCCAAGCGAGCAGTGCTGCGGGAATGGTGTATTTCCTGCAGGCCTACGCAGATGTTCGCATTGCACGGCTTCCCTTGATTGCTGCACCAAAAAGTGAAATATTTTAATCTCTCGTCAACCACAAGCACCTTTTCAGGCATCATACTAAACACCCATTGAAACAAAACCATTGATTTGGAGACCACAAGTGACTGAAGTCTTTCCTGCAGCGCTCTAGTGGGGATGAATGAGCTCCAGTGATACTTGGAAGACTTTGCAGGTGAAGGCGGCTTTCTCTTTGCAGGTTCAGTTTTAATAAATACGGTATGTGCAAACCGCTAATTGCAGATCACTTCAGTCTTTTCCATTTTTTGCTCCATTTCTTTTGCGTCGATAAATGATGACTACATTAAATGTGCACTCCCATTAAGCGGCCATGTTCTTTTGACACCTGCTTCCCCATGTTAACTGAGCAGGTGTGACATTCTTTCAGAGTGATGACTGTAATTGCTTCACTGTAACCACTTCACTTCCTATTATCTTGCTGCAGTCTACAGGAACATTGGGCAATTTTGTTAATTGAAAATAATTTCATAGACTACTTGTGATGACAGGATATTATAAAAACAAGAAATATGCCCACTGGGCTTTAACGACTGGCAGTGATGACGTTTTCCTCCAGCGATTCTCTCCCAAGTCAGCAGCTTTTAACCTTTAAAACGTCATTGTTTGCTCACATGTATTTATTCGATCCACCGAGTGGCAACTTGCACGTCACCAATGTTCCTTCACTCGGGTGTGTGAGACTCAAGAGTTCATTTGGGTTGCTGCTGGTAATGAAAGACGAAAAATTCTACATTCCAGCCAGACTGAGCGAGTCAGCACAGCGGAAAAACAAACATTTCCGCATAATTCCTTTCTGGCACCATCGCTCTGGGTATAACAGTAAAAAAGAGGAATATAGTCTGTACCACTGAACGGGCACAGCGCAATACAAAGTGGAATTTCCTCAATGCTGGTTAAGGCCAACTCCAATACATGAAAAAGATCACCCACAACTTCTAACGAGTGGACACAGTGAAAGGTCCGTTTCATACATCTCCCAGCTGGAGGTGCATAGATATGTTCTTGCAAACATCCCAGATGCATTAAAAAAAACTTTCTACTGGTGTGGAATTTATTTTGTTCTGTCACGGTCCAGAAAATGTTGCAGTACAAGTCTAAGTGGGACAAATTCAAGTTTCCAAAAAAGGGAATATGTTTATTGTGACATACAAAATAAACCAGGTTGAGAACAGTGATAGTGCAAATGTAATGAGGTCGGGGGGGTTCAACCTTTACCTCGAGAGTTTTAATTTTGAGTCATAAAAGGTCATCTTATTGTGGCGGTTTTACAGCACGGCATGCGGCTTCCTGGGTTCCACATGGACTGCAGAGAAGCCCAGCGTGCCTGGATAAATAATTCAACATGTAGGATGAAAATAGGGCTTCTTTTCTGGCTACATAAAGTACATCCTCGAAAGCTGAACAAACTGAGCCTTCTCTGTTAAAAGGGGGAATTGATACGTTTCTTTCAGCTGAAATAGGTTTAAAAGCTGAGTGAGCACTTGTTTGGGCTCCATATTTCTCACCAGGAGAAAGTAAACTGCACATACGCTCCACCCTGTGAGCCGGTGTACATACCCAGAGGTAGTAGGTGAACTGCAGGGCGAAGATGGCGATGCCCTCGTTGTCGAAGGAGCCCGCGACGGAGCGGGAGATGTAGCCCGGGACGATGGCAATGAAGCAGGCCGCCAGCAGACCCGCCCCCTGGTTCCACAGCTCCCGCGTCAGCAGGAAGGTGGAGATGGCCGTCAGACCGCTGAACACCGGCGCCAGGAAGACACACACGTCCCGGATGTGGACGGTGATGTGGAGCAGGTTGAGCATGTAGTGGATGAGACCGGCAGTCACCATTAACCCCGGGTACACCTGAGAGGAGGGGGGGAGGGGGCAGAGAAGGCAAAATATAAACAAAGGGTACGAGGGAAATAGGTCGAAGACTCACATTGGTAACCATTTTCTAATGCTTTGTGGACCAATGTACTAATCCAGAAAAGAATTAGCGGAATAATTTATTTAAATCTCTTGTTATATTGTTACATGCGTGGTGAAAGGAGCCAAGAGGGTCTGAATTGGGTGGTCCTGCCCATTGGACCCAAAGTGCATTTATAAAAGCACAGCGGCTCCAACAGCTTTCGACCGTTTAATCAGAGAAGTGAACTGTGCAAACACACATAAATTATAAAATGAAGTTAATGAATTAAATTCCCAATCAGGTGATGAAGCATTAGCTTGTGTATTAATAACAAATAGCTTATCACCTGAAAACCAGCCAGTTGCAATCGGCTGCCAATCGGTGTATTTCTCCTCTCTGTAATTAGCTGGCGCATCGGGATGATCTCATTCAATAATAATCAACCCCGTCTTTCCTTTTGACTGAGGATTGGACTCACTAATGGAGCGGTCTCCGGTTGTGTACAAATAATACTTTTTGTATTTATTATTCATTTTGAACTCTGCTGCAGGGTGCGTGCTCCAAAACACATTTAACAGCCGGCACCGATCTCTGGCACAGGGCATTATTTATCAGCGCTCTAACTTGGCATTCTAGAATACATTACCTCGCTTGTTCATTGTGAAAATATCTTCCACCGGAGCTGACAAAAGATGTTAAAAAAAAAAAATTAAAGAGCACTCCAGTCATTGTCCTTATGGCAACAAAGAGCGGTTTACTGGCTTGACAGGCTGCTGTTGTTATGGACTGTCACATTAGAGAAGCCTGCCTCCCTTATCTAACGCGGGGGAGAAAGAGCGCCTGACAGTCGTTCTCTGGGGGGTGGAGGCAGGAATAAGGGAGGGGGCTGCTGGACCGGTCCAAGCACAGAGGCACTAAAAGTGTCAAACACATATCAGATATCTGCTCGTCCGTCTTCCTAACTGTGTGACCCATCTGGGCGCTTAGAGGCTGACGCTATCATACACAATTAATGAGGACTGGCGGGATTATACGTCCAATTTTGAATAAAAGGGTTGGGGCAAAGAATGGAGGTGACGAAAGACAGCGAGACGCTGTAGAAAGGCAGAGGCAGACAGGAGAGAGAGAGATGATGAAAGATTAAAAACCAGCGGAGAGGCCACGAGACAATGAGGAGGAACAGTGAACCGCAGCAGATGAAAGGAGAAAACGCAGCATGCCAACCAGTGCGGGCGGGTAAAAGGTTCAGGCAACAGAAAACCGTCTGGCCGCCGCCTCCAGCTGGAGCAGAGGTGCTTTGTGAATTCCGCCTGCGGCCAGAAGGGCCTCAGTGTACGAGCACAGGGGCCGCCGTTGATAGACGCAGGTCTATGAAAACGAGGTAATGTAACTTTTTTTGGGGGGGGGGGGGGGGGGTCACAAACCATTCTTTGTAAAAGCCACAGATTGGGAATCACACCGCAGCAGCCGGAGATGTACCCGGCCCTCGTCCACCCCCGTGCGTTTTAAAAGCATCAGTTCGATGCCAACAGCTGCCGCACATTGGCTTTCTGTGATGCTGAACGGCGTGTGGGAGTGAACTAAACGCCCGTCTTAGCTGAAACCCGTCCATGCTCGGGGGAGACAGAATTTTTGTACAGTGTAGAGTCAGTGGTTACTCCGGCAACTACTGTCACGGCGCCCTCGAACAAGGCAGCAGACGAGTCTGGTGCCCAATACCACACCTCAGCGTCCTATTGAAAATGAAACCGCAGGTGGAGGTCTGGAGTGGACGTAGCACACAGCCAGCTGGTTGAACCTCTGCAGTAGCTCTGAGAGCTCGGCAGTGCACCAGCACCTCAATCTCGCTATATTTTGCATAGATTTACATGTTACAGGGAGACATTTGCATTTAGTGTGGCCAACACAATGACCCAACCGCCTGCTTGTCAACCCTATCAAGGCCAAATGTGACCGACCAACCATCTGGCACTAAACTTCCTCAGAGTAAAATGTGGGTCGTCAGCATAACTGCGGCCCACGGTTGAGGTCTATTACAAACTGTGTTGTTGCAGTGTGAAAATAAATGATCCAAAAGTTATCCATTTAGTAAGTATGGATGGCGTTTCCAAAAATAATCAACAGCTGTTGCTAAAATTCAACACACATTGGCCCAGAAATGGTAGTGAAATTACACCATGTTACTGAATCAAAACTTTACTGAAAATACCTTGGAAAATGGCTAATTGGTTTCTACAACCAAATAGTTTTAAACCGTAATTATTACGTCTAGTTTACAAGTTGATTGTCTATAAATTGTATACTACTCCAATTGTTAAAAAGATTAAGTTAAATTAAATAACATGATCATTTGTTAATGTGATTGAGAGGTCAACGATTCGATTCTAAACCGATTATCGATTCTAAACTGACGCAATAATTATCGATGCATCTCGATTTTCTAATTCTCAAATCTGAGTTTGCTACTCAGAAGTTGCTAATCACTTCCTACTTTATTTGGTAATTAAAGAAAATCAACAGATGAATTACGTTCTCTAATTTTTTATAAGAGAAAAAAAACTGCTATAAAAAAAATATATGATTTTCTATCAACAACGCAAGAACCAATGCAGCCTGCATTTCAACACAATATGGAAGTAGCCTATGTAAAAAAAAAAAAACAGATTCATTTTTCTTTTAAATGAAGAAAAAGCTGCTCTTAGACCGGTCCGTATTTGTAAAATACCGGAAAAAAGTCCAAATCTGTGAATATCTTGCCAACTTTCAATATGGATTGACTTTTTGGAAAATCGAAACAATGAGGTAAGATATGCGCAGGCTCCTTCATAGTTTGGTAAAGTTGGCAAGATATTCAGATTCATTGTCATCTACGGTCCACTACGATTACCGAAGGGGGGCGTTTGTTTTTTGACAACGTTTTATCTTAAAAAATGTTATCCCCCTCCAGCCAATCCACAGACGGGGTTTGTAACCAATCAGGTGTAGAGACCATGGTGACTGGCTCCGCCCCCTTACTGTCAGAAAGAAAAACAGCGAGCGCGTAGAAAACACCTTTGAGCGCGAGCAGAGACTAACCTCGCGAGCAACGAAGTTCAAGCTCCGCGAGCGAGCAAATATCTCGCGCGAAACAGGCTTTTAAAAAAAAATTTATTCCGATTATTAACTTTTCTGAAACGAGACCGAATCGTTCTAGAGAGAATCGAGAGAAATCGAAAAATCGTTTTTTTCCCCCACCCCCACTAATCAGTGAGTTTGCGGAGGAAGAAATCTAGCCAGTGCATTTGGGACACAGTAATCCGCCAACACGGTTTATAACTAACACACACACACACACACACACACACACACACACACACACACACACACACACACACACACACACACACACACACACACACACACACACAGCAAGGGCAATACGACTAGCGTAGTAGTTCACCAAGTGCAGTGCAAACATATTCTGTGCAGGACCAATACTCGATTCTATAACCGCTTCCAACAAAGAGACATCAGATATCCTGTTAGCTCGGCCTTAAATCTACCAGAGCTTTTAACCTGTTTTTGCTTTCAAAGCATTTGAGTAATTGTATCTTGTTTTATTGAATGTATGGCATCGAGCTATTTACTCTTTTCTCGTGCAATAAAGCGGACGGAGACCAAAGCAAATTTGCGGTCTCGCCTGAGCCGATCATGGAGTTTAATCTGAAATAAATATAAGACCTTCTGGCAGAAAAATGGATGTCGGGGGGAGAAGGGAGTTAATATTCATAAAGAGAAACCATCTCCAGATCTGTAGCCAGGTCTTGCCGGAGAGAAAGCGGTGCATCACACCGGTGTACGAAACCTCGCACAAAACCCGAGCTTTGATAAAGCGCGAGCCCTCGTGTGCCCTCTGTTTGCAGATCTGTCACGCTCGAGGGTAGTCTGCTGAGCACTGTACGCCACGTTCAACTAAATGTAAGCAGAGAGCAGCACAACTTGCCATCATCTTCTAAACAACATTTACTAACTACATTCAATGACCTGCCAACTGTGGTGGCGGAAGACTAGGCGTGAGCTCTCTGCTCGTTCATTTGCAGGCAGGAGACGAGGGGCTGTGCAGCCGAGGGATCTTGTAAATTAACCATTTGCTTCGCAATTCCCATTTCCAGTTTAATCAGGAGTTTCAGCTGTACCCGATGGGTAGAAAGCTACGCACCGTAACAGAGCCAACACATCCGTTAATACAATCCAGGCTTGTCATAAGCATTTACGATTAGCTGATGGTAATTGTCTTTGACAGAGGGACGCTGATGGATGAGTTTGGGATTCCGATGGCTTGCTTCCCTTGTGCGGTAGCGAGCATTGTTTTCCAACATCAGCATGTAGCACGGCCTCTGCTCCTGCCCCGCACCATCTGCTGGGTGCTGTAAATGATAACACCATCCGATAGACACATTAACATGCCTCGCTGTCTCAACCGTGCAGAGGGACTCTCCAAATCAGCCTGCGCGGGGAAAGCAGGAAAGAAAGAGCGAGAAGGGAACTGGAGGCACCGGCGTCCGCCACTAATGGAGACACACTGGGAGACATTTTTACATCTAATTGGCACTGAGGACCTGCATTGTGTAGTCCTGTTGCATTATTTGCTCGTGCATTCAGAGCTCAGAGGGGGGCGAGGCTTCTGGATTTGTGACGCTTGCGCCAAAGAAAGAATGCAGGAGGGTTCGCGAGGAGGCAAAGGTTTTTATCTATTCATGCATTTCTCACTCACACAAGCCCCACGGTTCACAGGATGCTGGGCCGAGAAGAGAAGAGATGCAGAGAGGAGGGGCAGGATGGGGGAAATGGGAGATAAATTGCGTGTGATTGACGCGCTGCATTTTTCACTGAACAGGGTCCATGTTTCACAACAACCGCTGCTGCTGGTAAGCCAGCAGACCACAGCAGCCCGGGGGAGGGGGGGGGGGGTGATCTGTCAGGTGAACAGCTCACTGGGGCCACTGGATTGTGACTTAAATCCATGCTGCCTGCAGGCGGTTTATAGGAGTATGGTATCCTTACACTGCCTTTCCCAAGTCCACACACAGAAAGTGTAAACTGTACACCTCCAGTATTTATGTTGGTTCATTGCACCAAAGTTTAAGATGGTTATTAATAAAAACTTAAATTTTACACCAGACTAGACTGATTATCCTTCAATATAAAAAGGATTAAAACTACAGATTTTGCAAATCCCCCACAAATTCCTGCCATGGCTAAAATAAAGCTTCATCCATCCTTTTTTGCCACTTAAGTAGGTCAAATTCACAATGGCGGTATGCTAAGAAAAGTAGCCCAGCCTTCCCTTTCGTCCTAGTCAGCATCTAATGGAATGTGGAATCCCCCCCCTCCAACGCGGCCTGAGCCAATATAGACACGCCAAGTCCATCTCCATTAGGGAGGGATGAAGGACTCTAACAGAGTCTTAAACCGCTTCAACTGGCTCTTTTCAAAACACTGCAGAGCTGCAGTTCTTGGGGAACAGACCTCAGCATAGTCCCAAAGGGCGAGAAAAAAACCTGATAAAAACTTGTTGAATCTTTCAGTCACCATCCCAGAGCTCATGACCACAGGTGAGAGATCAACTTGTAAATTCGGAGCTTTGTCTCCGGCCATAACTCCCTCTGTAGTTGAGCACAATACTCACATGACTGAGAATTAGGTTCAAATTTGCCGGCTAATCTGAGGCCCCATTTCATCCCCCACTCAACAAGACCCTGATTCCCTCGTAGTCCAGCATCCAAGACAGCCTCTTACTCCATTGCTGAGGGGGCGGGGGCAATCTGTCAGAGTGGCATGGCGGAGCTGCTGAACGTCTTCTTTACGGCTTTACACACTTGAGTCTGATAAAGCCAACAGCGTTTTGCAAAATGTGGCGGTGCAATCCTAAAATAACGGCGCTGGAAACACTTGACTTGAGGCTGCTGTGGCCGAAGCTGGGGTAAAATCTTGGCAGAGCACAACGTCTTATAAATATGCAAATATCCTCGAGAGCTGTGTATCCACAGCAATAAGTGATTCTGGCAAGCGAGTACTGCATCAGTGGCCTCGGCATCTCATGTGCACCGTCCTCTGTAGGTCATTGGTCACAAGCCAGACATCAAACTCCACGACCCCCACAGCATTCCTCCACGAGTAGAGATGATCCACGACTAGAAAGGATGCCGCACCGCTCCTCCTCCATCTGAGGAGCCTCGATCGCCTGGAGCACCCTTTCAGCGGCCTTACATAAGACCTCCTGGAGAGGCTGAGCAGTGGGATCACAACCCCAAGCTGCACACAAGTGCAAACCATCACGCACCGTTTCATCTCATTTCAAATTGATTATTTTCCTCAACTTCAATAAGGATGTAAGCAAATGTAGAAATAGTGAATGATGGCGCAAAAGAAGCTTGAGGACAGACTTACTGTGCCGCCAACAATCCTGCCCAAAGGGTACCACGCCCGTTCATCAAACCAGTTGAGGAACTCGTAGAAGCCATTTGTGGTGAGATGGTGCGTCGATCTGTAATTGAACCTAAAGAAACACAAGAGGAAAAAGAGAAAGAAGAGCCGGCTGAGTATCACCACACACAATGAGGAAACGCCATTCTTCACTTATAGACCATAGTTTGCTAAAGCAGTATAGCTATCGACGGAGCAAAAACACTTAACTCTAGGAAAGAAAGTAATTTCCCTTCCAGATATTCAGAAGGCGGTCTGAATGGGTGAGCTGCAGGGACGTGGCCTTGTTAGAATAGAGACCATAAAGCCATTGTGCTCGCTCGGGTCAGCCTTCGGTTAAAAAACTGGTAAGATGAAGGGCTGTATTTTTTCCCCAGAACAAAGCCTCCCTATTGCACACAGATCGACAACGGCAGCCACTGGCTGAGGGGGCGCGGGTGTAAAAACGGGTACGGAAAAATAACGCGCGCAAAAAACACAGGGAATAAATATGAGGCGTATCAGTGCAAACAGGGCTCGATTCACACCGGGGAGGTGGTAGGCTGTGGGGGAGGGATCGCTGTCAAGCAGAACAACCAAAGAGCTGACTCCGCCGAGGAGACTGCTGCCAAAGAGAAGCGAGCAAGTGTTCGGTGAATGTTCAGAAGCACCTGCTTTGCAGCAGAGCTCATTAATGTCTTCTGCTTTATGGTATGTTCAGAGGACCACACACACCTGGCGCTTCACACTCCGTGCACAGGCGTCTTATCCGTCTCCAAGAGACTACGGAGAGGACAGCAGATCACCTGATATGACTCATCGGCTCCTTTTACATACACGACAGGTTCGGACCGACAATTTCTTCAGCTGACAAACATCGTAGAATTACAGCAAAAGAGGCCAAAAAGGGTACAAAAGAACACAAAGCCACGTTTATTTGGGGATTCAGTGGGAACATCCAGAATTGGGTTTATTGTTCCCTGGGAGCAACCATGGCACTGCTGTAATAGAAGGCTGGGAGCCATTATGGTCTGAATTTATGTACTTTAAATCAAAAGGTAATGGTAGCTCTATAGTGGACACGTCACAATTAAAGTCAGTTGCGTACGTCCAAAAACATGTTCAGATTCACACAACCTTGCGCACGCCTGCCAGTGAGTAGTTTCTTTTTGTAAATCCCAAAGCAACCTGTTAATGTGCAGCTGGTTTTGCATCACGTCCCGCCCTTTACCTGCCAACATACTACCACAAATGTTGATGCATGAACATGATCAATGAGTCCTAACTGAATCCTGGAGACTTACAGAGAGCGAGAACACATGCTCCAGTTATGCAGCCAGTAGGAAAGTATCTACATCGACACACCTAAAATCACAACTGGAGAAAAAACTATTACATATATTTTTCGTTAGCTGACTTTTACCCAAAGCGACCATAAAACTAAATTAACTAAATGAATGAATCTGAAGAGTAACATCATTGTATCTATATATACAATCTATTTAAATGCAGTGTTACTTAAAAGGCTAAAAATCCCACTCCTATTTTCTCTTTTGCACATTTACAATTGCTCCTTAATCAAGCAAAAGCTGTTTTTATCCCATCAATGGATAATAAACCTGCAACGGGTTGAATGCTGGATTACTAAATGAATCGATAGCTGCAGCCTCTGTGTAAGAGCAAGCAGCAAAGAAGGGAGCAGTTACAAAGCTGCTCGAGTGCGAGTCGCTTACATAAAAAAATGCCCGCACGAGGCGGCGCTCATTAATCATCACACGGTGCTGTTTGTTCACAGCGCATGTGAAGGCTGGCGACAGACGTGGTGGACAGAGATGATTCAAACGCAATGCTGAGAACTGGTCTCTATCAGGACCTAAAAGATTCAACTTCTTCCAATAAACGGCTCCAGTGAAAACGGGTCCATTTTGAGACGACACACATTCAAATGCAACCGTTGTAATATGTGCACCTTCTGATGCCGGTGTCCTACATGCAAACACAAAGCAGACCAGGTTCAACGCTTTTGACAGGTTGCCCTGAAAAACATTCAAATGCAAGATATGTTCTAGTAATTGTCCAGGAATAGAGAGCAATCTTCTGTCCCTCCAAGATAGCAGTTACTCATGTGCATGAGTCAGAGGCAGCAGAATGATTGGACATTAGATGTGCTATATTTTACCTTCCACAAAAACGTGAGAAGAAGAAAAAAAGTGAAGCGTAAGGGGCATTGTGCCTGTGAAAGTGATCTTGAAAAGCTATTGAGGAGCCGACATGAGTTTATCCTCGGGGCTTCTCGGGTAATCATATCACTAAACAATCAGAGGAGCGCCCAGAGTCTGGGCACAGTGCTGCCTCCACGGCCAACAAACCATCCAGCCGGATTGCAAGAGACACACACACATACACACACAATAGAATAGACTTCCATTGTACTTTCAGCACGGGTTTGTGTTGGCATGAATAGTTCAGTTTTGTCGCCGGAGATTCAATCTCGTCATTACATCTTCCCCCCACAAAGCTCATTTTCCTGCACGCGATTTGCGGTGGCCAACCGATACGATCCTGAGCAGTCAGACCGTGGTCCAGACGATACATTTGTCCTTCCATTCTGTGAAATACGGAGGCGTGCAGAGACCCATTACGTTACAAAGGTGCCGTGGCAGCCAGGTGAGAGAGAGAGAGTCCTACCACAGTTTGACTTTGAATGCAGGTAGAATATACACATTTATTTCCTTGTTGTTCTGCACCTGTCAAACCAGCGGTGCGGAAACCGAGCCAATTCAGAGAAGATATTCTGAAAAGACAACTTTGCCTGCTGCCCTGATTTTTCCACAAAAAAAGATCTTGTGGACAGCCGGGCGCAGTGCTTTATCCCTGCCCTTGTCACTTTGATGGGGCGGATAATGTAGCGCTGCCAGGCACATTAGCAATTTAATGCAAAGCTGCCAATATGGTTTCAGGCCACAGAGCACATGATGACGAGTGATGCCCTACAACCACCAGCAAATGAGCAACACACTTCCAATACCATTCCAAAAAAATGACAGCTGGGAGGATGAAGGGGGGCGACGGTCCCTATATAAACCCCTCAGATAATATCTCAAAGCAAAAAAGAAAATAAGGAGGGACATATTGTGCACTTTAGATCACTCACGGCTCCCTGCGTGCACCATAATTCATTTTAACCGAGGTCCGTTTCCCTGATTACCAGCTTTGTGTTGAGATGGGGGAGGAGGCGGGGGCCATCATCATCAGCATGACTAAGTGGGCTCTGTTGCTGTTTACGAGCCAGTAATGCTTAATTCTGTATCGACTTCATAATCAGATGCATCATTGCCTTTTTCCCCCCACTGGTCGACGATATGGTGAATGTGTGAATAGAGTTTTGGTTCCAGGGGTGTAAGCACCACCCCGACTAATTAGACAACTCCGTCAAGCTCTGAGGGAATAATGTGTAAATGAGAGCTTGATTTGGGAAACCAATCAGATGGGCAGGAACGCGTTGTCGCTCTTGCTTTTGTTCCATATTACTTTTGAAGGCAGCAGACATCGAAACACAATAATGAAAGAAGCTGAACACATAACGCCTACACAAAAGGTTTGCCATGACAGACGGGCTCCTTGAGAGATGAGGAGGCTGGTGGCCTGCTCCAATCACAATACGACTCAAGCTGGGCAAAGCAAAGCATACTTGGATGTAAACATACCTAAGAATTATGTATATAATAATAATAATACTACAAACAATTTCTAGAGAATGTTCATACAAAACTCCAAAAGAGAAACCTGTGCTTGCTGTTTTTGGGGTGAGTAGATTTAAGGCCTGCTAGCTTGTAAATTCAGGATCCAGCTTTTGAACACTTGACTGTTCAGCGTCCTAGAGAAGCCCCTTACTGGCTACTTCACAATAACTCAAACAGGTTCACCACCACGTGCACCATCCAGAACTGACCTTCCAACACCCCCCAACAGGATTTTCTGGTCGGATCAGTCGACAATTGCCCGATAGTAAGTTCAAAGTCATAACGCCCTCTTTCCCAGCCGGTCCCAAAACGAATACACCACGCTGGTGGAAAGGGTCACACTAACTGGCTCACTGGACACTGACAGCTGCCAAATAGCTTTAATAATGCTGAGTGCCCCCCTCCCCCTCCCCGACTGCCATCACCTGACAAGAGGAGGCATCCTGGCCTTTCATCCAGCAGCCGTGAGGGACGGGAGGGGCGAGGTCTCGGTCTGTTCTAGTTGGTTTAATGACTAATGAATGAATAATAATTGCATGGAAATATGGTGCTCATAGTAGTTAGACATCACTTGAATCAGAAATAATGTATAGTCTTTAATGACTTACTAGCTCGTAGGGCTGTCAACGAATAATCTATATTCAAATATATATTCGAATAGTTGGTAAAAAACAACGTGCTGATCACAAACACCCCACAACTCCCTACACGCATCAACACTGGAAATGCTGGACTGGATCATTGCTTCGCATTGATCTAAAAAGTTCCACTCTGATCCAAGCTTTTCTGAAAACAAGCAGATGGTTTCTGTTTTTGTGCCGTTGTGGGGTGTGAGATCATCATGTCAATATGCAAAGAGCCAGAGGATTGCCTGTTGGAACTAATGAATACAATTTTTTAAATGAGGTTGCGTCCTGAAGCATCGAGATATGAAACGGCATAAATATTGACTTGCCGAGGGGAATCATTTCAGTGCACATTATAGTTCCTTCTTTAACTGGGAATACCGAGTAGACACCACAGCTATAAAGTACCATTGTTTATTTGCTCCAGCACCCCATGTTGACAGGCAAGATAAAGATTCCCACATCAAACAGTTGGTTTTTCTTTTTTACAACTCAGTTATTCTACTGTGAAATAGGGCACAGCCTAATAAAGACTTCTCTAAATCTCTATTTTACTCCAATAGAAAATGCGTAAATAGGCGTGTGGTTTGAAATGTGTTTTGATTTGGAACGTGCTGCTTTAAAGTATAAAATACTCTGTTAGCCATTTGAAGGCAATTAGCCGATGAGCTCCACATTTTCCTGCCAACCCGTCATTTCTATTGACACCCTAATTATGTTTTCAG